TCAAATGACTGAAGTTTGATAGATATATAATTTCTTGTTTTGCTATGCTTTTATTGTCTGGCAAGTAAATTTGGTGCATTGGAAGCCATGGAAACAGTTGAAAATCAAAGTTTAGCACATAGTGAAGCATGTAATGTGTCCCTGGGCAGTGGGCATTGGTGTAAGAATTCAATACAGTAGATTGCAGATGAATTACAGGAAGAATGACTGTTAAATCTACTTCGAAGTCTTACTCTGTCTCTTGTTGGTGTAAAAATTAGGTAGTTCAGCCTGTCAGGAGTTGGGTGTTCTACCTTAATAGCAGGTCATGTTATCAGCTGGAGAACACTGTGTGGTCCTCTTGCCAGCTGGAGTTCTTGTAGTATCCTGAGCATGCTACCTTGCTTTCTATAGCCAGAGTAAATATTAGTATACACATTCTATCTCATCCAGCTTCTTACTATATCTGTTATTTATGCATATCATGCTGCTCTGCAGTTCAGCACTGAGAGAAGTTGAGACAAAGAATTTTTTCTGGTTTTCATTTTCCTAATCAGAACTTTCAGACATACTGCTGTATTATGTTGCAGCCATTGCAAACAATTAGTACGTGATTAAGATGTTTAAAGGAATATTGAAGGAAGTATTTTTAAATGATCTCAAAATCATAATTTGCTAGGTGTTTTGCCATGTATTATTACAGTAGTAGCATTACATATTAGTAATATTATGTATTAATGCTACTTCTCACTCAGCCTTCATTTTTTGAATCATGTTCAACCCATATTTCAGTTTTGGAAGTAATTTGTCTGCAAGCTTTGTGATCTCATCCCTCACCCCCCACTGTTGGGTTTGTTCGTTTTTTTTATTTCCTGATGGTGAGATTCACACGTTACTGCCCCCTAGCCGTTGCTTAGTGTCTTGGATCGCTGGAAGTGTGTGCTAGGCTGCTAAAAAGCAATAATGACAGCTTAATTAGTAGAAATGTATTATGTTTCAGTAGTAAGATGCTTGTTATGAGTAGTAGTTTTGCCTGATCTGTCCTATGCATGGTTTTAGGAGAGCCCTGCTTTCCCTCTCCACTTCAATAAAACAAATGTTTGCAACAGCTCTTTGTGTTTTTAGAGACCCACAGCAAGGCTGCAGGTTATTACTTCAACCAGTAGTGTAGATTCTTTGGTAAAATAGCCCCCCAAACCCAGTGAGAACTTAAAAGTACTTGAATGTATGATAACTAAATCTGTGGGGAATTTCTTAGTCCAAGTTAAATAGAAGCAAAGGCCATGAATACATGTAAGGCATGATTGGAGCACAATAGATGGTGGCTGGCAGTCCAAGATTTAATTTTATCTGCAAGCTAGAAAGTTGCCAGCAGGATTTTGTGAACTTCCTTTACTTATATCTCTTTCTTTATATAGTTTGGTTAGCTCAAGAGTAAACACTTTGTCCTTAATCGGAGCTATTATTCACAGCATAGAAATAAGCTAACTTCCCTTGATCGATAGACCTCTGCTATGGTTTCTAGCTAGTTATTTTGTTTTGCTTCTATGCATTTCCCTGACTGCTTATTGGGTTTTAGTCATCTGTGGGCTTTTTTTAAAAGGACAAAATATGTATTATTGAAAAGCCTCTTAAAATCTAGTTTCAGCAGTGCCATCCTCTGGCTAGAGGAAGTCAGAGCTGTTATACGGATACCACAGTTGTGTGGCCATGTGTTTGTTTCTGATATTATCTATTTAAGCTTTCCTGGCTGTTTTTTGACAAAATATTTTTGTATTAAAGGTTATGTCATCTTCTATTTAGCATTACACCATATTATTGACCAGGGATGGCAGGATATTAAGAGATGTGACCTTCGGGAACTTCCTTTAGTAGTTACGCTTAGTTTCAAAGGGACAGCATGCTTTCTAGCTGAATGATCCCAGCTGGCACATAGCTGCTATGCCACTCTGCCTTAAAGAAGATTGGTAGAAGTTAAGATGCTGCGTATAAAGCTGGTGTCGTGCACTGGAGCAGCTTTGCACTGCTATCTTTCTGGACTCATTTCTTCAACTGGTGTGAGCCCTTCTTTTTCTCTTACGACACTGAGAGTTTGTGGAGTTTGACAGATAGAACTCAGGTTGAAAATGAAAGCATTTTCTTCTTGGAGAACTGGAAAGTACAGGGGAGATAGCAGCACTCCATCTCTAATCCTGCTGCAATCTCAATTTTCCTCTGCTAACTAGCTTCAACCATCGTGTTGCATAGGTCTTATGTATTCTGCTGCTGAAGTCTTCATGATGCTTTAGGCTTTGCAGCTGAGTGCATCTAACTCTTGCTCTCCCCCATGAAGCATTACTAAGCTAGCATATCTCATGGTAAGTGGCACTACTGCTTGATAGCTTTTATCAGAAACATAGGCCATGCTTGCAGTCTCTTGTGACCAAAGAATGACCCTCTAGCACAAGACCTTCCTGCTGCTTTCTTCCAGCTCAGGAAAAGGAAGTGCTTAGCAGAGTACTTGCAATATATTGTTTCACTGCCTCTTGAGAAAAGAGCTTACTGAGTTCTTCTACTGAAATGAATTGCAAAGCAGCTTGCCTATGTTGTGTGCTGCTACATAACTCCCTTTAATTTTGAGATCTTGGTCTTCTGACTTATGCATGCTTTTATAGTATTTAGAGTGTAGTCAGTAGGTTTATTGGAAGCTTATTACTATTAATCAGTAATATTTTGTCTGTCAGTATTGTCTATGTATTAAAAACTTACAAGCTCATGGAAAATTGCTTTACAAATAGCGACTCTGGTTATTCTTTGGAACAGTGCCTTTTCATGGCCAGTTATTGCAGTGCTTTCAGTCACATCTCCCAGTACATGCTTTCACCTGTTACTGCATTGGCTCGCAATGCTGTCATTGCTATTAGCAGCCTTTTCACTTTTTTTTTCTTTTCAGATGTTAAATTCAATTGTAGTAAGTATTCAGTGCTTGGCAGAGTAAGGATGCTTTGTTCTGATATTAAGGTAACAGTGAATTTGTACTTCAAGGTAAAATGGTATACTTTATAGCGTGCAGAAACGTTTTCCTGAAGAGATTTCTTGTATTTTATGAAAGATCTGTAATGGGAGGAAAATGGTTTTTGTGGCTCATGGTTATGTGCTAAGTCCTGCTAGAAGTCTTGCAAGAATTTTCTTCTCAGAAGTTTTTTGTTTGTACTTGAAGTTCATGTGTGTTTGCCACTGATCCTTGGGGATCAGAAGCTGTAGGAGAGCAGCTTCCTTAGAGATGCAGAATTCATGGTTTGGAGAAGCTTCTTCTCAGGCAAGCTATGGATTTTTAGATTACTTGTATAATGTTTGGAGTGTAGGCTCTCTGATTTTTGATACAGCTTTCTATCTATTCACTTTGCTTTTCATATGCATGGTTTCCTGAAGGGAATTTAGTAGAAAATAAAATGGATGCAATTAGTTTTTCTGATAATAGAATTTTTTTAGTCTGGACAACTTTTAGGTACTGGGGACCAATATCTAAAAGCCATTTGTAATCTTATATTCCAGGCTGAAATGATACTGGTCTGCTTTTCGTGTGTTGCGCTGCTCTCAATTGCCTTTTTTTTTTTTTTTTTTTTTTTTTCCACCATACAAGTATAGAAAAATACATTAGTATTATTGATTTGGCTCTGTAGAAAAGTCATCAAGGAAGAAAGGTTTCTGTTTCTATCAGAAACAATGCTTTGTTCTGCCTTGCCAGCCTTTTCTATTTCAGGTCATCTGAGCAGCAACCCCATTCAGTAGTAAGAATCAAGGTCATATTTTATTCAGTACAAGAAAATGGAAAATGTGGCAGGAGCCAAGGTGCTTGTTTTGAAATGGTTGTCTTTAGCTCTTTCTGCTACAGATGCAGTCAATGGAAAGGGATAAAGGTGATAACAAAAACCATGAGAAATTTACTGTTCATTATTCATGTATTGTTGAAGGCTTAAGACTGTAAAGGATTTTGTTATTGTCTCTTAAGTCTTTCAATTTTTTTCAGTTATGATTACCTGGAAGGAAATTAGATGAACCAGTTAAGGAAAAGATGAGGATTTTCTTATTAACAGAATACTTGGACATAATTTATTCTGTGAGGTGCTCATGGACATATTTGCTAATTAAATAATCTGTCATTATTTGAGTATGGTTTAGACTTCTGTGGTGTTAATGCATTTGGCCTCATAGGCAGCCACAGACTTAACTAGCTCTGTTGTGAAGTTCTTAGCTTGAAAAATGAAAGTATAAGTTGTGAATATAGGATTAAATTGGATGTGGAATTATAGGAGCAAAGAACAATACTGGAAGATGAACAATGCTGTGAGTAGTAGTGTATTGGTTTACAGAAAGTGTGCAGGGGCTGATGGAAATAAGAGAGGGTGATGCAATAAAGGTGAGATGTAGTTGAGCAGCTGTGATGTGGCAGAAATTGTTTCAAGGAGACCTGAAAGGGGAGGAAGAAGGTCAACAGCTGACAATAAATTCTAGAGGAGAGGAGAAGTTTTGTTAACCACCTTACACATCCCTACATAAAAACTGTTAGATGCATTTATTTACAGGGTTTGTAACGTTGTATCGTTTGCTTTAAGGTTTTGTCATGTAAGAGGCTTGGATTTATTTTCCCAATTGAAATTAGCATTGATCTTATATTTTTCATTAGAAAAAAAATTACAAAATGCTCAGTGTGGAAGGAGATACTTGATAATACAGATAAACATTTAATGCGTTTAATTATTAGAGGGCTGAAGTACAGTTGCAGTGCTTTTTAATCCATAAATGATCAAAAACTGAAATTAGTAATTCAGAATGTATTAAAAGCATCTGCTTAGCTGTCTGTGATACTATGTTGTTAATACCACAGGACAAGACTGTGGTTAAAAAGAAAAAAAACTGTATTTGGTGATTAGGAATGAAGCAACGAGCATCATTTCTAGGCATGCTTTTTCTAAAAATACATCTGAAAGTTTAGCACTTGAAAGTAGCAAAAATATCTTTTTTTCTTCCTGTAATTACAGAAGCTGCTGGGTTTGTTTTGCTACCGATGAGGATGATCGGACAGCAGAGTGGGTGAGACCTTGCAGGTGCAGGGGCTCTACGAAGTGGGTTCATCAGACTTGTCTACAGCGCTGGGTGGATGAAAAGCAAAGAGGAAACAGTACTGCTAGAGTTGCTTGTCCTCAGTGCAATGCAGAATATTTAATAGTATTTCCAAAGCTAGGTAAGATGTGTATCATTTTAATCATAATATAATGGGTTGTTTCTGTACATTGTTCCTAATTCTTCGCTTCTTTTTTTAATGCTTGGAGCCTCTGTTTTATTGACAACCTTGAGCTGAAAAAATTAAGCTCAAAGGAAATTTCTGAGTAACAATGCATATTGCTAAGAGGGAAGAAAACTGGCTAGTATGTCGTCCATGGTCAAGAAAATGTAAAACAGCATGATAACTCGTTAGGAAGTCATTGATTTATCAGTCCTTGAGTCACTTTTGTTATAAGGCAGCTATGAAGAAGGCATCAAATGTTGATAATTAGCTTTACTTTTGGTGTGTGGGGTTGATATCTGGACAATGAAGATATACTGCAAAACGTGAAGGTTTTGGCAGTGGGCAAAAGAAGTGCCTGTAGTTTGGTTAAGATGCATGCACAGGGGAAAAAAAAAAAAAAAAAGGCTTTTTCATTTGTTCCTGCAATTTGTGGCTTCCTTTGTTTGAATGCTAAGGTGCCTAAATACTAATGTTCCTAGCTTCTGATAAATCTGGCATAAAATTCTTGCATGATTCTGTTCAGCTCTTGCATGCAGGCATCTTTTGATATGTTTTCTCTCTCAATACTAGCTTTTTCAATGGTAAAGATACGAGGAAGGCATAAAATATAACATGGCATATGTAATTTTACACAAGTCTACAGCAGACCAGGAAAATGATTTTGGGTTCATCAAACCTCCATTGTGACCTCAGGTCCTTCAAGCACATGGGACAGTTGTGCCCTTTTGCAGCTCTTTTTTGTAACCCAGAACTGTTACATCAGAACTCTACTGTAAGTCAATCAAGGTCCCACAAGGCAAAGTTAAGACAGTAAGATTTCAAGCAGTCTTAGCAGTAGCCCCTTCTCGTGTTGCAGCAAACACATCACTTGTCATGCCATTCAAAAAACTAAAGTTGCTTGAGCAGGTAAGATATAGCAGCTAACCAAGTTTCCATGACATATCCTGGTTTACAAACGTAATCTATGTTAAGACTCTTCTAATGTACTGCTGGAAAAAGGTTTCCATGAAAGAGTACTTTCTAAAAACTCCTCCTAGTGAAGTATCTCCTTTTTTGTTGTTGTTTTTTAAATACTAAAAGAACTGCTTAAAACCCAGAGGTTTCATTATTATTATTTCATTTTAATAAATAGGAAAACCAAACTTGGCAGACAAACTTCTACTAAAGCATGATTGTTTTTAACACATGAAACGTGAAAAATATTGCTGTATTTTGCTCTTTCATGTATGTCAGATTTTTTCATTTTTGTACTTCTTTAATATCATCTTAAAAGATATGTTTTGCCTTTCTTTCTTACTATTTTCACCCTAGAGGGATAATTAAAGTTTAGTGGAACTTTTTTTTTTTTTTTTTTTATTTTATTTTATTTTATTTTAAGCTCAAAATTCTGTACTGTGCTTCCTTTCATGATTGGGATCAGTGGGTGCAATCTGTTAATATTTTATCTTAGACTTCTGCTGTTGCCATACCACCTTGCCAAGTTACCTTTCAGGACTTGCAGCATATGATGATTATACGTGGTTTTTTGGGGAGTTGTGGTGATGCTTTTTTTTTGAGGGGGGGGGCAGAGAGGGGAAGGTGGTGGAGAAGTCTCTTGTCTTGACCTCCTTCAATAGAATGATGTAAATTTTCCAAATAGTGCACTGAACTTTGTCAGCGACTGTAGGAAGCTATCAAGATACACCAATGACTGTGTATTTAGCACTTGCAGTTATGACCTTGTTGCTATTTCAATATGCTCATAAATATTTCAGCAATCTTTTATATTTGTCCTGGAAAGTTAAACATAATTGTTAATACAGTTGAACTGGTTGTTCAATGAATTTATATTTTGAGTGAAGCATTCCTTCAAAAAACCACTAAATTTCATTCCTATTCAACAATAAGTTGCTCAACTTGAGAGTACATTAACTCTGTAACTTTGTCAGCTACTGAATGACTAATTTACATCAATTGGTGTATTTGAAGCAGGGTGCTGATGAGGTGTTTTCTGTTGCGAAGGAAGAAGATTCCCGCCCTTAAAACTAGGACTTTTTATCAAAACAGCACATTCTGTTCTAGAAGATGCATGGAAGGGTAACTAACTTACAGTATATTAGTAGGGTAAAACATGATTCTGTGCCAGAGCTGGACTAAGAGGCTAATCAACATTCTGCCCAAGTTAGTTACACAAAACTGTCTACTAGATTGTTACATAGCTTAGCCTTATTTACAATTACTTATGTCAAGTCTACATATAAGCTAGACACGTTTGAATTGTGAGTCTTCAGTATGATACATGCACAAACACCAGTTAAAAGTTGCAATCCCTGCATCAGGTCTCTGGATAGTGTTACCATACAACTGGTGTACGAAATATTGCTCTGCGTCTGGGAGTGCTTTTCTAGAATGTCAGTGTTGATAAATATTACTAGTAGTTCACTGAGATGTCCCTGTTACTTGTTTTCATTGGCTGGCTTCAGTTGACTAGAATTGGTGTTGCTATTGAGTGGTTGTGTTTTTTATTGGTTGGTATTTTGTTTTTGTTTTTTTTTTTGAAAGCGCACCCGCTGTTCTCTTGCAGAGCCAACTAAATCATGGAATGGGAATCAATTTTGTCAGGAATAAAAGTATGCAAAAAAAGTAGTCACCAACTGTTTACTTTCTGACAACACATGTAATATCCTAAAGAGTTTGTTGTAAAACACAAAAATGAAATTGCTGCTGTTCTGATACTGGCAAACACAAAAGTAGCATGGATCGTGGTCATAGTGGTAGCCACTTTTCAGTTCCATGCATACTTTTCAGACTCTTCAGCTTGTGGCTTTTGCTTTGCTGGTTCTCTTGCAGTCTTCAAAAGAAAAGATGTGAGTATGCCCTGCTTATCAAAGTTGGCATGAGTAATGTGTTGCTGTGTGCAAGTCTTGAAAGTGGAGTTGTCAATAAACAGTGAAACTGTATTATCAACAGCTCTAAATGAAAAGAATTTTTTACCTCCAATATTTGAGGTAGCCCTAAAAATATTGAGTGCAACCTATCGCTTTTCCAGTGGAATGAATCTTTGCTTTTTTTTTTGCTCTAGAGTGGGATAAAGTTTAGTGACAGTTTTCTTGTGACAGTTGCTGAGAGCTTTCTTCAGTATGCTTATAGCTGCATCTTGAAACCTTACTTTTCCTCTGTCATAGGTCCAGTTGTTTACGTTTTGGATCTTGCAGATCGACTGATCTCAAAGGCATGTCCATTTGCTGCAGCTGGAATAATGGTGGGCTCCATATACTGGACAGCAGTTACATATGGAGCTGTGACAGTGATGCAGGTACATGTCTGTTTCCTCTTCTAGATCTTACAAGCCTTGAAAGCAAGGCTTTTAAATAGCACTTTTAAATTAAAAAAAATAAGACTCCTTTCTTCCCTTAGCTTAAAATGTGGCTGTATGGTATTTGGTTCTGTTTGTATAGGAACTTGTAGCAAAAGTATAACCATTTTAACTTGAGCCCAAATGAGTTGATGCAGTCTCCCTGCTACCAGTGTCAAATGGCTATATAGGAGTGAATAAAATGACTTACAAGACCTCCTCCATTCCAGTGGATGACACTCCCAACTACAGAATTGAACATCTATGAATTTCCTCATCTCATATCCTGTTCTTGTAGCCCTTACAAGGGCACTGCAGGCATCTGTAGGGATAAAACTGGAATTTAGTGAAATGTACTAATCCTTATCTCTCTGAAAACTGCTACACTGAGCCTTTTTCTGTAGTAACTTGTATGATCTTTTATAGCTTCTCTAGAACTACATAACAAAATGGAAAACTAAACACTCCTCTCTATAGTTGCTTTACTTTTGAAATGAGAGTCTGGCCTTAAGCAAAGGCAAGCTGTGGGTCTAGTTAAGCAACTGCGTGGTTACAACTTCACACCCATGTTGCTATAAATACCTGGCTAAATCCTAGGTTTGAAGAATTAGATTTTTTTCCTCTGGTTGCACACAGTGTGATCTCTCTTACATAGAGGATTCCTAATTATGAGATTTTTAATTAAAACATCCTGAAATACAATTTATCCTTTAAAGAGGAAATTTGACTATAGAATTAATCATTCAAAAATTTAAGTTTTTGTGTGCATTGTAGAAAGCTTTCTGTTTTCATACTTCAGATGTTTATGCTTCTACTCATGCATGCAGAAAGACATGAAACTTTTGCTGAGATGGTGAAGAATTGTGTTACAGGTTTCTGTTGCAAGATTAATGACACTCACACTAGGGCAAGAAGCTCACCTGTCTGCATTATGCTTGATAAACAGGCAAGGATGCAAAAGGAAGACTGAGTACATCAGTTGAAAGGTTTTTTATTATCTTAAAATGCATGGTTGGTCCCTCCCCAAAGCAAACTTTTAAAACTGTATTTCTTGTTTGTCCACTATATACATATTTATCAGGTGGTTGGTCACAAAGAAGGTCTTGATGTTATGGAGAGAGCTGATCCTTTATTTCTTTTGATTGGACTTCCCACTATCCCAGTCATGCTAATACTGGGCAAGATGATTCGCTGGGAGGACTATGTGCTCAGACTGTGGCGCAAATATTCTAATAAGCTACAAATTTTGAACAGCATATTTCCAGGTAAGGTGCATTACTTTTAAAAGGAAATACCAAGTTTGAGTTTCTCTGTCTAGGAGACAGGGATATGAATTTTTACCATCCTGAAGTATGGGTACTTATACTTTCCCTCTATTATGTTTGTTTTATTTTGATTGTGCTCATACAGTACCTAGTGAGGCAGGTGGGGCAGCAGAAGCAGGAATGTGGTTTCAAGTAAGGCTTTGGTAATGAAAGAAGCTACTAAATATAACAGTTTCTCATTTGAAAGTAGAAATGAATATAGTCCCTTAATTGAAATGGAATATCTGCTGAAAAGAGGGTGAGATATCAAAGTAATTAAACTGAATATCTATGCTGATGCACTGTATATTTATAATGAAGCCGAGGAGGGCAGGACTAGTTCCTCCTATGTTCTGTTTGAGGCAGTGGCTACATTCTCTCCTCTTCTGCTCTCATCCCTACAGGCATTGGTTGTCCTGTTCCTCGTATTCCAGCAGAGGCCAACCCGTTGGCCGATCACGTCTCTGCTACACGTATTCTGTGTGGAGCTCTGGTTTTCCCTACTATTGCCACAATAGTGGGCAAGCTGATGTTCAGCAGTGTTAACTCAAATTTACAAAGGACAATCTTGGTAAGATACTTTATTCTTTGCTATACAAATAGTTATATAGGATTGTAAAGTGCTGTGGAGTGGGAGGAAACTAAAAAGTGTAAATTGAACCAGAACTTAAGAGTGGTATTTGATTAAGGGTAGAGGAGATTTCCTGAAGTTGTCTGCCTTGGCAGTGGGTGAGATTACATGTGAGAGACTTTTTTTTCCCCTATGACTGAAAGTAACTGGAAAAGGCTGAAACCTGTGTCTGGTACTGTGCTAAGCAAATCTTACCAGTAGATGGACAATCAGTATTTTCTAAGAATAGGCTCTGCAGTGAGAACTAGGGCTAGAAACTAGAGAACTATCAGCCTTTTCAGATTAGCTTCTGTTGACTCCTTGGAAGAGTCAATTTATTGAAATAAGAGTAAAAAGATATATTTCTTACACTTTAAATGAAGGCAGAAGAATGGTAGATTAGAAAAATCTCCTTTGTGAATAACCTCTCAGGCTTGCAGCTTTTCAAGAGGAAGCAGATTGAGTTTCATGAACTGCATCCCTGGTAGATGTGACTGTCACTTCAGTCTTTTTTTTCCCAATTCTAGCAAGTGGAAGAAACAGCAGTTACAACCATTCACTCAGGCTAAAGGTTTCTTAGTGTTTCTCCTTACTTTGAAGACTTGAGATGAACACAGGGTAAAACTATAAAAATAATAAATTGTCTTTCTTTCACCTTATGCTTGTTTTTAGCAAGTACCCTCTACCACAGTCTGTTTATGGAATGGTAAAAAGCATTATTGTTTATGCCATCTATAATTATTCAGAGAAGGGGAAAAAAAGCAGATAAATAACTGTTTGACATAAGTTTTTGAAATAGAATAATAGACTTTTAGAATATGTGTTGAACTCCCAAGGAAATGAAAGTTTTAAAATATCTGTAGGTCTACTTTGTAATTCCTAATATGTAACTTGAACCTTTGCAATGCTATATTGTGACAGAAAGCTGTTACAATCATTTGGAATTGTCCTAATTAGCTAACTTGAAAAGAAAAAGCTGTTTGATTAGAAAGTACATCCTATTAAGTAAGTTTTCTTTTACAAAGAACGTTTGCAATGATAAGATGCTGAACTTTGCAGGCTTTCAAAATCTCTTTTTATTTCAGGGTGGAATTGCTTTTGTTGCTATAAAAGGAGCTTTTAAGGTTTACTTCAAACAACAGCAGTATTTGCGCCAAGCTCACCGCAAAATTTTAAATTATCCTGAGCAAGAAGGTGCATAAGGCTGTGATCATCTGATGTCATACAGTCTCACCTAACAGGTTTTCATGTTGTATTGGTTCCATCATTATTGCACAGTAGTGGAGAATTGTGATAAGTTGCTGCTCCTGTTTTTTTCTTTAAGTACAATAAAGCACTGTCTTGTGGCAGGGTATATCCTTTCAGTAATCACTGAACCTAAGAATGTGACTTGCTTTCATTGTTTTGGAGTATTTCTCTTGAGCAACAGGCTTTGGAATTACTTTCTTTGAGCCGATTTGCTGAATGGGTGGGGAAAAAAAAATCACCAACTACACAACGAAAACGCTTCAAATTGTGTAGTTAATAGAGGCCGTGTTCAGATGCTTTTTCTAATAGTGTGTTTTCATACCCAGGCTGTCATCCATTTCAGTACTTCACACAATGAAGGTTGTTTTGTTTGTTTGTTTTTAAGGAAGGAAATGAGTCATTACTAAGGGAAAGTAATTGTGGGACATCAGGCAATAAAGGTTTTCTTGTATCTTGCTGGTGTGGAACAGGGAGTGCACAGTACACAAATGGCTGGACAGAGAAAAAGATAGATCATTCTACAGGACTGGTGTGTCAGCTTTAGCCACCTAAGTACAAGCTTTTGAAATGAGCGAGGCTTCCAGGTGACTGTTGTATTACTGATACTTTTTATTGTCCTGTTGTATCTTCTGCAATGCCTACTGTTTTCTCATGGCTTTTTTTTTCTTTTTTTTTTTTTTTCGACTGGTTTGTAACTGGTACTAGATAGCTTTCTTTTTTTCTTCACAGCAAAATAATGACATGGGGGAAGTGAATTTCAATTACTTTCTACTTACGTATTAGAGCAATTGTTTAGTTCTCATGTTCCTTTTGATTATGTTAGTTATCTGTACAAGTAAAAAGAGTAGGAAAAATATGAGGAAACAATGAATGCTAAAGTTACATTTCGAAGAAAGCTCTAGTTTTCAGTTTCAACTTCAGATCTGGGGGCACGGCTCAGCTCCTGTATCTGGACAAGTCTTTTCTCTGCCCACGCCATCTGTATTGGCAGGATAGCCAGGAACAACAGCTGGAAAGAAAGGGCAATGCTACACTGGAGGACTGAGTTTAAGACATTACCAGCAGTATAGACAGCTGAATGCAACTTGGTTCTGTTCTGTGAAGGACTAAGGACAAATCTTACATGTGTAATAAACTAAGTTAGTTTATTTGCACAGTCAGCTTTACTGTTATAACATGTTCCAAGTAGCCTGCTGATGGGGACACTGGCACTTCAGTTATTTCAGATATTTAAAAACTTAACAGAAATTAACTTTTCCGAAGTTACATTTTGACAAATATAACATGGCCGTTTAATATTCCTATCAGATCTAACCTCCAGTTAGTACTGGAAGTTCTCTTTACAACAATTTGTTGCTCTCAAAAGGTTTTTTCTTCTTCATAATAGGATGTCAAATGCATGGAGACAGTTTAAAAAAAAAAAACTAAAAATTAGTGGAAGTACTCATAAGTAACTATTTCTTTTCACCAGAAATGAAGGAAATGAAAGATTTGACTGCAATAATGTATGTTTAAAAAAAACCTTGAAATATGGTACCTTTTCTATAGTATATTTGTCTTAAATACTGAGATGTAATATTTTAGAACTGTATAAAGTGTATATAATGGCCACCTACTATTCAAAAACTACAGTATAGAAAATTATACGTTTGATCCATATCAAATACTTTGAGATTCGTAACTGAAACTCTGAGCTGTAACTGAAGAATTGCTACAATCTTGCAAGTCTGCTGATTATATTTGTCTTTGAGTGGGCTCAATTTTATATAAACTTCAGATAGAGTGGCAACCTTGAAAAGTTGCTGCTTTATGTAAGATAGCCTTGAAACATATACATATTTCTTATGGAATTCCTCATTTTGAGAAAACAGCTTTTCAGTGGTCTTCACTGTATATATTTCCAGGCAATTTATTACTGTTTTTTAAAGTCTCATGAAGAATGGAAGGATGCAAATTACCAGTCTTGAAACTTGTTCTATGGGAAGAGATAATTGTCTTCACTGAAACTTGAAGCTACTGTAAAAATATCATTACGGAAACACTGTTTGGATTATATGATGATTAAAGTGGTGGCAGAAAGTCATTACTTTGGTTACTATGTTGTAAATCTTGTTTTTAGTATTACGAATTACAGTTATGTTGAATTAGGCTGAATAAATATTTTTTACGCTCTGTAGTGTATTTTGTCAGTTGAACAGAAGCCAACAACAACGGAATGTGTTTTAATGTGTATCTGAGGAGTTATACAATCAATTTTAAGTTGATAGGTCAAAGAAATATCTTGCAGTAAAGGAAAAATGACTGAGACTTCAACCTTACACTTCAAATTTACTATCCGTTGTTTTTTTTTTTTTCCCTTGCTTGTTTATGATTAGTGAATGAGATGATGGAATGCATTTGTCAAGCATTTAAAGCAAAACGTTGCAACGTGACAGAGCTCTGTTGTGATACAGAATTGTGATTGGGAGTTGTTAGGTAACTCTGGGTTGGCTGATGTGCCGGCTTTATTGGGGAATACAGTGATGGCTCTTCATTTTGAAAGGTAATACTGACTTTAGGAATGATTTTTTTTCACTAATGGTTAATGTTCTGATACCTTTACAGAAGGAGCATTAAATGTAATGTAGCATTTCTCAATGCAATATAAGAGTTCTCAACCATTCTTATCCAAAATTTGTCTTTTTTTTTCCCCCCTATTTAGGCAAGAGCTGAACTACAATTATGGTAATGCATGAGGAATGATTCTCCCCTTCTCACTCATTTTCCATCTTAAATTGTTAGATTTAAAAGGATCTCTACATTTGTTTGAATGGTTTTTCTTTTGTTTGTTCTCTTTCCCCTGTAAAAGTTCCCATTTGCAACAGTTTCTTTGAGCTGCCTGTTTTGAATTACACTGATTCCCTCATCTCCTGTGTTTGGTTTTTTTTTTTTCTCTAAAGGTAGCTGTCTCCTTTGACTTATCAGTCAGGGATCTATGTTGCTATTTGGGGCCCCACTCCAGGGAAGCATTTGGAATAGTTCTGTGCTTGCTTGAATATGTAGGTAGGTATTGTTGACTACAGTATTAGCCATCTTTGAGGGCACCATTCTATTTGACAAATTTCTGTTGCATGTTTACAGTGGCAGCTGTAACTGAACTGCCATACTGTAAACCTGTTGATTGAAAATGGATGTCTTCTCCCCTGACCTCACATGCTGTGATTGTAGGGAAAAAAAAACCTGTTTCAGTGCATTCCAGCATAATCTGGGGAAATCAGAATTTAGTTGTCTCAGTTCTTGTAGACATTGAGGCCTAGACTTTTCTTTGCTGCTGTTTAGCAGGTTCCGCTACTGGAGAAGTACTTGTGCCAGACGTTGCCCAGGATTTCAACTACTGAAGTTCTTTCTGCTTACTGATTTATACTACTCTAAAGTAGACTTTCTTAGTTTATTTCAAGGGCTTATTCAAGAGCTTGAGTATGGTAGCTTGCTTCCCAGAAACGCAAGTCAAAAGTTGTGTGCAAAGAATATATTGCAAGTGGGGGGAAAAAATCTTGTGTTTAGAAATGTTCTGTAAACAGGGACCAATCATATCCATTAGATCATGGCCCCCTGTACTTGAAATTTAAGGTGTGTGGCCTTTTTGTTCTTGCCTGTTATTTACTCCTGTGCTTGGTTTATTTAATTTATTTTGCACCTCTGCATATTATAAGCACAAAGGAGTTATTTCTGGTTGTACCACAATAAGTACTTCAGTAGAAAAATTCCATTCTGGAACCAGTGAAAGCAAATAGCAGTCATGACTTGAAACTGCCTCAACTAAACAGCTCAGCAGCACCTGTCAAAACATATCTTGCAGGCATCTCATTTAATGCTGGATGACTAAGCCATGGAAAAGCAATTGCCTAAGCAGTGGGCCTCTATAGGAAGTACTTTGTTTATTTAGAAAAAAAAAAAATTATGCAACTTTATTTCCACCTACAGAGCACTACTGGTGATGCAGTATGCATAGCGGACTGCTTTGTATTTTTTTTTAGTTGTTCTTCCACTCTTCAGTAATATTTTGCTGCAGCTAACAGAAGCCAATAAAGGAACACGCTTCTCTATTTACCATATGTGTGATTTGGGGAGTAGTTGACATTGCTTTGCCATGGGTCATAACAAGAAGTTAATATCCCTACTTGGTGTACCTCTGCAACAGCCTTCTGATACTAGTTTTCCAGACATTTCTGATGCTCAGAAGATAGAAGAGCTAAGATAGCCTAGAATCAAAAGCTTCTTGATTTTTGTTCACAATTCTTTTCCAGCAGAATCATATCTGTTTCAGAAGCATTTGACTAATTTGAAAGAAGAAAATCTCTACCACCTTACATCCCTTGCATAGTTCTAGGCTAAGATCCCAGGGATAATTGGGTTTGTCACAAGTGATAGTGAGGTGTTACTTGGGCACAAATTGTATGCATTATTCTGTTTCAGATAACAAGAGTACAGTGCAAGAGGACAGTCCTCCAGTATATTTGCTTTTCAACTTTAGGGATTTATTTTCTTAATTTAAGACAGATGTTAATTAAATACATATGGTAACAAGTCCCTCTGGGTGAGTGAAGTTGCAGAAGTTCTATGGAACACAAAGTGCATGATGAAAGCCTTTTGGAGAGAGGGAACTGAAGGAATAAAAACCAGAGCGTCATTTCTAGAGATGGGTCCAAGTCTGTTCATCAAAAGGGCATTTTTTCCTAAGTCCCCTCAGTACTGAGTTATGAACATTAGTGCATTTCTCACCATCAATACGCTAGCAGTTATTTTCTCTGCAGAGAGAGACAGTCTCTGCAGTCAATAGAAAACAATAGCAACAACAGAGAACTGTTGCTAATGTGTAAGGATAATTCAGTCTGAATTTCATCAAAAGGTTCAGATCTGTCTTAGGTCCTTTAGTGCCTTTTAATTGTGGAGCTATGGCTTTTCATTCTGTTAGTGGCTGTTTTTGGGGAAAAAAAGTATCTTTTAACTGCAGGATTCTATAACCCTACCTCCCCCCCGAGTGCTGTTAAATTTCAAGGTACTATAAAAATGAAAATGTTTTCTACTTAACATAAACTAAAGGCTGTAACTAGCCTTCCCCCGCTGCCAAGTGCAGCCTTTCCCAGCAGGTGTAATACTGTACTACGCGTTTTAAGTCACATACCCCCTTACTTATTACCAGGGCTCACTTACCCATCTCATTTCCAAGATAAATGAGAATGCAAATAAACACTAATAATTTGCAAGCAATTTCAAAACTATGGATTCTTGTTGGTGTTTGATTTCGCTGGGTTTTTTGTGTGTGTGTGTGTGGTTGTTTTTTTGGTTTTTTTTAAAGCTTTTCTTATGCCTTCAGGTCTTCTGCTATTTTGGATAGAGTCGAGAGTAGGTGATTACAGACAATCTGTAATTTTCTTTTCCAGTTCCTGGTCAAAGCACTTCAGTTCTAGTTTAGCTTAATCATATCTGCTGTATGTTGGAATCCTTCTACATAACACTTAGCAGCCCACAGACGTTATATTGTCTTTATCTACAACTAAGGAATAAGAAGAGCAGAAAGGGCGTATGGGTATTGATCAACTTTACTTAATTTGTTGTAGCTGACACTTAAGTATTACAGAAGAAAGTAATTATTTGCAGACTGAAAACTGACTAGCAGAATGCTTTTGCCCTGGTTATCCTGTTTGTCCTTATAGCCACAACAATTAAATTGCATAAACCTTACAGTGTTTTCCTTCCTTTCTCTTCACTGATAGGACCATTGGTAGCATCCACATAAGAAGAGTTAAGAGAAAATAAAATCATTATTTATAACAAGTTGGACACCTTCAACAGTTTGTCTGTCAGCTTTAGGAGCCTCATTACAGGATAATTAGTTGCATCTGGAATATTCCTCAGGACCAAATTATCAAAATGTTATAAAAAGCAGAGCATGAGATTTGAATTCATCGCTTTTGGCAGCTGCATAATCATCAGCTGAGAAGCTGTATAATTCTTCCACCTAAAATATATTCTTATGAATGGTAGCCAGTGAGCCAAATTTAAAATCTGTTTGCATACAAGTGAACACGACAAAGAGAAACTGAGTATATTCATCAGCTGTGATGTGCAGCTTGGATGGTGGCTTTTATAGTTTTGTTTTGGTTATATTCTGTTTTTAAAAGAACAAGGCTTGTGACACTGTGCACAAAAGGCATAAGCAAGCTGAATTCACAATGTGGCACTTCTGTTCCCGTCAGAAAGCAAATCAACCCACTGAAATGTAATTAGTATAAATCAAATATGCACTGCAATTACGTAGCACATGGTAAGCAGACTGTAAAACTGAGTGGTGTATTTTTGCATCCTAACATTTCCTGTATTCCCAGAGCAGCTTTTTTCCTTATTATTGCACTTTTGAGATGTAATTAGAAGGCCTCAAAATATCTCTTCTCTGTAATAACCTTTTTTCTGAAAGTCAAGTCTCTACTAATTGATTAAAGGAACAGTATCACCATCAAAGTACAGTAACGTGACTTGATGTCCTTCTGTCCAAAACATAAGGAAGCAGAAGGCTGGGAAGAGTGTTCAGTAATGAAATTCTTGTACTCTTTAACAGCTGAACTGGGTGCTATGCCTCAGGAAGGGCATCTGGTGTTTTAGAAATCATTATTGGCATTAAAAATGAAAGCATCTAATCAGTTTGTAATCACTACTCCCATCACCGGGAATCATCCTGATTCCAAACCAAACAGATACTGGAGTGGCAGCCTACTGTGTCAGCTGTCTGGCCCTTCAAATAGTGTTCTCTTCATGTTCAGGGGTCTCACCTGCCTGGGGATATACAGCAGTGAACACTGAAAGCGAGAGGATGTGCAGAAATACTTGCCTCCTATTATATAAATAAGTAATAATGCTGAAACAAAGTCATGTGGTGACTGAAGTGTGAGGGATAGAACAGGAAAGGGCTGCAGGCTCACTTCCATCTGCGATATCTGATTTTTAAGTCTCTGAAGTCCTACAGATTCCTTTTTCCAGCAATCACTTGACACCATACGCTGCCAATCCCAACCCAGGAATGGGGTTTCTTGAATGTGCTCGACAAGTTTCTCACAGCTAGGTGTTCTTGCAGATGAAAGGTAACTGAAGGTGTGGTTACACAGCTGGCTCACCTACTGTCTTTGCTGGGTGAGAGGATACATGTACCACAACTTTGTGTCAGCATGAGCCACGGACAGCACCGGCTGATATTTCCAAGTTGTACTGGACTTTGTCCCTTCCTGCCTTCCACATGACTGCTGGTTCTGGTGAGGCAGTGACGCTCTTGCCTGTGGGCTGGGTTGTACAGCAGTGCCCCCATCCTTTTGGATGGCCCCCTCTGTTGCTGGCAGCTCAGCCAGGCTCCCAGCTCCAGTGGCACAACAGGTTAATGTCTGCTGGAACAGAGTTGTTATTTAATGATATATACAAAAAGGGATCTGAGACGACGTCGTCTTGTTGCATTTATGCACTGAGTCTGTTCTTGGGACAGCAGGGAACTACAGAGCTCTGCGCTGACCTGAAAGTAATGAGGCTGTACTGCAGCCAGCCTGGCAGAACAGTACCTCTCACTTCCTCTGGGATTAGAGCCAAGTCACTTCTCTTCAGGCATATGAAAGGCCTAAGTCATGCTGTAGAGTCAAAGACAAAGAGGGCATGAGGTGCTCCCTGCAATCACATACAGTGAAAATGGAGCCTAAATGCAGATTGCTGACCTACTTAGCTGTTACTTGCCTCAATGAGGATGGGCTTGAGTTTAGTATGAGCTACTGAATGAGCTTCACACTCACTTCTTCCCAGTAGGTATGATATTATTAAACCATGCTGTTGCTTTTGTGGTACATTACAATGCTCTGACACCAAAATGCAGCCAGACCACAGCACACGTTTCACAGAGGTCACATTAGCCTCAGCCTTCTAAATAGCAAAACACAAAGATGAGAGAATGGTGGCAGGATTCTGAAAGCATACCAACTGCTTGGCAGAAAGCATCAATTTTATATCGCGTCAAGAACATCATTCCTCCTCACAGCTGTGGTTGCAATACAAGCCTAGAGCAGATGCTGGAATTGTAAAACTCTGTATTATCTGAAAGCAGAACTCGCTCAGTCCTGCAGCAGGTAAAAAGTCAGTGCTGGCCAGCACTCAGTGATCTTTTTCCTGCTTCTACTGCTCCTGCCACTAGTTGTGGTTGTGCTGAAAATTTACTCTTAAAGGTCAGAGATAAAGATAGATAGACGTGGATTTGTAATCCTGAACACAAGTAGTATTTGAGAAGATGATCTCATATTCTGGTCCGGTCCTTTTATAATTAATCTCTGCCTTTTCCAGCTATGTAGGAATTGTAGATTTTGGCTAATCCTTTGGTATGCCTCTGGTGTTGGAGGTCTTTCCATTGACAGCAATTCATCAGTACAGCTGAAAAAAAAGCACTCTAAGCTGTCAAACAGAAGACAAATGAGAGCTTACAAAACAGAATTCTCGCTGAACTGAGACAAAACTTCCAGTGCTGACGATGACGAGGAGCAGAGACTATCATCTCGTAATTGCCAATTTAGCCACAGCTGAGCCTGTACTTATCTGAATTGGTACTTCTGCTAAATTCATGGTTTTGTCCTGTGCTAAGCCTTGAGGTTGGCAAACACAATACTAATGCAGTGTTCCAAGGATAACTCCTCTCAAAAGCCAACAAGTGGTGGTTAGTCTGGGGACTGAATCGTGGGGGAAGATTGGTTTTTCCTTCATGTGGGTACCTGCTGTTGAGCTGAGACATTTTGCCACCTGCAAGCATCAAGGTGATGAGCATGCACTGATTTTCTCAGATGTTTGCTATTGCTCTCAGTTCCAGCCTCAGCCATTTTTTCTAAGCCCAAAATACAAACTCACTTTTTGTTTAAAACTTTCATATTGTGCTCTTGGGAGTCCTGCCTAAAGAACTGCTTGTCTTTGGACATTACTCATAACACTGGCATTCTGTCTCACCATGAAGTGGTTGCCACCACACACTGGTGAGTAAATCGTAAGCATGCCTTATTCTGTCAAGGACAGGTGATTTGTAGATGATTACTGTCTAGCCTATGATTTGCTTTCTCATTAAAAGATGTTTCGAGTTAATGAAAAGCATATAAAAGGGTACATGAAAATATGCAAGAAACATTTGTCTGATCCATTAAGAAACACATTTTGTTCCAATGCAGTAAAGAGCAGACAAGAATGCAGAAATAAAAATTACAGAATTGACCAAAAAAAAGCCAAACACATTTGCCCTTTTAAACCATCGTCTCAGGAGGTTTTATACTGCAAGAACAATTCTCTTATAATGTAAAATTAATAATCAACTATAACATTAGGCACTGGAAATCTGAGTAAAAAAGCATTTGTTTAGTGTTGATGGTGTTAGTACATAACATGACATGCCTAAACCAGAAAGTAAATACAAAATCCTAAAATTAGACTTTCATTACTAGAACAGAGAATGGAAAGAAACTGGAAGATGCACATCATTTCTCCTTTCATGTATGGGTATACTGCTACCCATTTTGGGACAGCGACCTTCTAATAGCCTTCTAACCCACGCTGTGTACATAAGAAGCCATGTACTTTTCCAAGCTGACAGTTGCTCTGTTCCTATATATAGCTTGCAATAGAGCACGACAGAGAAAACTAGAGTCGGAGGGATGACACAAAAATAAGCTATTGGATTCAGGCAAGGGAGGAATTTGCCTTCAGCTGAAATTTGAAAAGTTACAGACCAACATGCAGCTTTGACAGGCTTATTATCAGAAAGAGTGTAATTTCTTTTCCCATCATAGATTCTCAAAGTCATAGCTGCAGGCCTTTCTTCTGTTAATATGGGCAGCATGTTTGGTTTGCTTTTTGGAGATCACAGGCTTTATGACTGCCCATGGCATGAGGCATCAGCACTGGAACGAGCACTGACACAAAGTGCAGTGCCTGAGCTCAGGGTGTGTCCAGCTGGCAGGGACAGGGGCTATGGGTACCTGTCTTGCTCGCAGTGCTGGCTCTGGGCAGAGGAAGATGAGTCCATGGCAGCCCTGACGCACGCAGCAGTCTGGGGACAGCTTTTGCTTGGGTATTTTTAAGTCATATGTGGGATGTAAATTCAAGGCTAATGCCATTATTCAAACTGCTCTCTCTCTTACATTAACATGTAAGGATGTATGGCCACAGCCATCTCATAAAGCTCACTTTCAGACTGGCCCCCTTGCCTACATGAATTCACCCTTCTCTTTGTTGCTAGATTCAGGTAATTTATTACAGCTGTGTGTATGTGAATCTGACTTGTTCTCCATGAAAGGCTGCAGCTGAGAGGGTCAGAAGAACAGAGCTTAAAAAGGAAGCTGTAGCTTTCCTAGGCTTGCTCTTTGATATGCAAGTAACATCGCTTCAAACTTGCAACATGGTGGTTAATAGGCAGAAGTAGGTCTAAGGCCATTCAAGCTCTGACTCATCTCTCCTCTGTGCAGGGGCCTTTTGCATTAGTGAGGCCTTTGAAATTAAAAAAAGGACAAAGGAAAGACTAAAGGAACTTAACAAAATGTTATAATTAATTCAACTACATTTAAAATCACTAACTGCAGTGTTATTCAATTACAGTGAATGGAAATTTAAATAATTCAAAATATATCAAATCTCACAGCAATTATTCAACTGAAAGCTCTAAAGTTCAGAACCATCTTCAGAGGGATGTGTTTCTGATGCACGGGAGTTCTCCCAAGCCAAAAGTGTGCATTATCTCTGGAATGTTCTTTTCAACCTTACAGCTCTCAAGAGTATGGTTTATTCATCTGTCAGCGTATGCACTTCTTGCCAGTGTATCACTCATCTTTTTTTTCTCCAAACCAGAAAAGAAAAACAAAAAAAACCCCCACCCTGTATTTTTAGAAAGACAGAGCAAGCCCTTAAATAACAAGTCAGCTGATTGAGAGTCCATTCTGTCTCCTTCAGCCACGTTATTTCATATTTGCCTTGAAGTTAAACCTGAGAGAGCTTTTGCTCTCTGTGACAGACTTATAAGCAATTTATCTTCTCATGCTGCAAGCCAGGCGGCTCTTTCAAGCCGTGGGAGCTAAGTGCAGCCCATGGACACAGCCAGCAGTGAGCACGATTCAGGGAAAATGGAACCTTCCCTGTGTGTTGAAGAACCAGAAAGGGGCAGGTTCAAGGGTTAGGCGTAAGGCAGCCCTAAGTTACAGAACCTTGCAAAGAAAGGTTCCCTCCTCCACCTGACGAAAGGCTGATACCACCACCAGGTTGCCTGACATTTCTTTTAATCAGACCACGTTTCCAATGGCTAAGATCCTCGTCAAACTTTAAGCACCGCGCTGGCACGCTGAGCACGCGGCCCGCAGGGAATAACCACGTAAGATTTCCTCTGTGTTTGGTGAGGTGTTGCGGCAGGTCTCCCATAGTCTCAAACTTCGGAACAGGGAATCGGAAATCAGGAGGCAGGGAGGACTTCAGCCCGGAGGTGGTCAGGACGAGGAGATGGAGGACGGCCGCCGGAGCAGGGCGGGTCCCGCTGCCACGGGCTTATCGCAGCGGCCCACCGCTGGCACGTGCGGTGCGCCTCGTGCTTCTGGCCGAGATAACCGCCTTCCTATCAGCGAAGGAAAGCTGCCACCGCCACCCTTTATCGCTCTCGGGTTTGAACGCTCGGCCCGTACGGCCGCGTGCAGCGACCTCTGCTCTCGCGCCCGTCGTAAACGCGCTGCAGACGGCCGGGCAGCACACGCCGAGCCCTGCGGCCGTTCGAGGAGAGCGGCTCCGCACCCCACCGCGACCCCGGGACCACGCCCGCCTCCCGCCGCCCCGAGCCGTTCTCCACCCCGCCCCGGCCCCTCTCACCGCCTCGCGGAGCTCCCCGCCGGCGGTCCGGCTCGGCAGCGGCTCCCGGCGGCCGCGGCCTCGCGCTCCGCGCTCTGAGGCGCCGCGTGAGGGAAGCGGCGAGGCGGGAAGCGGAGCGGCTCGCGCCGGGCAGCTGCGAGGAGGAAGGCGGCGGTTCTGCGGTGCCAGGGTGCATCAAGACTTCTCTCCCTCGAGCAAGATGCTGAATGTGTGGATGAGAAACTCATCGGCAGCCTTGCTGCATGTAATAATAATGAAACATTTTCTGTGTTTTAAAAGTAATTTATTCTTTTCCAGGTTAAGCAGTTGAAGTTTTCATTATATTTTTTTTTTCCTTAGAGTCAAACAAATATGATCAGGAGGAGAAAATAATTTGCATGCACAAAGATGAGATGCACAACTCTTCACATTATTATAAGGAACAACAGCAAATGTTGTATCGTAGCACCAAGAATTTCCATTACAGTGGAAAGACGCCATAAAAGCTCCTCATGGCAAATCTTTTATGGTGACATTTGGATTCTAAAGCACACTTTTCTAAGCAATGAAAATTAAACTTTGCATTACAAATAAAATATAACTACCTTAAAAAAGTTAATGCTTTCTAAGAATTGAACTATGAAATTTGATTTGTTTTCTTGCATAGCAAATTTTCTTTACTCTTTGAAAGAAGTAAAAATTAATTCTTCCTTGCCTTGTCACCCTTTATCCCAAGCTGGCCAAACAACAGGAAGTAATTATTTAAGGTACAGCATGAATCTGAACACTCCTTCACAAGTTAAGCCATGTAATCCCACTCTTAATATTGTAAAGATAACACTATAGAGTTAACATCTACTGTCACTTACATTGCTTCTGCTTGGCTTTCTAGGTTACAAAATATTAAGTGCCAGCTCTACAGACTTAGGAAGGAGCCAAAAATTCAGATTTATAGTCTTTTACTCTCTTGCATCACCATAAATAACACACCCAGTACTGCTCGTTTGCTCAATACAAAGATTAGGGACTAGATGCGAGATGTAATTTTCAAATAAATAGGTCTATCCCCTACCTGGGGTACAGGAAACTTGGAAGTGGCACTAAGTAGCACACTGTAAGTACTGCAAAAGTTAGAAATGAAGTTCCGTTTACCTAAACAAGAAAGGTTGCAACATTTAGTGTTAAACTAAGTGAAAGCATCTGTTGAGTAAGGAGACAGTTCCATGTAGCTGCTGCTCAAGGATAGTGCATCTTAGATTGCAGAGGGTCAACAAAGATGCGATTAGCCTCCTGATGCCTTCTACCATTTATCTACTTTCAGAACCAGAAAACAACATTACAAATGTGGGGCTGTTTTGTTTGCTTTTAATAGCAAAGAGCTGCTCTTGGCCTGTGGATTCTGCAGTACTAACCATCCTAATTATGTGCCTCCCCACTGTGCAATCTCTGCTGCAGTAGCCGTCTGTCAGGACTGTGCACACTGGTGCCAGTACATCTCTGGTATCATCCGAGGGCACCTCAGCATGTTCACTGAGACCAGAATCACCAACAGAACAAGTAAAAATAGTTAAGCTTCCTGACCCTAACTGTGCCTTCCCTTATAGTCCTGCTTAATTATGTACATAAACCTATACCCAGTTTGGATTCTATGTTCCAGTTACTTTTTTTTTTCCTTTTTCTAAAACAATTACTTCCTCCTGAGCTACTGAATAATCAGGTATATAAAATCTTTCCACAAACATATTTTCTTTAACTTTAGAAAAAGTGATGGATTAATAACATTACAAATGTAACTAATACAGATTTTTACAAATTTAGATAAACGTTATCTTGGGTTTTAAGTTTATCTTCATGGATTATGTGTGGTGGCTCCTGGAGAACAGCAGGGAGCTCTAGCATCTTTTAATTATCTATTGCGAAAGAACTTTGTAGGACCACTGCTGAATTAAAGCCTGGTCCAACAATCTGGATCTCAGATTAAAGAAAAGAATGAATTTTTAACGAATTCCAGGCTTATTAAGCTTCTCAAAAATATTTACAATTATCTGAAATGACTTGTCAGGGTTTATGCCACAATCAGTGTACAATATACCTATTTTTTAATCTAGGACTAACTATCAAAATGCTACAGGACATCACACTTATTCCATTTGTCTGGTTACTTTGAGCTCTTCGTTAGGGTTTAATCTCCAAATCATCTCAACTGCTTTTTCTTTTTCTGTCTTTTCAGTGGAAAATGTAGTTAGTAAAATTCATGAGATTCTGCTACCTGCTATTCTGCTGCTTCCAAAGCTCAAATAAACTCAGACTGTTCAGACACTGCAAGTTGTCCTGAAAAAAGTTATCGTATTGACTTTTAATTACTCAACATTTAAAAGGCCTAATAAAAATGATCAACTATACACTTGAGCATTGGTCGTTTACAGACATTAACACACAAATCCTTTTCACATGAATTCATAACCTACACACAATGATATGACAGACATGATCATTAGACAAGAAGAGTAAAATGGCATGCAACTAGCTGCTTTCAACTTATCTGCATTATCTTCCATTTCAACATTATTTTTATTGAGTAGCTCACTGCGAGAAAGCACCCAAGATCACTCTTACATTTTGTATACACTGAGCTTAATACAATCTTTTGATTTTTAACATTCATAACATCTTAAAACTAATGATGTTTGACATTTAAATTCAAGTGGAAAATCAGAACTACAAGCATTCTTTGTATATGTATTCTTCAAGTTACACAAAGTCTACATGCTATTCCACTCAAATAAGCCTTCCAAGAAAAGGCTGTATATAAGGTACATTTTTATTAGATTACTTACAGCAATTAAACCATACTGTGCATACAACAGCAGGTCAGTCTCCTGTTATGGTTGAGTAGCACCTGTTTTCAGTTTATGTCTGAAATACTTGATTAAGTCCCACTGTGCTGAGCTTCAATAGCAGCCACGTGGCTTTCCAGGCCAAGACATCACGTAGATGCCGCCTTTGCATCATGTTACAAATAAAGCTTGCCACGATTAGAAGATGAATAATGAAAAAATGTCCCAGAACACGCATGCAGCCCGCACTTAGTGCATGGCAGTGCTAAAGGGACACTGATGACGCTTGTGGCTGGCATGACAATGGGAGTACCCTGGTCCTCTCACTTTTGTCAGACCTGTCAATGCACGATGAACTGCAGGCATCTGCCTTATAAGAGGACACAAGGATCATTGGAACTAAACAATCAGTTTGTGGGGATGCCGGATCCAGTTATAAGTACAGATTCCTGTGTTCCTAAAATACTTCTAATCCTGCAGACAATTTCATCTGGAAATATCAATCAAACCTGTGAACTGGGGAATTATCTATACAGATTTTTTCAGATTCCTGAAGCTTCACCCTTAACAGATATGTATGAGTGAATGGTACTGGTACCTCACAGTTGAAACACAGAATGTCATTTGCAGTAAGAATGCAATTACTTAGGAAATACTTTGTTTTCAGCTTTGCAGCAGGCTTGGAATACAAGTATCAGAAGGCTAAATGTTACTAAAATGACAGATAAAGCTGGGAAGCACTGAACCCTTTGACAGCTTATTGACTCTGATGCACTGTCAGGCTCTAATCCACTATCATCCTCCCTTGCTTTACACACATACACAAATGAAAAAACATGTTGAGACTTGAGGCTGAACCTCTGGATTGAAACCTGTCCTGCTAAGGTTACTTCACTCCCAATCAAGTTTGAAAATACCAAATAAGATATTTTTGAGCACTGCTTGTGAGAACATTTACATGTTTTTGGTATTTTAACCAACTCTAATACTGTCTTGTAAAGTGCATCACCTCAATAGCTAGATGGCATATTTTTAAAAGCTGTGCCCACTAAAAGGCACATATCAACAATATGTATCTTTAATGCCAACACTCAGGTGTTGTTAACATTTGTACACACAGTTTTTCTCTTAACAGATTTCCCAAAATGCCCTCTTTGTGCATGCCCTGAATGACTCAGCCTTAACAATGCCCATTTTCTCCAGGTCATCATTCTCACCTTCCAGGAGACTAGCAGTGCAGTCTGGGGACTCCCTGATTCTTCTGTTGCAACTGTTCTAATTTTGCAGAGTAAGCACACACACGCATTGAGTCCACACCTACCACAGGACACCCACTTTGATGCACAGGTGGAGGGGAAGGGGCCCTGAGCTCCAGTTGCTGCTGCAGTGTTTACCTGTCTGTAACATCCTACATGACACAGTGGCTGTCACTAGAGAAGCATCACAATTCCTTGCTCCCTTCTTGAAAGAGAAGCTGAGCTGAAAGAGAAGCTGGACAGGCAGTGAAAAGCTGTAATGTAAACCTGAAGCAGAATGAAGCATCTCTAACACACAGAATGGTGGTAAACCCTCAGAAAGATGCAGGATTTGAACTTGGATCCCTCCTGCAGTTTCCTACTGTCTATCCCAGTTAGTTCCTCACTCAACATAACAATAACCTGGAGGCTATGCAGAGGTTTGTACCTCTCCCCATACCTTGCATAAATAGTAAAGAAATCTAATTCTGAATTTTGCATTGCATGATAAAAAAGGGGATCCTAAAAGTTACTAGCAGCAAATGCTCAGCACAGTGGTGTCTACATCCTTTAACATCTCACTTTTAGTGATAGTTCATATTGCTGGGATGCCTTAAAAATATTAATTTAAGTAGTCAAATATTTTAAATCTTATAACTTTTTATATGCTTGAGCTCAACTACATGGGTTTAATTGTGACATTTCCCATGTTACTGTGCCTTTGGCTTTAACCACGCTTGCTTCTTTCCATTTGAAATTCAGGATTCACATGTTGCTGAAATTAAATTCTACCAAGAATATATACTACTACTTGCATTTTTTAATAGTAAGTAGACTCTGAAATGCTTCAGCAGAATCTACATAGGCTAGGCTTTTTTTAAAACTACATGAAAAATCACAGAATCATAGAATGGCCTAGGTTGAAAAGGATCACAATGACCATCTAGTTTTAACCCCCTGCTGTGTGCAGGGTCACCAGCCACCAGACCAGGCTGCCCAGAGCCACATCCAGCCTGGCCTTGAATGCCTCCAGGAATCGGGCATCCACAATCTCTCCTGGCAACCAGGTCAGAAAGGTACCTAAGCAATTCTTCCCTTTAAATAGTAAAGATGTGTCCTGTAGTGTGTAGCATGTATCTATAACATTTAAAATAAATATATATATATATTTCAGAATTGGATTTGAATATCAAATTAGTTATCAGCTCAAGGAGAGGATCCAGGTATAATTGTAGTTGACCATATAAGTTCAATGGTCATTTATTAAAAAAGCATGGAAAAGTGTATGAATAAAGACAGAATATAAGGATTTTTCACTTTACAGTGGAGCTACAGGGAAAGCATACTGGTAGAGTGAAGATAAGACTGGAATTCTGCTGGTCTTGTATTAGAACAGGAGCTAGAAATAAATGAAGTTCAAAAGCTACATAATGATATCTCCACACATTATGATTACTCTTGAGTGCAATAAAATGAATACAGGGGCTGTACACATCAACACACTTCAAGTTTTTGGTTCATTTGTTGGGGTTTTTGTTGTTTTTCTTTTTTTGTTGTTGTTTTTGTTTGCTAAACATGACAGTCTATATTTGGATGGCTTGGGTTTTGTTTTTTTCAGAAAAGATAACAAAGCTGATGTTCTAAGATTTGTACCAATTTGTACTCTAACAATAACAGTGTAGTTCAAGAGCCTTAATTTTAGGTACTAATAATTTTCCAGGTGGTTTGCAAGCATTTGATTCCAGTGATGAAATTACCAGCCACTTCTTGCCAAAGCCAAGGATAAAAAAATCCTGTCTCTTTGCCTTCAGAATTCACGGTTCTTATTTTTCTAACAGTCACACTTATTCTGTAACTTTCTGCAAGTAATCCTTTGGTGTGCATAAAACAAGATGACCTAAGAATGTAGTTTCTCAAAAGCAACACTGAAGTAAATCTGCACCAGCCAAGATTAAATGTGGCTGCAGTGATGATCTGTATTTACAATTTCAGATTTGATTATTAAAATCTGGTCTTATGGAAATATTTCTACTTCACATTATAAAGCTTTCACACTCAGGGAGCAACACAGGTGATCTGCCTTAGAGGTGTAGGAAGACACGTGGGGAACTCTTTTGAAACACCATAGCAGTGAAGGAGAACAGTTCTCCAGCAATTCCATTCAGCCTAACCAGTCCAAGAAACTGCAAAACTGCATCATAATGTATAGTAAAAAAACATTCAAATATGAGAGATGTACCATTACCAGTATGAAAAAAAGAAAAAAGAAAAAAAAAGAAAAAAAAAAGAAAAAAGAACTCCAAATGTTAAATTCAGATTGTTTATTGTAAACAGAATAACTCTAGCACTCTGTCATACTGGCTGTGTCACGTGCACCCAATTCCACATCAACTGCTTAAAATAGCACTTGCAAAAATTACAGTTATGTAATAATAATTTATGGTTTCTTACATAAACTAATTAACAAGCACTAAAATTGAATTACAGTGTATCCTAGGTAGTTTTTATTGCTTGTAGACACTGCAGCTTTGGATCCATTATGATGAACCCATTAGTATGCCTGAGTTTATCAAAATTTACTGCTATATCAAACTCAGAAACTCTAAAATGCTGGAGAACACTTAAAAGCAATTAAGAGTTGTTGGAAAACTACATGTGCTTCCACATCCAGTCACAGAACTTTACAATTCCACATTTTTTCCTGGGGAAAATGTTATTTGTGAGCCTGTGCTAAGTACACTGCCATTCCAATTCATTTATATATTTGTTAAGAGTTGATAGTACTTCCACTAATATATATTTATTATTATTATTATTTTTTTTTTTACAGAAGCAATTTGATTTTATTCACCATAAGAGTGGTATGTTTAAATACCACTAATTCCCAAAATATATATTTTTATAATATGCTGTCAGAAGTTTTAATATATATATAATACAAATATTTTTACTAAGAGAAAACTATAAACAAAAGCAAAAGAGTCAAAAGTCTGTTTTACATGGAAGATCCACAAAAAACATGGTGAACAAAGACACCTGTACTGTTTTTGCTTATACCATGGCCGATTTTTTTTTTCACCTCAGGCTACAAAAAGTGCTAGTGGACTTTCCTGGCAACAGGTTACATCACAAACTATCATCAAATTTATTAAAGAGATGTTCAAACATGTCCTGTTAGCCTTAAAATCACCTTAAATATACTCAATTCAGCTAGTACAGCCTCAAATAAACAAAACTTAAAGCCCTTAAAGCATTCATTTAACTGCTTTCAAAGCCAGCATTACTACAACACTGACTCAACGACAGGAACACCCCTATTGAATATTCCAGGACTCTGAAGTACACACACGACACACATTCTATGTCAGGGCCTCAGTTTAGGTTATAGTAGGAAGCAAACTCTCACTAACACCTCTGATATAGCAAGGGCTCATTATGAACAGATTTTACATCTTGAGTGCTTTTCATCCTCCATGCTGTCTGAATAATTACACTCAATTTCATGCACTAAACTTGTAAGAGAAGTTAGTAAGATGTTCCCTTATTTTTTTCTATTTGGGGAGTTTACCCTGATTTGCTGTCCCAAGTGGAAGACTACTGCAGAAGGCAGTGGACTTGGTGAAGACTGAACACTGTATTAACATTTTACTAAGTTATGAAATATCTATACAATATTTCAGCATTATTCTTCATCCTTGGGCTTCATACAATCTTCTTAAAAGGAGTAGGAAGGAATATTCTGTGATGTAACCTGAACTGCACACCATTGCCAAGACTTCTGCTAACCCAGTACTGCTATACCAGCACCGCTCCATCTCAAATGCCCTCTTGAAGGACAAAAAGGACCCACAAGATGTATCATAAAAATAATGAATCTGATTCCTTACAGAGCCTGTATTTGACATCTGTCTGTTCTGCAGTCAAGAACTGACTCATGCTTAAAGTTATTTGCACTAGTAAGTACTTGACTGAGACCTAATAACAAGAAAGGCAAATTGTACTGGTGGAGAACTCATGCAGTCTATGCACAACTGAAAACAAAAATAACACCAAATAAAGTATCTTATACATCATATGGAAACAATTCAGAATAACACTGAAAAACTGAAGAGGATATTGATATTATCAAGACAATACTAGGACAACACTTTTGACAACAAAACTATGTTGGACTGTTGAAGTGTTTCCAGCATTTCACGAGTTTTAATATAAAATGTCCCCAAATTTATATATAAATATTAAAATCATGTCCATATCTTCAGTTATTTTCATTAAGACAATTCTTTCACTTATTACTATGTTATCAATTTCTCTTTTTTTCCCTCCAATGGTTTTCACCAAACTTAAATAGAAAACATGTTATGTTGATTGCATTAAGGATCAATTTTAAAAGTCACATTCAACACAGCACTTCAAAAAATGTGAAACTCTATTTTAAGAAAAATTGTTGACCCCATCCCATTCTTTTCTCACCCTCCTCCAGATCCCAGGAAGATTATTTTGGGGCTACTAAATGTTGTTGATTGTTTTTCAGGAATAATGAGGATATTTCAAGCAATTGTTTGCTCCAGAAGCTTATTTTATCAAAATTAAAGTTTGAAGGGGTTCACTATTTCAAAAATATACTGCATCTACAAGTTGTTATTATTATTACTGTTTCAGTTGATTTTGGTTTTCAACAGGTTGTCTGTAATATAAATGACACATGACCACAACTGATTTTTCTATACTCTCTATGCCTAACACACATCTAATGTCAAATGAACCAAGAAGGAATTTGGGACGTTCATAATGGACAGAACCATTTATCCTAACAGTCTTTAATAATTTTGTTCATCATGAAGTCCCCTGAAACCACATCAGTGCTGATCATTTGCATTTCTTCATCCATTGAGGTTCTTCACAGTTTTGCAGCCATGAAATTGATATGTGGTTTCACCAGTGGAAAGAGTGGCAGACTGCGCTTGAATTCTGTCATATTTTCAATCACGCTTGGCTGCAAAGAAGCGTATGCAAGAAAGTCTGTTCAATTATCCTTAATCAGAAGAGCGAGAAATTCCCCACAAGTTATTCTACAACTACATAAATATACACAGGTCTTGTTTTCTTTCAGTGATTCAACATTTCATATTACAGAATTTTCCCAATTAAAGTGGCATTACTTCTGAAATGAATGGTTAATATCTACTCCAAATAGTTTAAAACAGTAACTGTAATGCTGCGGTTGCATTATTAATTACATCACGTAATTTAGAAAATGCAGAGTTAAGTTTGTAAAAATAACAGCAATCTAATGAGCTATTATTTGTAGTTGCTGCAATAAAGTCACTTTTTAACACTTAAGTCAAAACAAGTATATCCATATTTAATTCACACAGAAATTTCTATCATGGTGATTATCTCACCTATTAGCACTAAGAAGAACACAAATCTACAACTGCATTGCAAAAAGAATCACCTACTGGGACAAACACATTTCTTCAAGCAATTTCACCTCAACCTCATTTGAGGTCCAGGAATGGCCCAGTGTTATTGCACCTACTTACACAAACAGCAACACTGAGTCAATAACACTTGTATGAATAGACTTTCCCAAACTGCTTCATTCACAGGGTATATTAATCCACATTCACAGGAATATTTCATCATTTAACATCATGACCAGACAGTTAGGTGTTTTGTTTTCTGAACAGTTAAGTTTACTCATGCATATCCATCCTTCTCTTGGCACTTCACACATCCTAACACACAAGCTCAGACAATCATAATCTGTATTTATTCTGTAGTGTAGACACTCAGAAGAGGTACCTACTTCTATTAGATTTCATTTCTACGAACAGAAGGAACAAAGTTAATAGCATAGATGGTTAAAAAAAGAAAAAAGAAAATGATAAAAACCTGCTATTAAAGACAACCACGCAGGTGTAAAAAAAGCTAAAAAAGAAAAAAAAAAAAAAAAAACAACCTGCAAAAGTATAAATGTCAAGAAGTTTGTACTTTCTCCCTGTAATTGTATTCAAGAATTCTAGACTTTCTTCAATAAAGCCTGGGATTTTATGTGTTGATTCTTTTTACCTGTGGTAGTGGTGGTGCTGGTGCCAAGTTCACATCATTTTGGCATGGAAATTCTCCAACAACAGGGCCTATTTAATATCATCAAAATTAATTCAGAACCAGAACTCAATCAGTGCCTTTCATATAGCAAATTGGACAGATCAAGACATAAAACACAGGATGACAATAATTTTCAGTTATCTCTAAATAAGTTTTTTGAAGCTTTTGCTTTTCTAGTCATAATTACCTTTAAAAATACAAGCAGATTAATCCTTGATTTTACTTGAGAACACATGCTGAGGCAGTGTTTTGTTGGTTATTTTTTTTTTCATTTTACTTACATGCACGGAGAATGTAGCAATAAAAAGAGCTGATGTACTGGAAAATAAATACTTAAAACTATATTTCAGTAAAAATTATGTGAACAGTATTAAATGCCAATGATATATGCAATAACAGCACATCTGTGTTCCAAAAAGAATCCTTCAGTAGGACATGCTTATGGAGACATGGAGATTACTCCATATACCAAATCCTGTTTAGCAACCCCAAGTCTTTCCTGCCTGTCCCATGCACCCTCTACTTACTCCAGTCCCAAACAAACTTATTAAATCCAATAAGCCTGTCTCACACATGTATGTTATGCAGTTTCTTAAATCCTCCTTCCTCAATTTCCAAACTCAAGTTTCAACCCTAACTTTTACACTGGGAGTTCAAGATGTTCCAGCATCCTAATCTCCTACATCTCTACTGCTTCTTATTATTTTCTACTCTCCATGGAAATGCATCTGCCTCCATGAGGAAGGAAACTCCCTAGGAGTCTTTTCAGCCTCCTTCATGTTACCCTGTTCAGCAGTTGCATTTCTTCCCAAGAATTTTCACTTGGACTCACAGGAAATTAATTAAAGTCCCAGCTTCTATTTCATGGCAGAAAAAGAGACCAATTGTCAAATTAGATGACTTAGGAGATGTGGAATACATGGAGAGAAGGCTATGCTTTACTATAACCACTGTAAGAGTTAAGTAGTTGTTAGGCTTCCTCCCATGTTGGTTCATGGGAGGGCTCCTCCCTCCTCTTGGCTCAAGAAGATACCATTCCAAGTGAATAATAAACCACTTGGCAATATAGTTACTTCCTAAAAATAAAGTTTTCTAAAGTCAGTCACAGTATTAGAGCTAATTCTATTTAGCTAGCAATGATTCCCCAGGATAGATACTTTGGAACAAGTCTCCTTTACTCAGCTGAAGAATTATGACTTCCGTGGTATCATAAAAATCATTCTGATACTGGAAAGAGTTTCATAAGAGGCACACAGCTATCTGCTTCCTTCTGTTCTATTTCCAACACCAGTGCTATGCATGCCAAAATTTAATTCTAGCATGAACTGGTAAAAAATTAGCACAAAACAACATAAGTTTTTCACTCTCTATGTATTTATTTATTGTTTATTAACTGGAAACACTATTAGCCTTTTCCTCCTGGAATTCTAAAATGGAGTAGTAGAGTCTACAATGTACAGATAATCTAAAATATTTGAAAACAAAACCTAAACAGACTTCCTCAAGTTATATTAAATGCAACATCTGACATTCCTGGAGGGTTACTTTATATTTGCTTTTTCTTTAAGAGTGCTTAAATAATGAATTGAGGACCTTTTCTGATTGTTAGGAAAGCAATCATTTTATTGATAACTGCAAATTCTAACTTTGGAGTTTTAGGTGTACATCAAAATATTGTTCTATTTAATGATATCAATATGCTTTTGAATGGCTGAAGATTTTGACCACAAATGTCAACTAGAAAATTTGAAGCACCTATACGAAGAAAATTTAAAAAAGAAATTCTTTTTCCTTTCCAACGTATGCACTCTCCAAAGCTGGATTTTTCTTGAAGTACATTTGTATAACACGACAAGAGTATTTTTAGCTAGGACTTGCTTGAACACAAATTGATTAAATACTATATTCAGCACAGTACTTACAGGAATCCATTTCCCTTGCAAGGACGTGTACTGAAACCTTGTGTCTTCTGGGAGCATCAATTGCCAACAACACCTAGAGTAAACAATATCAATTATTTCAGTTGTGGAAAGTATCCATCACAAATATATAATCTCTAAAAGAATGACAGCATTTACATTTTAATTTAAGCTTTAACATGAGGGTGAATTTTGAGACATCCCTTAAAGCATTACTTAAGGTAGTCCATACCTTGAATCATTTTAGAATCAAGTTGTTTACAAAATTCATGTACTACTTGGGACTCAAACCAGTCATACATAAAACAACCAACAAAAACCCTGGAAGTAGCAAATTCAGCTATAAACTATCAAAGTATCAGGATTACCACCTCAAACCCTAGCAAAACTTTCAGAAGTACATCACCCTGAGCACAGTTATTAAACTCAGCAGGACTAGCTCACCAATCTAGAATTATTTCTACTCTGGAGTACTGGTTAATCATTTATTGAGCATTACTGTAAGTAAAAAAGTATCAATTCCCACAAACACAGAACACGCATACTTGCTGAAGTTATCAAGCTACTGGAATTCCATTTTCCAAGTTTGTTTGCTGTGCTTCTTCACCCATGCCACCATACTATGAAAAACACACGTTAGGGTTCACTGTCATCTACTGCTCAAAGCATTGGATCTCTAGTACAGATAAAAGCTAATGCAAGAATGACCCTGGTAGTGAAATGGATAAACACAGATAGATTACAAAAGTGAAACAATTTTGAATTGAATTTCCAAGTAGTATTAAACTACATGACTAACTTACCTTGTAGAACTGTATGATATCATCCTTGGTCAGGGTCTTGAGATATGCCACTTCAATGTTATCTGCACAATAGTAAAAATTAGAACAAGTCTGCAAATCACAGCTGGTTATTAGCACACTAATTCTAAGTATTTATTCTTTCCTGCAGTTAACTGCAAGTGATATGCTTTTCATTCTTAACTTAAAAGCTAACACTTGTACCACTAAAAGTGTCAATGGAAGCTTGGAAAAAAATTATACTTTAACTAACAGCCTTTGTGATTGGACTTACTAAAAAAAAATGCACGTTTGAAGAATACTGACTGCATTGTATTTTATTCAGTAGCTAAAAAAATGCTTCTACTTTTCTATGTCATCTTCACATCAGTGTTACCTATTTCTAATGCAGACTGATTGCAGAGTTTTTAATTAACAGTTAGGAAAGATGGCATGAATTTTTGAAAATAAACATGAAGAGTGACAGCCTAAATCATATTTCTTAAGGAACAACCACCTTTCAGATATTTGATGACAAGTGTGTCTCAGTAGCTACATCAGATTACATAAATTCAATTGTAATGAACTAGAAATTTAATATCACTCAAGAATGAGTGTTTTTGTTACAGGTATGCTTGCATTTCTTAGGATTAGCAGATAGGTCAAGAAAGGAAAGTGTGTGAAAGAATACGCAGCTAATAAGTTGGTGAAGCATACAGGAAGTAGTTCATACGAAGTTCTAAAGGGAGGAAATTCAAAAATCAGCAAAACATGATGATGACAGTATTTTAAAGTCTGATGTAAAACAGCAGAAGTAATAATAATGTTAAAACCTCAAAAACTTTTTCACTTCTTCAGGCTGGAATACGCATTTGTGCTTTGACAAATATAGTCATTTGAGAATCATTTAATGAAATCAAATTCCCAGCGGGCAGAAGGGAATTAAAGATACTCAAGCAAAATAGCAAGTTTAGTGGAATTCAGATGTGAGAGATATGGCTACAGTTAACAGTAAGAAATTCTAGACAGAGAAGATGGATCCAAGTAGGGTAAAAACAGCAAGACTTAAAGCAGAGAAAAAATGCAGACACAAAAAAGTACTCAAGTTCTCACACCAGTCCTTAAACTCAGCCATGAAATCTTGTCAGTATCTCTCATTCTCTCAAAACCAAGCCAGACAGCAATTTGAAATTTTTCATTATTACAACAGTTCAGTTAGTATAACAACAACAACAACAAAAAACTTGCTATGAAAGGCTGACACTCTGCATGTAAAGCAAAAGAGAAGTCACGATACAGAGTGAGTCTTATGTAGGCAGCATATTATGCATGAGAGATGGAAAATTATAGCTTTAAGTAAGAGTTGAGACATGAAAATGTGATGAAAGGCTGATCTATATCTAAATCTGTAAGTATTTTTTAAAGTTAAGAACCTAAAATCATTTAAGCATTGATTTCTTTCTTCACAGAAGACATTTTAGAAAGCATATAACGAGCTAAATAAAAACTAGATTTAAAACTCCTATCCATCACCTTTTAGGAAAAAAAAGACATGTATTTATTGTAGAAAATCAAATTAGATTTGTTTCAAAATATATCATTTAGTGATAGAAAATAAAAGCTAACTCAGAATATTACTTATATATCTAGATATTTAGGATTTAAAATTTTCTGACACTGATAAAAAAACACTGATAAAAAAGGGAAAATACAACTTCAGCAGCATGTAGGATCACAGTATTATGATATTACTGTAAAAAATTGCCTGTCCATTTTCAGTAAGAACAGCAGAAGCTGGATTTCAATCAACCTTCTACAAGCTTATAACCATCCAAGCATTGTGGCTTAAAAAAATAATTCACGTTTCTACTAGGCCTACTCTAAGTTGAGACAGGTCCCGTGTTGGCTAAGTCTGTTGTTGCCACTGTCGTTGATTTCGTCTCATTCTCACGACAGAACTGCACAATGTAAGCAGGATTCGAATTCATGTCTACACTGTCAGGAATGTCAAAGTGCATTTGAACGCATCTCAGTCAGATGTTAGGCACATACGTAATAGAGGTGTTTGAACATCACAGAAAGAAAGTTAAGCTTATACAACATTAACAATTGCATCCAAGCCACTTCCAATCCTTGACCTACTCCTCCTCTCACAGAGGCTTAAAGGAAAGAACTGAAGGTCAGTGAAATACTTGTTGTCCCTGTCATATAGTAAACACCAGGAAGCAGGATTATCCTCTATTACTAAATGCTCTACTGCTGAGAGCATGGGCTGCACAAATGAGATACTTTTCTCATCTCAGAATGAAGAAATGTAGCCTACAGGATTGAAATCACAAAAAAATATATAGAAATTATGCATAGACTACAAACATATCTAAACTACAACATTGGAATTTAAGGGAATTATAATCTTTCTTACCTCTGTCAAAGTTATACTGCTGAGAAATTATTTCTCCCCAGTATTTAGCACATTCTGCAGACAGCTTCTTTGGTTTGTCTAGACGACGAATTGCTAAAGCTTGGATGTGTTTTTGGAAGGCCTCTTCTGTCATATCTTCTATACATTTCTCCATAGTCTTTAAGAACGCTTCAACTCTGCTTTCTAAATAATGTGGTGGCTTTTCAGATTGGATAATAAATCGCAGACCCTGTATGCCGTTTGCCCGACGTGGACCACTGAACACGATGTAACCTTAGCAAAACAAGAACAGTAACAGATTTAAAGAAATCCCTTGTTCAAGTACTAAGTATGCAAAACATGGCAATTTTGATACAGATGTGGAAGAAAGGAAGCATACTAACAAAGAAAAGAAAATTTGTCATCGGTATTAGGTAATCAGAAATCAAGTTGTACTATAGTGCTTAATTGGACTCAACAGCAGGAACTTACTATTTTCCCATAAAGTCTGATCTGAAATCACTTTGCACTATTTCTTGTATCCTAACAATTCGATATAAGGAAACTAATCCTTTCATTTCTACTTGCAGCTTTACCTTATCTGAGCCTTTCCTAAGGAACATAACCCTTTCTTTAGTCTTACTCCGCTTTTTGTAACAAATCTGTCACGTTTCAGTCTTGTAGATGTTGTTTTATAGCTTTCTAATCATTCCTTGATTCTTCGTCAAAACTGGACATAGTATTTCAAAATCCTTATTTGAAGAGCACAGAAATATTGTGAATCTTGGAAGCTCTTTTTATCTATCCCAGTTTTTCTTTTAAACAGCAGCTTGACACAGTTCATATATATTTTACATCTGATCCACAGTAACCTAGTGATTGTTTTCTACATAACTACTACGTAGCCAGTTGTTTTCTGTTACTCCTGCCAAAACATTCCCAACTGCATCTTATCTGTATTCAAGCCATATTTTCAAAATGTCAAACTAAGTTTGAATTCTAATTCTGTCTTCCCACACACTTGCCTCTTCTTCCATCTTAGAAATCTGAAGATTTAGTAAGCCTAAACTCTTCTATTGAGTACATTTTAAATCCTAAGTAACACTGGATGACAATAGAGAACCATTGTTATTAATTTTCTAATCACAACTTTCCATCCAAACATGAAGCTTTTTGAATTTAGGTGCTCTCTTCAGCTTGTTTGAGAATGTTACACCTCTTTCATACTATCGAGGTGAGATCCACAACAGTGCCATTACCACCCAGTCAGACAGGCAAAGTATTTAAAAAAAAAAAAAAAGGTTACTTTGACACCACTTTGCCTAGTAATCGTTTCTCAGTTGTTTTCTATGAGTTTGCAACTGGTTTGATAGCATTCCAGGAATTAGAATGAAACTGACAGATCTGTAATTTTCTTGCTCTTTTATTTCCAAAAGAAATGTTTAACACTTAGCATCTTTTTTTTTTTTTTTCCAGTACCACACTTACCATTTGAAAATTCTCAGTTACAATTTCTAGTTCCAGGTATCTAGTATTTTGCTTTTGAAATACAGAATTCATCATACTTGAACTCTTAAAAAAGCTACTACTTTTCCCTTCCTTTGTTTTTCTTGTACTGCTGAAGTATTTATTGAATGAGTCCCAGATACTTTCTCTACTGTCTAATAGAATGTCAAGAGTTACCAGTCTTTCTCCCTTAGCTTTCTCAGAGATCTTACTAACAATTTCATTGAGTTTACTGATTCTTGCTGGTATTTCTGCTGTCTTTCCTCCTAAGTCTTGTAAACTCCCTCCTTTGGCAATCACGCCACACTGGTTTCTGTACTGACATGTGCGCATAGTTCTTCCTCACTGATTTCCCCCACATTCTTTTTAACAGTTATCTCCAACTTCTATAAGAAACCTGCCACCAACACATTCCAAAAACTGGCTAAACCACCTGGGTCCTGCCCTACTTTCAAGAGATATCTAGACTGATAAGATGTGTGAGATTCTTCTAGCAGCTTACAAGAAATCTAATCTTGCCCAATCTCCCTGGTAATTCGTAACTCTGTAATGGTACTGATGTTCTTTTTCCATTCAGTCATTATACTGAAACATCCCTTTCACCTTTGAAAAAAAAATAAAACCCTAAACAAACAAACAAACAAATGCTAAAAATCTGATGGTATTACTTATTTCAATCCTGCAAACTGTTATGCAAGTCCTTGTCTCTTTCAGTTATCCAATATGGAATAGCCTGACCAGTTTTTAGACTTACTGGTTCAGATAATGATTGTTTGTTCTTCCTAGTGGACAGCTGTATTCTTAACACACCTGAAACGCATGTTAATACTACTTCATTAGTACTGCAGCTTACCATTACCCACACAGCTGTATTCCTAAGATAGAGGTTGTAAATCCTTCCACTTGGAAGTAGGATCACAAGCAGAAAAGACTAAACTGCTGCTGATTCTTTAAGAAGATCTAAAATTTAGGAATTGATCTTATCTCCTTCTGGTAAAAATTCTGCACAGTTGTTCTGTTGTTGTTGTTTTTAAACTAGGGAGGATTTCAGATATTTAAGACTAATGTTAAGAAATAGGCTTGCTTATTCTCAGTTTAGAATGTGTGAACAGTAACATTCCTTTGAGTCATCAGCAGTTAAAATGATTTGCATTTAGCATTTGTCCTTTAAATGGCATTCACTGTTCAGGGAAAGAACACCTCATCATGTCTCATGCAAGTGTGTGAATATGCATGCCTGGGTTTATACAGACAATAATCACTATGGGAATACTTACCTAATTGTTCCTTAGTGCGCAGAGTATTGAAGCATGGTTCTGAGATAATTTGACAAAAGAGCTCCAAAAACATATTCTCAGAAGTGCTCTGCATATCTGTCTGGTAATATATTTCAATGCCACAATTGTTATGTACTTCATTTCTCTGTTGATACACAAACCATCCCCCTAAAAGATAAACATAAAACAGATTACAATTTAAGTGAATACATACTGTTTACTTAGAAAGCATATATTTTTATTGTCCAGTATTAAAAATGGCTATCACTTGTGGAGTCCAATTAAAATAAATGCTTCAGGACTTTTAAAACAGAATTTCCACTAACAGATCATGCACACTTTTCAAGTAACAGGAAAAGAAAACATTATTTTAATACATCAAGATGACATAGCTTGAACACATCAGAAAGTAACTAGAAGCTTGCTGTTTCTCAAGCAAGTAGTTTGGAACTGAAGTTCCAGAACTGCATTGCCTGGAATGCAGTTTCTAAAGACAAACATAAACATCATAAAGATTTTGTGAACATTAAAAATAATTTAGTAACAACGGTTTCTTCGGTTACATGGTAGCTTTCAGACTGCTGATCAGCTATGGGTAATTGACTTTGGCTGCTTAGCCAAAAATGTCATCATTCCTGTGTAGCTCCCAAGAATTCCTTGAAGCTCATTTCTTAAATGTAACATTTTCCACGCAATAGAAGTAAAATCATAAAAGCACTATGAGAAGATATCAGAAATAAAGAATATATACTTGTGTAAAGCTTTTATTTTTCCAAATAAAGGGAGTCTTTTGGACAATCCTTCACTGAATGTTCACTTAATACCTGGAAGTGCTCAAAGAATGATGCTTACTCAAATATGTCTTCTACACATAATGTACAACGGGAGAGATCTTATTTCCATAAAGCATACAGAGTGAATTAAGACTGAAGGTCAACAACTTATGCACATGAATTAAAAATGAAATCAAATATACAAAAATATATGTATATATTTGTGTATAATTTTACTTACATAAAACCACAGCCTAATTTGCTATATCTGCAGTTTAAAATAATTTGAAATAAATCTGATTTTGAAACAAACTCCATGCAACAGAGAGTATTATTCATCTTAAAGTGCCATTAGCAGACCAAGAACCTTGATTTAATGTATAACAAAAAAATTTGAAGTAACCATTTAACTTACTGTCAGGAAGTTGCACTTCTCTGTATCTCACTAGCTGACTGGGAAGGAGTGGCTTTGTATGAGCGTGCTCAATAAGAGTGTCCTCAACCATTTGCATAATTCCTAGTGCAGCCTTAAAGAGAAAACACAAGGACTTCCATATACAAGCGTGTTAAAATGAGGAAGGGAAAAAAAACTTTATTTTTTCCCTTGTTATTAACCAAGTGCTACATGCATTCAGCAGTCACTAGCAGTGTTTTCTAACATCTCCTGCTAGTGAAACATCACAGAGCTACTATAACAACATCTTGTGAGAAATACTGCTATGCCAGTCTTCCAAATAGAATGTAAAAACGTATATGCTTTACGTATAAGAAAGATATTGGGCGTTGGTTTTGTACATACTTTCAAGTATTTGGTTAAATTTCCGACACAAATTACAACTGTAACTTTTTTTGTTGAAGACAAAAGAAACATTTTCTGTTTTTTACTCCCAAAGGTACAACTGATAGCAGAGGGCTATTTTTTATGGACTAACATTCCTGCTCAGCTTCATACAAAGCAATTCATTTAGCAGAATCATGGATTCTTGAAGCTTTGCTAGTTAGCCTGGTACTTACAAATGGAATAGCAGGATCTGCAGCATTCCTTATGCAGCCTGATCACATTACAGCAATAACATGTAGCACAGACTTTAAAATATTTAGATCTAAGCTGTTTTTTTATTAAATTTCCAAGAGCAATACAAGGGAGCACACAGCCTAATAAATCAGAAGTGGAAAAAATGACACCATGATTGTCCCATAAAGATAAAAAGAAGTACAATGTCAAATTACGTAATCACATTGACAAAGCTGCTTTAAGATATGAGAAGGTTAAACTAGCCTTTCATTTTTAATGCTACTTTTAAATAAAAATTGTGTTATTAAAGAAAGTATCACACCAACCTGTTTAGTTATATTGCCATGGAGAAGAGCTTCAATGTGTAACCGTGACAACAGTTGAGATATAAAGGCCTTGAGGCGGGGAAGAGTGACATCTAGAATAGATATCAGGATAGTTACATCAATTACCTGCATTTCTACATTAAGAAGTACCTAATTCATTTCTAGATGTGGTATATTTCTTACAGGAGCAAAAAGACATTGTCATAAAAAAACCTGAATCTCTCCTTATAAATGCAACCCTGGAAAGCTTCCAGGTCTTAATAGCAGTGCTCATCATATAGCTTGCTTTGCTTAGAATTCATGTATCGTCTGACCCAGATTCCAAAAACAGAAGAAAAAAAAAAAAAAAAGAGCCTTCTGAAGTCTTCTTTCCAGTCATTCCAAGCAAACATTCATCCTCCAGAGAAAATAGTAGTAATCATTTAGGTGGTGTTCCAAAATAAAGCTATTAACTAAATAAGAAAAATGCAATTTGTAATGCTTGAGAAACACACTGCACATTTACCATCTTGACTAAAAAAAAAAAAATCTGACTGAAATAGTGTTTTGATGCTATCCCTGTAATAAACAATACACAAGAAAAATATTATTTGCAATATATCCCAAAGTACACACACACACACATGCATTCTATGTTAGCCTACCTTTGTAAAGCAGTTTTCATATATAAATCAAAATACAACATACAGAATCAATGGAATGAGAGAGGATTGGAAGAGTGGATGAGAGGTTCTTCCTAAAGCTGACAAATACATTGTTAATTCCCTGACTCTACATGAACCCCTACTTCTTTTTATCTTAAATGTGCATTACAAAACCTTTGGAAGAGCACATGGTCCTTTTATTGTTGCATAATCCTAATCTTAATTTGTACTATTAATAAGCAGATCTATAGACAGAAAAAGATAAATTGCTTTGAAGGAGAGAGGATGTGAGGAAAATAAAATCAGACGTGAATTCCCTGTATTTCAAGCAGATTTCCTGCCGTGCTAAGCAGACAGCATTCCACTCCAGCATTCTTTTTAAACATTCTTATGCTGGATAGAGTAAAAGTAATTTTGTAAAGATGACTTAGAAAAGGAACACAACATCTGTTTGGCTTTGAAATTCAACAGTCATTAAGCTGAACTCACTGCCATGAAAACTGGCATTAGCTTTCACATGGACTCCACAACCTCTAAAGTGCCTGCAATCATTCAAGAGACCATACAGCTAAACATCTGCATTTCTATCTTGGAGTAATCCAAGGAAAAACTCCTGCACCTCTGTGCAGCTGGCTTCAGGCATCTAATGAAGCAATGTTAAGCACCAGAATTTCAGACAGTATGGTATGTGCCAATCCGATAAGTAAGAATGTGAATTCTGAATCATATCATCACATCTGAATGAATTACTTTTAAGTTTTTAAATCTTTAAGATTTAAATCTTTAAAAGATTTAAGTTCTTAAATCTTGTAAGTTGTAATTTCTTCTTCTCCCCACATAGTGGGGGCACTTGCTTTTTGTTAACAACCACAGCCTTCTTTATTCTTAACCTTTTTTTTTTTTTTTTTTAATTATTTTCTACAGAAATGGAAATGTGTGTTGGGAAGTACAATACAGCTGATACATTCCAATGTATCTGCAAGGTGTCAGCTGGAGTCCAAATGAATTTAGTGCTGGTTATGCCACATTCAGGCTCATATCCACAAAATGGGCTACCTTAGCACTGGCAAGAAGCTGCATCAGATTAATGGCAGAGTCAGATCAAACTGGGTCCGTACCTTTGTACGGTCATTTGGATGACCTATTCAACTTTCCAGAAATTGGAGGGCATCTTCCATGAGAAAAAAAAAAATAAAAAAAATGAAACAAACAAACAAAAACGAACTTTAAAATTGGCAGAACATTACCATCAAGAGCTTCTTTTAATTCATCTTTGGTCCAAGCAACTTCTGTCATCAGGAGTCGCAGGTAATACATTGCATGCTGGTGAGGCTGTTCAGCCCTGAAGTTGTTAAGTGATCTCATGTACTGAAACAAAACAATTTTAAGTTCAAATTACAGAGCTCCATTCCTACACATGAAATATTAACTCTGTCCTTTCAACTTCATGTATCATCAAGCAAGTACATTCTGAATGTCAACAACTGTCTTTTGCCTGTTAGCACAGTTTTAAAATTGGTTTAAGTCATTTTAGTAATAAAGTAATATAATGAGGCTACAGATTAAGTAGTTATTATAAATGTTGCTTATACTAGAATGAAACCAAATTTCTCAATAAAATTAATTGTTGTATTCTAATCCTAAATAAACATCAAGATGAAGTTGATGTAAGTAGGAAACATACATTCTATGATAGTTGCTCAGTGGGAAAAAAAAAAGCAAACAAGGTAGGAGACAAGGTTTTTTTCTAACCATTTCACCCTAGGGAAAAATGTAGATTCATTTAGGAAATTCTTTGCATTCTTAGCTTGGATAAAATACAAGAGAATAATCAGTGAGCCCGCTACAAAGGAACTTTCCCAGTCCTTTGCAAAACAAAACCTTTTTTCTCCTAGAGAAGAATTGAAAGCAGAAACTAATAGTTTCAGCAAGCTGAAATCTGGTTCTACAGAGATGCTAATTAGCATATCGTATCCATTACAGGAGAGAAGTTCATTTCAGATCACTCCGGTGAGAAAGAGCAACTGTTAAGTTGCTGAGGACGCATCCCTTTCTGTTCCAAACAGAAGAAAGCTGTTACCTCTCTAATCTGTCCTTATTTTATACAAATTGTCTGTGCAATGAAATCTACAAAACATGCGTAAATACAGACACAAAGCTTAAGTGGACCATACAGAAACATCTTGAACTAAAAGAAAATCACCCCAAGCAGATCATTCACAGACCTGTGGGTTTGTGGGTTTTTTTTGTTTCGTTGTTGGGCATGGACTTGTTTTAGCTTCACATTTGTAAAACCCAGTTACAGCCTCCTAATTTATATTCCATATATAAAAATCAGTCATTCAATTTTGAACGTTCAGTTTCCAGAAGACAACATGTATTTGAACAACTGATTACTTCTGCACTGAATGGTCTTAGGCCAGGAGCAGAGCTCCTCTTCACCTCTGGTGAGAAAAAATATTGTAGATCTCAACACTTCCCTTCCCCCTTCATGCCATGTCCAGATCACATTGAAGATTTCCTAAATTGTAAAACAATATACATGATTGTTTTCTTTTTTTTTTTCTCCTTCCTGAATTCTACTCTTATCAAAGCAAGCTTCAATCTCTTCGCCAACTCCAAGAAAGACTGACTGCAAATAGATAGATTCACTAGGCAATTTTAACCTAAGAATGTAATACAGATACAATGGGAAAGTCACAGATATAAAAAAAAAAAGAAAAGAAAAAAGCCTCTAGAGTCCCAGTGGGACAGAATTTAACTTTGTCTAGATGGATAATTAGCCCGCAAGATTACAGTTCAAGTCAAACATTAAATTATTCTAAGGTGCAAATTTTTCATGTAGCTTACCGCTTCCTTGATAATTTCAAATCTTTTTTCATCAATCTCAAAAGTAGCCATTTTCTCAATGATCTTCTTGAGCAAGATATGTTGCTTGTCATTATAACCTTTCACAGAGAGCTATGAAAAAAGTGCATAATTAGCTTTAAATGCATAACATAAAAAAATAACTACCGAATCTCACAGGACTCAATGAACAATAAAATCTTGTGTATTTGTCCAAGAGTTATGAATGCAGAGAATCCATGTAAAACTAGATGATGTAACCAAGTTGTTCTCAGAATAACAGTACTTCGCATTTATAAGTACTGAGTTCAGTTAATAAACAAGCTCAGAGTACTGAAGTGGTTTTACTCCAGGTTTTGCATGCCAGTAATGAAATTAGATTCACAGCCTTCTGAAATTGTCCCCAGTCTATGTTTAATCCTGTTTCATGTTTATATTTTTGTGCAACAAGACATTTTATGTAAGTGGAAGTAAGCAGAAGCCCTAGAAAGGAAGCACTGCCAAGAGCTATGCAATTTATAATAAGCAATGGTGCTGAGCTATAGATCTGATCACACAAATTTTCTGCAAAGCATTCACAAAGTAAGTTAGGTCATTAAAAACAAAAATAAAACAAAGATTACTGTATGATCCCATCAAGGCATAGAAAGTTTCGCCCAGTGAAAAGGGCTTTAGAAGACCTTTTGGGTTTAAAAAAAAAAAAAAAAAAAGGCTTCAAAATTTGGTATGTAGGAAAGGAAGTTTAATTAGATTAGTACAGTATCATTATTAGGGTAAAACCAAACATGCAGGTCAATTCCTGCTTTTCACTAGGAAAAAGCTTTTCTTCTGCAGTTACAGAAACACATGTAAACACTGAATTTGAAGAAAAAGCTATGATAAATGGATTTACAGCAAAAGACTGACATCCTAGATTAGCATGAGAACCCTGTTTTATAAAAATGTAGGTGATTTTTCTTAGTAGCATGTAACCCTGCTTAAGTTATCAACACAGTACAGATATACATACTGAATACAAAGATCTCTCATATATAGAAAACAATCCTGGAAATTCCCTGATACCAAAACAGAAGAACTGATTTTAGTATTTTAAAATATAGTCTTTAAAGAACACAAATGAAAAGTCCCTGTCCTAAATAAATAAATAAATCTCATATTTAAAATAACTCCATAATTCCAAACTGTGACTAAAAATGAAGAACGACTGCCCCCCCCTTCTCTGACCATGAAGCATCAGCAAGCTTTGAGACTGAGAACAGATAATCGTGTTTGAAATTTAAGTGAATGCTACCAGGAAATGAGATACTAGATTTGTGTTAGCTAAAAAAAGAAACTGCAGGGATAAAAACACTGTACTTTTTTTCATACAGAAAATACAAGGACAATATACTCTCTTACAAAGAGATTTTGAAAATAATACAGGAAATTTCAAAATAAATCTTGCTATATAATGATGGTCAGCAAAAGCATTCAACAGAACTTCAAGGAAGATTATTTAAACCTCCTTCCATAGATCTCAGAGGTGAAGATAAATAAGAAATAACCACACATCATATCATCGTTATTTCTGAAGTAAATATAGTCAGCACTTGAAAATACGTTATAAAACGTATAATAAAAATGCACGCTAAAGAAAAGCCAAAAATGTCCAGCACTGAATTCTAACGAGCACATGCACCATCCATTTCCACAGCTCACTACAGCAGAATTAGAAGACTATGACAAAATCTGTAGAGCTAAGACTGATTCAGAAACTTTAATCTTTTCGTGTAGAAACTAGCCATAGTATTCTCAAGATTCCATGCAAGCAAGTAAAAATGAATGCAACTAGAATGCAACAGCTGCACTGCACACGTGTTCACAAGACACTGCAATCTCAAAGAGGTCATTCAGCACTGATTAAAATGCATTGTTTTGCTTTGCCTTTAATTCATGATATATACGCCAGGGAAAAAACATTAACCATCTCATTTAGAAATGCAGAAGTCAAATGTTTTCTCCAAGCTAAACAGTTCACAAGCTGTTTCATTTCCTCCTGTGTTTCTTTCTTACTTACAAGTATTGCATTCATTCCTGATGCAATGCCATAGACCAAACCTGAGAGGCGTGCTGCATATGTATACTCTTTTAAATCATCCTTCAACAACCTGATAAACAGGTATGTCATGTTGCAATGGAGAGGATCAGCATAAATGTAGCGACTAACAAAAAGAAAAACAAAAGAAATGCTTTGATACCTCAAGCAGTGACAAAGTAATGGATGAAGAAACATGACTGAAGAGTATGTATATGCAGCCTCATGACCAGTAGTTCTTGAAAAGGAAAGCTGAAGTATATCATTTATATAATAGCATGAAAAGGGGGTCTTCTGCCCCATCAGTCAGAAAGTTTTTAAGAGATATCTGGCAAACTGAAATAAAAATATAAACTTGCATTAGATTGCTTTTTTCTTTCTTTTAGATGGAGGAAGAAATCTTACAACTAATGCATTTCATGAATGACATAAAAGAAAAGGAAGAAAATTTGCTTAATACGAATGGAAAGATTGTTGTAGACTTTGAACGAAATTCAACTTAAAATTCAAATCAAAGAAAGGATGGTTAATAATTAAGATCAAAAAGGAGTAACAGCCTTAGACCCACAATGGAAAAAGCTGTTTTTTAAATAAAAGTTCTTCCACCAAATCAATACAAAAATGTTGATGAGTGGAAGTAGTTTTAAGTCTCTAATCTCTTCCTTGATATGGGTACTTACATACATCCCATAGATGGTATTTTGGAGATCATAGTTCAAGCCAGCTAGTTCTGCTGCATATGCATACTCGTTGAGGGAGTCTTTGAGTAGTTCAAGGTATAAATAGGCCATGTTACAATGCAAGGGATCCACGTAAGCAAATGGGCTGGAAGAAAGTGTTGAAAGTAAAACATGCAGTTTAAAATTACTTCTCATTTTCTTTTGGCCCTTCTAAATTTGATCTGAAGGAAGCAATATTTACTGCAAGTATGCTGAGGGATCCCATCATGAAGGTTTCCTATTTTGAAGCCAAATATGAAATATGCCTGAAAATAACTACTTAGCTCACTTATGGTCTCAGTGATGCTAAATACCTTAAAGATTCCAGAAATATTCCTTTAGTAGTGCTGATAAATGAAGATACGTTGTATTTATTTTGCTGCATGTCAGAACTCACCACGAGTAAAATAAACACAACCTGAATGAATTATTTAACAGATCAAAATGAAAACCTACATACTGAACATTAATTTGATTAATACTTTTAACATTAACATTTTTATCAGAAAATAAACCAGTTTCTACAGAAACTAAGACATTAGCAATTTACAGTACATGCAAATCTCAACTCAGGAAAGAAGTTTTGCATACCACTTTTACATGAACAGCCATACAAACTCTACTTTTGACTCAGTGGAATCTGATCACATATACTACTGTTACAAAGTTCTCAAGAAAAAATGCAACTCAAAGATTCAAGCCACACTTCAACTGTACTGATGTTTGTTAAATACCTGAGATGTTTAAAGATTAGCAAAGTCAATACAACTTATTTGTTGGGTATTTGTTCCTAAAGCTTCTTAAGTACACGTAAATTCATTACCAAGTTCCCAAAAATAACCTGTAGTATTGAAGACCAATTGCTATCAGGACTGGGTATTTGACAGCATTCAACAGTATCAACAAAATAAAGCAAAGACAGATCACATCACAAGCACTGTACCTGCTGATAACTTTAAGATGTAGGCTATGCTGTTTTACTAATACTGTGTTAATTATTCTGGGTTGGGCTTCAATAACTGAAGTAAATGTCACCAAAAGAACAGGACTCTGCTATCTGCTTTCTCCCTAAAGTAAGTTTTCCAAACTGAGCAATTTTTTTTTTATGCCCAGTGATGCAAATCCAATTAATACAGATTTATTTATTTTTAATTAAGACTGAATTCAAAGCAAAATGTAGGACAGTCCTATCTTATACCCCCCCACAAACTCATTATATTCTTTTCTATTAGTTGGCCATGGCCAACAGGGAATTTCAAAAATAATGAAGACTACTGAATAGTTGTTCAATGAAAAATATCAGAAAGCAATTATAACACTGTTCTGGTAGTTGTTTTTTATTACTGATAACTTTGTAAATAAATGCTTATTCTTAGTCTACCTTTTTTTTTTTTTAACTGGACTTGAGGAAGAAAAAGCCATAAACATAGATTGATTGAAAAATATCTTAAATATTTTTCCTGTTTCAGCAAGCTGCATGTGTCAAAACCAGTGTCAACAGTGAAGTGTTGATAGAAGGTCATCTTATGAGCTATTGTTTTTAATCAAAGGCACTCAAATCATTTAAAATGTTTTTCAAATTGGAAGATAGCACATATGCTTAAGTAGGTCAAATATAATTAGCGCTGTATTTTAACATCCATCTCTCCAAAACATGAGCAATGATGGGCAGGGATTATAACCTTCAGAAGGTTTTCACAGCAATTGCACATAACATTGTTTTGCACCTTTGTAAAGAGGGGTGCGCGCTGAGTTCTCAAGTCATAATTCACATGAAAGCAAAAGCTTTTTAATCGCCTTTTAAGCTGGACAGTAATTCCCATGTCAGAAGACTTCACTGTTTTGTTCTTTAATACAAGCCTTGCACAGCGCCCCTACCTTAGGATTTTCAGTTTTCAAACTTGGCAACTTCAGGAGATTCATATATTCAGACAGCCCCTAATGAAGTTATACATTTGAGGGAGAAGTCACCCTCATCAACTTCATCTTTAAAAAAAAAAAAATCTACACAGCAGTTATTGCTGGAACATCTGAGTCAGGAATTCTTCCAACGATCTGTGATGATCAGGGCTGACAGGCAGTAGAAATCTCCATCATTTTTCCTACCCTACTGAAGCAGTCTGTGGTGTGAGACAAAAGTACAAGTCTAACTGGGAAGAGCTGTCACCATACTGTGCATATGTGCACATACTTATACCCTTGTGTGCTCTACATAAAATTTGTTACTATCTTTTAATCTGCCAAAAACTGCTTTAGAAATTGAATCCTTCATCGCTCATTTGAAATTTGTTGGAATACACACAAACGCAGCCTCCATCAATAAAATCCTATTTGGGATTTCAGCCACACACAGTCCAGTGAAAATCCACTGGGTGTGAACAGAAGTATTGTATTGTTGTTCTCTGAATAAGATACAAGCAGACACCATTTTGATCTTCCATGCCCTGACATATCAAAGTCAAAACAATCAGAATGTTTGTGTTGTAGTTTCTAAAGAAAAATGAAAGAGGAAATGCCTACACAACCCATTTTTCCTAGCACTAGTTCTGACACTCTGAAAAAACCCTCAGTATAAAATTCTGCCAAAGGCATGTAGGGAAAAAAAAATTGGCGTCACTCAGAAGCAGGACTCAACAGCTCATCTACGAGAATCTATCAGAGCCCATATAACAGCAGCTCCAGCAATATCAGTAACCTGGCCAAAGGAAGAGATCCTGAAATTATTTTCATTTTCCAAAATCCAACACAGAAATTACTATACTCTGAGGACAGCAGTGAATTTGCACATTAAATTCAAAAGTTAGAAATTATTACTCCCAGCAATCCAGAGCACTGAGAAGTTATGTTGTTCTCATGTTAATTTAAAAAAAAAAAAAAAAAAGGGTAATGCAAGACCAGAATTAACATTACAGCACTCAGTCATGCATACTGAAGTAAGAATCACACATTCACTGATAATGCAGAGGTGTTCATCCAAACAGTTACTGATGTAAATTAAGCAAAATCCAACAATTATAAACTTTATACTGGATAGCATTATGCAAGTGGAAACAGAACTGGAATATTAATAAAAATATCAGAATAGCATTTTAGAAAGAATATTACCTTTGAACATTTCTCATTTAGTCGTCAGTGCAAAAAAGCAGCCACACCCATTCTTAAAAAGTTGTATTGCAAAACTCCTTGCAGGTGTTACTAGCAGATGCATTTTAGGTATAGCAAACAAAATTTCTTTTCATGGGCCTTCCTGCTGTCTCACTCTCACTGCACATTACACCAGGTAAGGACAGCCATTTTAAAGCCACAGTACATGGAAGAGTTTTTAATCACAGAAATGCAGATTCACAACAAATAAGATGTTTTCTGAGATAAATTTTTGTTAATTATTTAACATTGCATACCTGAAAAACTCAAAGTTGAGACAAGCCTTTGGCAAAAAGAATTTGTCATCTTGCTTGAACCACAATTTACTCATAGCAGTGTCCTGTGTCAAGAAAAGAGGTTAAGTCACCTAAATTCTAACTGTAATACATGTAACAATTTTTTTTAAAAGTCAATTACTTCAAATGTCAGTGTTGTCTCCTTAAATTCACATTTTTTCTATGTCAGCTGGCATATACATCCATCACTTATTAAGGCTACCTTCTTAACCATAAAGCACTTTCACATGCAGTTACACAGCTGTAACATTGTGAACGAGCTTATGGTCATCCTGGGAACAATTGCTCCAGAGCACGAATGCTCAAACAGAACTGTCTGCTGCTGCAGACATTAAGAAGTGCCATCATGGGGACAACACCAAGGAGATTACAGCAGCACATTGATGCATGTTTTATACAAAGGGTGTAATTGTATATTTAATGCTCTTAGTAAAAGTGATTAATTCACAGCACATTGCTTTAAAGTAGCAATGGTAAGAAAAAAAGCAATGTATTTTAAAGAGTAGTTAAACTAGACGGAAATTAGAAGATCTATCACCAAAAACATTTAGAGAAATCTCCCAGCAGAAAAAAGAGAATCAGAACCACCTTGCTTATTCCTTTTTTCTCCCACAAACATTATGAAATAAATACATTGTCTATTCTAACTTCATCTCCCTAACATCTTTTCTATTATTGCCACACGTGAGAGCTCTATTTTTTAAGTATAAAGATATTTCTCTTTCTCATATTTTTGAGCAGATGTTCTTTGCTTCTCAGAGATCTGCCATGGTATTTTCCTTCTCCTTTCTACTTTAAAGAACTAAGTCCCGTACCTTACAGCACAGCACATAATATTCCACTCATACTAAGCAGCAAGATTACAGCTTATCTCTCTGACAAATATTTCTTCTATTAAATGACTATTACTCTATTACACAATGTAGGACACATTGCATAAACTGACTACAGTGCTGGAGACTTGATGCAATAGCGTATCTCTGCTGATCCAATTCTTGTAATGATTTGCTATGGGGTCAGACAAATGCCAGGGCCCACAGAAAGAAAACAGCACAGACATACAGCTGGTGACAAAATAGAAGAGATGTAGGCAAAATATATGAGATAGCTATTTTATCAAGTACAGAAGGTTAAAAATACTCCCCCTCAAAAAGTATTTTAAAGGCAAAGGAAAAACCAATAGCAAATACATTTCTAAAGTAATGAAAGCAAAGCTTTTGTGCAAATCAATTGCTTAGTTGCTACAGAGACACTGAAGGACCATCAAGTTTCTGTAGCAAACCAATTAGTACTACTTACTAGAGCTGTAGTATTTGTCCCTGCTGAGGTTTAGGGTTTCAGTTCAGGAAGAACATTAATATAAACTCAAAGTCCTCCTCTGTTAATAAGAGTGCTTCAAGTATATGCCTAAAGTGCCCTGTGCAGAACAAATACGTTTTCCTGAAGGATCTCTTTGCACTAAAGTAGACTTATATTAATCTAATGTGCATAAAAGTGTTTCTGAATTAATTTAGTATTCAAGCTGAAGCACAACACATAACTGAAGAGCTTTTCCTATTTAACCTCCAACTAAGCCCAGAGCAGAGATGAGCATTATTAGCAAAGACAAGTACATGCCAGTATCTTGAAGTAGTTCTTAATTTTTCAAATACTGAGATTTGCTAGACAAATTGAGATTATTAAATGATGATAAAATTTCCAGGAGACTGGGGAGTGATATTTATGTTCACATCTTTCTGTCTCCATGCAATTGCAAGCTTTCCTCATGCACAGTTACAAACCGATAGCCTTGTCTGCACCCTCAATTTACTGAACACTGCTCAAAAAATACAAGATGGGCAGTCAACCTTCTGCTGGATCAACAGTTTCAATACTATTTCTATTAACTTTTAACACACTTCCAAAAGGACAAGAGTTCAAGTTGCCTGAAGATTCATTTTCATAGGAACCCAAGCAGCCATAATCCAAAGTTCAGTACGAAAGGACTTTCTATTGTCTAGAAATAGCTAGAAGATTTCTATTTTTTAAATTATGTTCTGGCATATGATATGACTTCTATTTTAAAAACACACTGCAAACTTAACTGCTAACTTCCCGAAGGTTAGCAAGCAAACAGAAAAGATACAGATACCTTACCTTGACAAGGGCAGGGTACTGAGTTGCATCTTTTTCCAATGGTAAAATCTCGAAGTTAGTAGGAATGAACTCATTCTTCATTGGAAGCTTGAATTTCCCATTCAAGTCAGCATTTTGCCATTTCTAGACAAATAGTAAGAATGATAAGGCTAAGAAAAATTTCTGCTTAAATAATATATATAACATACCTATATACTATATGTATGCATACATATATTGCATATACTTATTGCTTTTCTGCTGTAACAGAAGACTGAGGAATACACTCCACTAGCTTGTGTGTAAATTCTAGCAAGGTAACTGGAAAAAACAAAAATCTGGGGAACGGGGTAGGATGAAGAGCTCAGGAGGAAGGTGACAAAAGAAAAAATATATATTTTTTTAAAGTTTCTAGTACAAGGGTTCTGTGTCTCACCTTTTCTGCTACTACTAAGTGAAGGCATCACACTAAATGCATAAGCAAAAACTTTAAATCAAGAACAAAGGCATGATCAACCTACACGAAGTGATATGTTCCCAAGCAGGGTCTATTCAAAGCATGTTAGGCAGGTCCAGTATAGCTTTAGAGTGTATTTAGTCCTCTCTTTCAGAAGAAGTAGTAATCAGTAGCAAGACTCAATAAGGATTTGCTCACTTTCATTGCTAGAGCTTTGATTTTCATAAGTTCAATTAATATGCTCATTTTGTAACTTGCAAAGATCAATTTCAGAAACAGTTACATACAACAGTTGTAAAAACATCCCTTTCTTAACAGAATAGTTCATCAACATTTAACAGATGTAAGCATAAAGTTTTTAAAATTTAGAAGTAGCCACTGCATATTATGGACTTTTCATAGAAAAACTGTGTAACATTCTCCACATTAAAACTTTATATGGCTTAAGACCATTAAAATGAGTATGTTCAACGTAAGAAATTAAAATGTAAAGTGCAACATAAGATCCTCAGTTAAACAGACTCATTGCATATTTTTTGTACTATACACAGAGCAGATTTCAGGGTTTTTCCTTCCCCTAGAGGGAAAATTAGACTAAGATTCACCACTGTCTTTCATTTGGACATAGTGGAATACATTAAATGTTTTAACATGCCTTAATAACTTCATCAGAAATTGCTTCTTGCTTGTATTGTGTTCCATACCAGCCTTCAGTTCGATCAGTTTTTCCTTCAAAAGACTTGGACACTATTGCAACTCTAAAAACAAAAAGACAAAGCACTTTGGCATGAATGTATCTGGGAAGAACTGAGAAATCATTCAAAGCACTATTTCTGTTCCATCATTAGCATGCATTTATTTGTGGAAATGGCTCCTGGACAATTAAAGGACAATTTAGATAGTGACGATAAATACACAGAACTACACACTATAGCCATCAGCATAATTTAATTTCACCATTTTTTCTTCAAGCGTTACAACCTGGAGTTATACACGACTGCTGTAATCCATTCCTGTCTCTTAGGCTTTGTCCTTGTTCCAGAAAACAAGGAAAACAGTCCCCGAGACCTTCTTCAGAAAGAATGAAGTGACTAATGGTGGTTTTCATTTTTAAATTGACATTTGTTTTGTTTGTTTATGAAGATGAAGTCAACATATTCCACAATCAATAAATACTACAGGATTACACTGTTAGAAACCCAGAGGAAAAAAATGTAAGATTACAAGTCCAGAATAAAGAAAACCGGAATTGTACAAGTCTTCAGAACAGGCACCAAGCAATGATACACTCCTTGAATTCTTTTAAGCTGCCTATAACAACATGAAAGAGTACTCAACAGAAATACGTAGAATTCTGAGATGGCCAGAAAGAGGTAAACACAATTATCTCCCACATACATTTGGTGACCACTAAATGCTGGACTGCACAGTAACAAACTTTGTCAAATGTTGTGCAGATGGCTAAAGCACATGTTAAAGTGTCTAAACTTATACGGTACAAGCGTTCTTCAACAGCACAGTAGCCACAGGCTAGGAACATTCTGTTGTGTATTTTTAACGAGTAAGGCAAAGAGGCAGAAATCAAACACTCATGTGGACATATCTCAAACTATAGTACTTGACTTTATAAATGTTCTACTGGAGAATACATCTGGGATGAATTTTGCAATACTCTGAAAAGTTTAAATACGTGGAATATTAATACTGTAAACGTTTATCTCCTTATTCCTCCTTACTCATCTAATGCATATACATAAATGGCTAAATGATCCAACAAGGTCGAAGAATCCTGTTGTATTAAGTTCAAGACTCCTCCATTAGCAAGATTTTCAAATTATTGTAATTTAACCTCTATTTTGCATTTCAAGCAGCAGGATGGGAGTGGGATAAAAAAGTCACTAGACAATAGCTAGCATTAGATGCATTTAAATGAGAAATGCATCTCAGAATGACATGGGATTTAAAAACATTCTCTAGCAATAGATCTGAACTGAAGGAGGACTTGTGCTGCTCATTTTGAAACAGACACACTAAACAGCAGTAATCAAATCTCATGTTTCAGTGATACAGACAATTACCTCAGGGTAGCCACATGATTAGCATGAGTATGTGAACAGACAAATACAGAATACCCCCTGCTTTTCTTCAACAGTGCTGAGATGTCCAAACCTGGACATTCATCTTAGAAAGATATATTTCATGTCTCATTGTAAACAGCAATAGAATTGGTTAACATTTTTGTTGCAACTTCGTATTATGACAGTTTCTAAAGTGTTTGCATGTTATATCTATTTTTTCTTTTACTTGGTATTGTTCCTTTTTTATAAATACTCAGCAAAGAGCTAAGCACTTTAGTTCCAGAGAATATTTACTCTTGCAGAATAGCAGACACCATCTCAGTGAACAAAGCAAAATCCATTACAGAGATTGGTGTTTACATAAAAACGAGCCATAGGAATATTCTCTGCTCTGCATTTTAACTTGGACAGCTGGTGAGCAAAAGCTCTAGCCCGTATAGATGAAGTTGCTAAGAGACTGTAAAAAAAACATAACATCCATTAAAATTTCATAGCTACCTACCAGGCCTTTTCTGCCATCCTGAAATACAAATAAAGTCTTAAGCTAAAAGATTATCCTGATAAAATTCCAATAATGATGTGGATTGAGCAGCTAGACAAAGGTGTGCCATAATACGCAAATGTCTTTCATGCTACTGCTTGATCATCAGTATCCTGGAGAAGGGTAAGAGTGAGGAATGTAGTAACAATATAAGAACCCATACAGTTGCTGCTTTAAAGAGCTAAGAATAATTCTACCTGGTCAACATATAGAAAATGAAATTGTAGCAGCAAGCTTTATCAGTAGTGCTGCTTCACGGAATCCTCCTGCCCTATACCTTGAGTCACCATTGGAATAAATAGCAACATTTTGAGCTCTCTCTCAAAAAAAAAAAAAAAAAGAAAAAGAAAAAAAAAGCCCATAGCCACATAAAACAAACATAAAAGTGTTTGATGTGCTTGTAACTCAAGCACCTAAACCAAGCACCTACAGCAAAGAACAGCAGGACAGAAAAAGGGGAGAAAGAAGCACAATGTGTAGAAATAGAATCCTGTGCAGTCATTTAAATGTATCATGATGCATCTTTGAAGTTCCCAATCACTCCTTTTCATTCCTGTGATGTGACGAAGTGTTGAACAATGAACATCCTATGGTTTAAGACAGTGCTGAAGCTCACCAGAAATGTAAAATAGGCAACCTTTAGATTAAGTATGTTGTAAGCAGTTCATAATAAACAAGTACAATCAGAATTGTGAGCCACTCATGAAAAAGAAATGCAGTTGAATCTACAACACAATTTCCTTCTCTATGTACTTCCTTGAATATGCAATCCGTTGAAGTTCACAGTTATTCAGTCACGTGCTGTGTCTCTACAAAAGCATAATTTGTGATGGGACACAACACATTATGATTTTCAAAATGTTTCATCAAACTTAATGCAAACAAACAAACAACTCTGACATACACACAATATTTCTAACTTGTTTATCTGCAGGGATGAACTGTTCTGAATCAACTGTTCTGATCAGGAACTGTTCTGAAACAACTACTTGTTCACTGTGGAATTCAGTCCCCTAGAAATTTCTCATTTTTTGCACTCATTTTATTTTTCTTCACTCTAGGATTCTGCTAATGCTGCTCTTTGGATATCAAGAAAGAAAAAGAGACTATGTATAATCCAGAAGAAAAGTTCTTTAGTTGCTTAACCTGATGAGTCACTAACTTCTTAACTTTTAATAAGAGCATTTATACTGCAGATGATGGGGAAAAAATGTATTGGAAACAACAGGAAAATTATCTTTTTCAGCTAAGATTGTGACACATGCCTTATCTTCACAGATGGCTGGCAAAACCCAACGCAGTTTGAACAAGTAAAAATTATACTTGGTTCTTAAAAAGGTTTCTCTCTTGGGGAAATTAAGCTACTAAATGCATCAAGTAATGTGTGGGGGCAGGAAGAGAATATAACAATTTCCTGTTATGGCTCAATCAAACAGAAGAACATATGGATACTTGCTGCCATCTGTGAGTACAGTTATCTTTCCACACTTTTTAAAAACTCAACTTGTTAAGAAAATAACATGGTCAAAAATCTAAACTATTTTCTTTCAAAGCAGTCTCTATGAACACAGCTACCCCAATATAGATATGCCAAGAAAAGTCCTTAATGCAGGTAAATTCCAAAAACATTATGAAAAGCAAATAATAAATCCATGACATGAAGCAGTGTGTCAAACCAAGGAAAACTTAACCACTGCAAAACAGTTTATACAAAGCAAAAATTCTAAGAACAACTAGAATTCAAATTTGTGTGGAAATTCTGGCTAAGCTTTAAGAGTAGATGTATTACATATTCCCCATCACTTAGTAAAAGCAGCCTTTGTATTACAGTAAGCCTTGGTATCTAATTTTCAGGAATTAGGATGAACATGAAAATAGATTCAAAATAGAAATATTTAATACAACAGAAAAGGAAACCTGGATATTTTCTTTCAAGTTTCACTTGTTCAAAATGCACTCACTCCAAGTACTAAACCTTCAGTTGTAGTATCCCACACACATTACACATAGATGCACACCCACATACAGAAATATTGGCGCTTCTTTAAAGGGCATTAATTACTATGGCAACTGCTGTCACCGACACAGGCAGCTCCATTTATTTTATCATTTCCAGTATACTCTCAGAAGCAGCAGAACCCTATGGTATCTGCAGATACAGATGATAATTCAATTCTATTATAGTTTATCCAATGATTTCAAATATACTGTTTTTTAAAAATAAACTAATTTGAAGCATAAACTAAATGAATACACGGGAGTTTGTCATACATGAACGTGTGCCCCACTGTCCTTCTACATACATCACTTCAAGAATTGTATATAAAGCACACTCAAAAAGACAAAAAAATCACCTTTTTTTAAATACAACTAGCTTCTAAAACATTCTAAAAGGTGTTCAATAACTGTAACACTGACATACAGAATCATAAGCAACATCATGTTGCAACAACTTATTATAGCTAAACTGAAAGAAAAAAACAAAAAAAGAAGGCTCCCAAGTGCTAGTATGATTACGGCTCATGAAGCCTTGATATGCTCTCTCCCTTTCTCGTAACTAGATTGCATTAAGTCACAAACATATCAATTTGTTATAAATGGATATATTACAGAACAGATGACTGAGAAGCAACTGATATTTTGTTTGTTTTACTCCAGGCACAACCTGATCTTCTCTTTCCAATACTTAGATCCTTCTCTAAATGAGCAGAATTATTGAAATTTTATTTCCACAGCACTCAGTGCTACAGCAAGTAATTTTCTATTTTAAAATATCCCAATTGATTTGAATTGACATAATTTTCATAGATTGCAAGCTTAGGCATGAAGAAATTTACAAGAATTTCATTTCAGATGCTTATTAAGACCTTTTTCTTTGTATCATATAGCACCTTACATTTATCACACAACTTCCAACTGCATTGGTTTATCAAGCAAAGATGTGGCACTGGCATTTTATTAAGTAGCTCGAGAGTATTTCCCTTCCTTAAGAATTGAAATAGAAGTTGTACGGGGTAAAAGGTAATAATTTATTTATTTAAGTACATGTTTACAGAAAGCAGAAAAAAAATAGCAAGATTTGCTTAACAAGTTTGCCTTTCATAGACTGTATCACAATTGGCATATGTTTTTCTGTTCAGTTTCTCCAAATTTGGTCCCACTACTTCTGCTGCTGCTCCATCTCAGTCTCCTTTTCTGACACCTCTATGCAATGTTTTCATGACTCTCACTTTAATGCCCCTGCTAAGGAGTATTGATATATTCTTTTCTTTTAGTCTTTTCTCATAAGTCCAGCTCTGCCTACTACAACCAATTCCTACTCCCTTCTCATCTCTTCAGCAGACAGCCTTTCTTCTTCATCTTTTAATTAGGTAACAGTCCTCCAGACCTACCTATAACTCTGCTCAAATTACCCCATGATTTCCATTGCCACCTTTGCTGTCCCAAGTTTCTCCTCTCAGTGTTAACCATCTGCCAGGCCTTTCCTCCCTCTCCACTAACACTCCCTTTGTTAGCCTGCCCAATTTTTTTTCTCTGGCACTTCCAGATTCCTCCATTTGTAAATCATCTTTTGTCAAAGTATGTGTTTCAGTGCACCCACTTCTCTCATCTGTATCATACCACTCTTGTTCAACTATTCAAATACACTAAGTACGTCTGTTCTTTATGAAGCCTCTCTTTTTCACTCTGCTTGGGTGATTACAGAGGGTCCTCCAAAGCACAGAAGAGAGAAGCTGCTTCCTTTCCTTTCAACACCTGATCTGACCATCTGCTGAGTCCTGGAATCCATACTGCAACACACTGAAGCTACAAAGAAAGCGCGCATACAGCACGGTCACTTGCACCAAAGAGATGTTCTGGAAGCTTGGGAGATTTTAGCAGCTAAAGATGCAGCTATTTCTACCCACATAAATTGATTTGCTTGTAGAGGCTCTATTAGTCTGCACAAAGCCTGGGAACACATGCACAGTAGATAAAAGCCATCCTCTTAACAGATTTCCAGAAATAGGCCGAAATAAAAAGGACTGCAGCATTATATTAAAAAATACCCCAGAATTTAAGTGATGCAGGTTAACTTTTACTAAGCTTTTTCCTCGGTAACAGTTGAGCTATTCTGAATAATTATCTTCCTAAAAACAGTTTCAGTCTGAGGAAGACATCCTGCATAGAAAAGGCCAAAAGGATGGCTTTGTCTGTGCAGGACACTTACCTATTTCCAACGGGGAGCAAAAAGAAGGCTCATTAACACACAGAATTGCTGTCTCTTTTACAGCGACATTTACTCTGGAGCTGCGAGAGACACCTAAGAACTTGTATTTCCATTACTTCTTTGCCTTTCTCATAAGACTTGGGTTAAAATATGACCCAATTAAACTTACCGAATGTTTTCTGGTCTCAGTTTATCCAATACCATCTCTATTAAATCAGGCCTGAATTCTTCAAGCAAATATTCAGCAGCCAATACTTCTTCTATGGGATAATACTGAAAAACAGAGGACAAACATAGAGATGAATAAAAAACTAAGCACGAAAAAAAGAACAGCAATGTAAAATGTAAAGGACATTAAAACTGTAGCTTTAACCTGTATCAACTTCAAACTTCCAAAAACTTCCAAATCACTCTTAAAACTAAACAAGAGTGAGAATATTCTGATTATGCAGATCATATTTTTCCTATACTGTTAATTTTACATAATGCGTATTGCTAGATTTCCCTCTTGAAATATTGCATGTTTCAATACAGAAAGTCACCTATCTCTAAATACTGTTTTGAACTAAAGTAAAAATAACATGGTAAATGCTGACCCCTGGAGGATATTTTTAAAGATCGAAGGACACCAAGTAATCAGTGTTTGGGAAAGCAAAACATAATGAAGTAAGCAAACAAACAAACAAAAAAGGGTCTTTTTCTAAGAATTTTCCCAAGATTTCAATAATTTTTATAATTTAGGAAGAGCATCTTTCAAATATCTAAAAGTACAATACACATTTACTCAATTTTAATTCTAGCATTAGAATTAAATGGTAAGATTATCTCCAGACACTCCTCCTAATCTCAACCACTCTCTGATTATGTCTCAGAAAGTCTGTTTTATTTTGGGAACATTATATTCTGACCTGAATTGACTTACATGCATCAAATTCAAATGAAATCTTAAAAATGATAAAGAACATTTAAAAAAAAAAAAAAAAAGAAAGAAAGAAAAGAAAAATTCCAAGAGTACAGCGAGCCAGGGTACAACTATCTGGAAAGCATGAAGCTTATAAGACAAACAGGAAATGTAATTCAACAGAAGAGTTTAGCAGTGATTCGTTACACAACCACAACTGGTCTTGTTTTTTGTTTTTTGTTTTTGTTTGTTTGTTTTTTTGCATAGAACTTCTACTTTTTTTTTTTCTAAATCCTTTTGACAAACATATAACAACATTGCATTTCCTTACACTAATTTACATAGGTTCTCCAAGTTATGAAAAACACTTTTTTGTAAGCATAAGAATTCACCACACAATAGACCTAGCTTGGTTACTTCGTAATGCGAACTTAGTAGAACTCAGAAAAAAAGCACAGAATTAGAATCAGAACAGGTATTTTTCAATTTGTGCTTAAGCAATTAATACCAGAATCAACATTACCATTTGTACTGCAAAGCACAGCAAGAGATAAAAAATACTGTCCTGATTCGTTATTCTGATCTTTGGAATACTGCTGTCAACTTCCTGACCTGATTTTTCAAGCCAGTAATCAGAAATCAATCAGAAATTATCCAACATATAAAAACCATTGAAAGACTGTTTTAGAGACAGAAAAAATTCGCTTCTTAAAGACATTTTCCGCACTTAGCAGAGCAAAATCAAGAAATGGCATCGCAAACAAGAGCTTTTTAAAATATCCACCTAAACACTAACAGCTGTTTAATGTTTTTAGTAAACAGAAAGACAATTCTAAAATAAAAACTAATATTTTAGATATTACAAATGAAAGCTATAGGAAATACACAGGAATTCCTGCAAAGAAATAAAAAACGCCTCTCTGTATGCGTAGATATTGGATGTGCAATGGAGAATGGCTGCAATCTACAGAAGTTGTACAGTGAGTTCTGCTGAACACAAAACCAACTTACTTCAGCGCAAAACGAGGGAAGTGGATTTTCTAAGATCCTTTCAGTACCAACACATAATAATGTTAAAAGAGTCAAACATTTTAAATTTGCTATCTTAACACTTCTGCTTACTGCAGTATTCCAACATTATTATGTATAGAAGCATTTAGTACAGTACTCGGGTTTACAATAAAATTTCATTTCTCTAAAGAACATTTAGCTGTCAGGTAGGCAGAGAATGACAAAGTACCTGTGTGTTAAAAAACACTGAAGCAAATCAAATAGCATCTCCAGTTGTAATATCACTTCTACCAGGTACAACAGTATAAAATGGTAGAGTGTGAAGAAAATGTGACTCGCTGAGTATCAATGGGAAGAGCTACGTGGCATATTAACTTCCTAAACTCAAGTACAAAAGAACTTTGCAAATGCCTGCATTAATTTGGAGCACGGTTAAACATACTGGTACATGATTAATATATTATCCAAAACACAAGATTTTTTAAAAACAAGCAAAAATATCACTCACGTGCAACATTCCTCCAAGCTTTGATGTATAACCTCGTGGTCGTTCTTTATCTTTAAATCTGAAGGCCACAGCATTTAGATCCTACAAAACAACGTAAGGGTTGAAATGTGTAGTGAAATGCATTTTAAGAATAATTAAAGACTATTTTAAAAACTATTTTATAGTAGTATTCAGTCTGAGACAGGCACATAAAACAAGAGTTGCACAAAACTCGTGAGCAAGTTCAGACAGTCTCACAACATAAAGCATTATAAAACCTCATTTCCAAGAAACTCTGTGCTGAAAAAGATGGGTAGCTTTTAAAGTCACATTCATAGTAAAAGATCTCCCCATAGCACATATATTTTGATCTCTTGATATTGGGAAAACATCCCAAATTTGATACAACCAATCTTGTTGCAGTGCAAAATACTTACAGACCGGATGAGCTACTTCTTCCTCAACTTTCATTATGCCACAATGCAATGTTAACTCATAGCTCTGTAAGTGCATTTCACATTTATATTGAAGATGCATTCTCAGTGTATTCGCCATTTGCGTCATGTCACAGAAAACACACCTTTAAAATTTTAAAACTTATTCATCATGCAATTAATAAGCCTATTTCCATAGCAAGAGCTCTGATTCTCTTTACCATTCAATAAATTGTGAAAACACTACCACTGCTTATTTCAAGTAACAATTGCTGTACCTTGCACTCTTGGAAAACCCATTCTTGAGGTCCTTCTGTACGTAGTTTTTGAATATACTGAAACATGTGCAAAATAATATCTTCAACATGCACTGGAAAGAAAAAAAAACAGCTTGCTTAATAATTGGCTCAATTCTACACACAAACACACAAAATTATTGTGAAAAGAAATAGGAAAGTTTGCATTTTTAATTACATCAAGATATTTGATTACATGAACAATCCCCCTGAAAAAGTTACTGTGATTGTTTACAGACGTGAACTGTTTAGGTCCCAAGCTAATTCTGAGAATTGCTTTGAACATGCTGTGTAATAAAATTTTATAATATCATTTAATTTCACATACTATGAATAAGTAGCACACAAAGGTATTAACAGCTTTTCTTCTAAAGTAGTTTACTTTAAAATACTTAATTAAATATTTCAATTGTACCCTCAAATAAGTTCACTTCTTGCATTAGATGAAGAGTGTTAACACAGTGATGGGGTTTAATATACTAAACTAACTGGTTATTCTGGGTTTATCTTTCAAGCTATAAACATAATTAGTCTCTCTGAAGACAAAAACAAGCCCATTAGATCAGGACTAACATGGAATGCAGACATAGTGGCTTCACTTACAAAGTCCTTCCTCTGTCAAGTCCACATTTATAATGAAAAACATGAAACCTCTAGCACCTTCCTTTTGTCCTCCAACAAGAGTATACACCCATCCTATGAAATCAAAGAGAAAATTTATTGCATAAGCAAGCCTGTAAGGATTTATACACCACTTTCTTTGTATGCTTTGGCAACAATACATTTTTTTCTTCTTTTTCTGGAAAACCTTGACTACTTTACATGTTCACCTTGCCTATCTTAACATCTACAGCAAAAGAATAAGTTCAGCAACTGACCCATCTGATCTTGTGATGCAATAATTGCAACATCAACTATCACCAGGTAATTTATGTTTGGAACACAGTAATACAGTGAACAACATTGAGGTATTCCTTCTTCTATTCCTCCAGACATTAAGAGAGCTGACAATAGCCTCTAAGTCAGTGACAGAACAGAGAAAAAACAGTATTTCAAAGCTCATATGTCTCTAAGCAGGGCTGAATGAAGCAGAGCACTAGAAATAGTAGCTTCCAAAGTCAGGGTGTTTGTTATTTATTCATTTTTACTCATCACAGAAACAAGAATGAAGTGGGTAAATATGATTTACAACTCAAATTATTCAAATAGCTGGGGAATTCAAATTTAAAAAAAAAGCTTCACATAAAATTGACCCATTTATGGTAGGTCTTCAAAAAATGTACAATTGATTAATTTTTAATTCTTCACATTCAAACTACTTACCTTTGGCTTTAAGCTCTGACAGAAGACTCCCTGGGCCTTCATGCCCAATCAGATGACCAAGGTAATGGCCAGGATTTGATTTATAGTATTTCTGAAGGTCTGGTATAGGAAATGTGACATAAAGATTTCTGATGTCCTTAATAGGTACCACTTTGTAAAGTTGCTGAAGATAAAAATTAAAAAGCAGATCCATAAACAGACATTCACCCAATCTCATCTATTCATTTCAATAGCAAATATCATGTCCCCTTATGTACATAACAACAACACTGGGTTGAAAGTAAAGGTATAGAAGAACCACGGCAACATTGGAACCAATCATTATGCAAACACACAGAATTAATTATCCCAATCTCTGCAACCAAACATACATCTTTACTAAAAATTATATTAAATACATTCATAGACAGGTAGGTGAAAATATGAGGAAAGAAACAGAGATGCTGCTACAAAAGCAGTCAAGTATACAATGTATTACTGTAACATGAGTAGTTGAGAAGTATCACCTGAGGTACACAAGCCCACCAAAAGATACAACTCTATACTGACCCTGAGATGTTCTTCTTGGAAAGGATGTTCGGGAAATTCTGGTATAGGGACGTTTTTGTTCTCTACTTCTGAAAACAACTTCACCACTAGGGAAGTCAGCTCATCCAAGGATTCTATAATAATAAAGAAATATTACAAAACACCTAATCATTATCTGATGTTTCTATCTAACTTAGATTTTCAATATTCTATAGGGAAGATATGGATTATACAGAACAATCGTTCCAATGATATGATGGTTATTCGATTCAGAAAGGAAATACGTAACACTTCAGTATTGAAATATAACATGCTATAAGCACCATGCTTATTAAAGGCTTCAGCCATGATTCATATAAAATCTGTTGAAAGGAAAAAACATATTTAAAATAAACTGACGAATCTAAATCTAAGGTGGAATGGAAGAAGTAGTAAATCAGATGTTAAGCATTAAAAAATTAAACAGCACAAACCAAAGTAGTCACTCACACAGAGATTTTGTGAAGTGCATATAACTCTGTTAGAGACCCATGTTTTATTTTATCTTTTTTCCCCACACTGGGAAAAAAAAAGTATTGAAGAATGCACCTACAGTATAAGACAGCATTGGGCATTAAATTCAATAGATACTATTAAGGCTTTCTCTGGCTTAAAACCAACTCAGTAACACTAAAAAGAAATGCAGAAAGTTCCAGGCTTACTTCATTAGAACACCAGTCAAGGCTGAAGTGTGCATTTTTCTGCACTAAAAAGAAAACCAGTTGCCTTCTATCAATGTGTTACCCTGTTTAACTTGGCTACTGAAGGCCAAGTTAATAAACTGTTACTCCCAAAGAACTTCTCCAATGTTTTTTCCCCCTCTCCAAAGTTTATACACTTGCTTCTTCGTTAAAATATATAAATAGGAATACACTACTGCACTTAATTCTTCGGGGGAAATCTTCAAAAACATTCATATCAAAATTACAAAGAACTTCACAGTAACATTTCTGGTTAATGGATTAGCTTCCTTAGCAATTAATAAGTACACAATTCACCTACATAAAATGTAAGAAGTCTGAATTCAAGTTTTCCTACTGAAGTTTACGTAACACTCAACAAAAAAAACAAACATGCCACCTTAATACAGGCAGAAAAGAACACAATCATTTAAGCTTCCCAGCTACAGTCATGGTTTTCTTTAGGACAGATTTCCAGTTGCTAGGGTGATTCTTACTGAAAAGGTAAGAATTTAAGTGTCTACATAGGAACTGCTATACTGAAATCGTTGCATGAATTTTGCTTTTGATTAATTTTACTTTTGCAGGATGAATTTTAAAACAAAATTACAGCGAAGTTATATTTGCCAGTATTTACCAGAGATATTCTGATTCACTTATCACTTTTCACTGAGGCACATTGTATATATAAAGTGGAGGGGAAAAAAATCAGAGAATTACTAGGCTGCACACAGCTTTGCAAGTCTACCTACTTCAGAATGCACAACAGGGAGATCGCAGATGACCTGCAGTGAGCAATTTTATTAATTTATTTATTTAAATGTTAGAGCATTTCCAACTATTTGTTTATCTATCAATTAGAAGTTCTGCTACACTGACAGCAAGGTGCTTTCAACAAAAAAATTATGGAATTGTGTTAATAATGTTTGTTTTCTGCACCTTGATTTGTATGTGTGGAGCTCCCCACTATCAAAAGGAATTAAATCAAAAAGAATGTGGAACTTATCAATTTTCAATTCTGATTCTGGATGACTTCAAAAGAAGAAAACAAAACAAAACAACAAAACAACAAAACATTTCGTAGGATATAAAGCCTCCTGGAAAGCAATTGCATGATTCTGATGCTTGAAAAAACGAGTGAGAAATGAACGTTTCTTTTTAGGGAAAATAAAGAGAAGTAAAGGCTTTTCATCTGAATGTTAGATTAGGTTTATCTTTTAACAATGCAGACATATTTAGAGTGGAAATATGTACAAATGTCAAATATGAAAACAGCATCAAAAGCCCTCCCAACATCTGAGGCGTCAGTCTTCAAAAAAACAAGCATATGACAGCAACTGGTGATTCAATACCGGATTCAGATTTTCAGCTTAGCTTTTGTATTGTAAGCTTATGAACAATTACATTTACACAGTGCAAGTTGCTTTGGAGATGTCACTAAACGTAACATTAGGTTTGGTCAGTCTGTAAAAGCTTAACTTTTTCCCCTTCTGTAAATTTTCAGATTTTACTCTCCTCTTTATGAACATAAACACACTGAAAGTCTTACGTAACAAACAACAAGAACAAAAAACACTTTTGAGCTCTCACCTCTTCCTAAGACACAAATAGCCATTAAATTTGATGAATAGTAAGTAGAATGAAACTTCAGTAACTCTTGTCTTACATCTATTCCTTCTTTGGTTGGTCTAGTTTCCAGAGTGAATTTGTTCCCTGTAACACAAAATAGCAATAGAGCTTGTTGGTACAGGTATACTTGTGGTTTATGAATTTACAAAAAAAAGAAAAAAAAGAAAAATAATGAATCTGTTTTTGTCCGGATTGACAGTCAATTTAAGATTACTGTGCATAATGAAGTATATTTGTTCTATATTGTAAAAATTTAATTGTAGAAATTATTGTTGTAAATACTTCCATCCTCTTTGTGTGTAGATTCTCAAGAATCTAAGAATGCTTCAGACTTCATAATTAATATTTTAATTTTAATGGCTATTTCAAAGCAACACAAGTGAGCCCAGGCTTTAATTCAGAAGGAAAAGGCTCTTTTGCACAACTAGAGCAGATTTTACTCCTGCATACACACACCTTTCAGAGGAACCACTGTGTGAAATTACTTAAGGCACAGTGTGACAAAAATTACAGCCTAATATTTTAATTTTAAAAAAAATGATTATTAATTTCATAACAATGTTTTGTTAATTGTGACTGCTCAACTTATCAGATCTTACAGATCTGGACCTAAAGACAACAGAAACACAGAAGTTAGAAGAGTGCCCCTGAATCAATAGAAAGGGCAAATTAAAATAAAAGATCTAAAACTTCAGCTTAATAACTGTTCTATTAAGAGTACTAGCATAAATTAAGAGCCAACAGTCAGAAGACAGCTTGTAGACATAGGAAAATGGACAATACAAAAGTGCCAGGAATTATTGTTATAGGCAGTTACTCAGTGATGGATAAAGAGTATCTGTGGACAAAGGAACAAATAAAGTATTAAGTATTAAGGTACAACTGTTTCTCTGGATAGAAAGAATAACGTAAATTTCACTATCAAAACAGGTTCTGCAGAGATAAGCTGTGATCTAAAGCATCAAACGGGAGCACTCCTATATTCTGCTAGACTGGCTAACAGCTCAGCTCAGCCAACAGGAAACAATAAGGATGTCAACTGCAGTTGTCTGCATCACAGCTGGCAACCCTGAGCAAATAAAAACCAAAGTCAGGCGCTAGCTCTGCTGAGTCAGATTTGCAGGAAGGCTACGCTCTGCTGAATTTGAGCAGACCTCAAGTATTCTCCCCCTGCGCAAACATTTCATTTGTCAGCTAAAAAAATCTTCCTAAACTGTAGAAAAATATTTCTGCAATATCCACTAATATTTCTTGAGAGCTGCGTAGAAATGAAAAATAGTAATCTCTTCAGTAAAAGCAAAAACTTTATTTGCTGATTCAGGAAGGCCAAATTCCACCTCTCTGAGATTAGAGAATATACTTCAGATACTCACCTGCAGTTTCCAAGACTTGCTTTCAAATTCATTTGTTTGGGGAATACAGATTAAACTCCTCCTGTTTAGAACAGCCTCTTCATCAAGTGCAAAAATATTTTCCTCTTTCTTGAGCCAAAGGAAGAAGCCAGTCCTTACAGTTCATTACCTGCTCTCTAACCTCCCTACTGTACGCAATATTTCATCAACTGTTCACTCAGCAAACAGACCCAGCCACAAAATACATTCATGGTTAGATAGTGCAGTGCCCAAATTAATGGCACTAATACTTTGACAGCTTCAAAATAAACTTGCAACTCATGTATAAATTAACTTCAGCAAAACCTCCAATTAAACTTCTGCCAAAGCACATAACAGCTTTGGTTTTAAGCATAACCATGACCTGTTACTTTCATGCTTTTTAAATTGAGGCTTTTTAGCTTTCATTACTGAGCACTCCGTGATTAATAAAGACTGAAAAACACCATCAGCCATAGGATTGGGATTTGTTCAATAATAGTTTACCTTGACATCTGCTGCTGCATTTTATGCTTCAGATTTTCTTTTCATGTTCTTACTCAGTAATTGCCAGGTTACTTTGCTAATCTTTCTGATTTGACCTAGTCACTGTCACCCAGTCTTAACAGAATACTACTTAGCAAAAAGAACGTGACTAGGAATGATTAGAACAGTCCATCCACGTTACCGTGCACAAAGAAACACAGTACCAGATTACGACAAATGGAATCACTGGAAAACAGCATCCATTGCAGTAATTATCAAAATCATAAAGAATGCCTCATCAATATCATGCAAGTCTTGTATCACTCTATTCTGCATGTTTTGTCTAGCTTGGTTTGGTCTACCATGTGGAAAATGCAATAGAGCACTACAATAAACATGCATGGAGCAGAAAAAAATAAAAAAAACAAAATCAGAATTGTTTCATTCCAGTCTTGATCAACTCCATATAATAACACTGCATACACTACACAGAACTCTAATAGAAGAATAATAATTTTCTGACAAACCTGTTCCAAATTTACTGAAGGGATGATTGGGGTTTCCAGTAGCCTTCTCCAATTGAAACAACCTCCAGGCATCATTCATCAGATTCTTTTCATGCTCAGAATCAACAGCATTCACTTCTCTATCTTTGCAGCTTTCATCAAACAAAGGGCACAGGAAAAACTGGGCAAATCTAAACAGAAAATTTTCAGATCAACTTTCCATTACATTTATTAATAGTATGAAGTATCCCTCCTGAAAATAACTGATTACTTTCCAGTGCAGAATTCACAAATTCCACAACAGCTTTAACACCGATTCATTAGTTCTCAATTTCTTTACCTATAAATACAGACTACAACATACTCACACCACAAAGAATCAATCTTGTGTCACAAATAATACACAGAAAACTTCTACTGTATAGAAGTTTAGCTGCAAGAAGTTCTTAATCTTGTGAATCAAATCAATTTTGTCATACACAGGAAACAAGGAACAAACTTTGAGAGCAAAGAGCTCAGCCTTTATAAGTATGAACAACTTGATCACCCTTGAACCCTTTCTTTAATAACATAGTGAAAAAACATGAGGAAGAACTCTTAAGCCATTTGAAATAGCAGCAATAATTTAAACAGAAGTGTGTTTACCTGTCTAGTGCACCTTCTAGATGTTCGTGTGACACATCGAAGTAATAGTTTGTATGCTCTCCGCTGGTGAAAGCATTGGAGCTCCCTGCATGCTCACTGAGAAATTGACTATATTCATTCTCTTTTGGGTATTTCTTGGTTCCCAGAAACAGCATATGCTCACAAAAATGACTAAGTCCAGCAATGTTGGGCGGATCAGACAAAGACCCTGCAGGAGGAAAAATGTCATAAAATCACTGACAAAAAGTAATGATCAAATCTCAAGTCTTTTGAAGTTCTTTATATCACAGTATGTTGTCCAAGCCAATTATACAAATTCTGTAGTTATAAGTAGACACTTGGCAGCTAACAGTCAACTAAAATCAGTCTTAAAAAAAAAAAAAAAAAAAAAAAGGAAATTTAAAATGAGTAACTGAACCAATTACTGCCTCAAACTGCCTTCCCAGATCAGCCTGCATTGATTGCTTTTCAGACAAATAAGATTTAAATTGAAGTTCATGATTCATAATCTGTATAGACCTGGCAGATCACAATGTTCTGTCTTCTATAGTTTGATTTTAATAACTGCATTGCATTAAAAGGCAGCAATTGACAGCCACAATTAAGGAGGTGTTTCCCCTGTGGTTTACAGGATGAGTAATAACCTGTGATTAATTGCCAGGACACAAGCAGCTATTGGAAGTCAGTGAGGAGGTGAGAAGGCAGACACTTTAGAAAACAACAAAGGCTTCCTGGAACGTAAGGCAGAAACATGACGTTCGAATCTGGCAGTTCTGCTTTGGACCTTACAACAGTGAGCAATGGGAGAATATAGGTGGAGGTAACAGACATTTCCTCCAGCACACGTGCAGGAACAGGACATACGTTGGTTACTACTGTCAGAGTATCCAAGAAAACCAGATTTGGGATCCTCTGAACCAGATAATGATTTGTACCAGAAGCTTACAAAGTTACTCTACTACTTGTGTCCCAACATCAATGGCACAAAGAGCTCCCAACTATATATACTGCAAGAGGATGAGTAAAGATGCTCGGGTAATGTGTGCATGCATCACACTTTGGAAGTGAGAAACTGTCACTTTGAGAAATACCTCCACTAAAAGAAAAGGCTTCCACAGCTTCAAGATGCCGCCTTCCCTTTCTATGCCTTGTATTCCTGTTTGCAACTTAAGCATCACTGCAGCTAGGGTGTGCCTCCCCACCTCCTCCAGCACTACAGCACCTTCTCACCTCAACTCATCAACAATTTCACCAAAAAAAAAGTCTGACGTGACAGATGGAGCCATCTGAAATAATTGTACTCACACCCGCCCCTTTCCTGCTTACAAAAGAGCTTTCATAACATGAAACTTACTCATTAAAAGACATATTTCTACACTTGAGTAAACACAGTTTACCAAGAGAATTTAATTAGCCCTCATAATTTTCAACTTAGTACACCAAAGAATTAAGCTCTAAATTTCAGTAGAAGACCAGGCTAGCAACTAGATATTACTCCTGCCAGTTTATTTGCAATTAACATACCAAAATTTAAAGAATTTTAATGACATAATAATTGTTTAATGAACACAAATTGCATTAAATACCTATGTGCACATCGAGTGCTGCTGAAGACTTATCCGTGGTCGGGTCACTGATGAGAAGTGCTTTAATGCCATTTGCCAATTCCAGTCCACGATATTCTCGTTTATCTTCAGGTGATTTGATAATTTCATTTGTTATTCTCTTAATAGCAGGATTGTTCATTTTGTTATTTGTCTCCTTCTGAAGACTTAAGGAAAATAAAAGAGAAATCACTTACTGTTTTTACGTAAGAGCTGTTCACAGATTAACAGTTATGTTAGAGAATAAGCTGAGGGTGATAGAGACAGCAAGGAATTTAGTTCTGCACAACACTCATATACCATAGCCCAAATCCTGAGAGATTCCTGCCAAAAAAGTAAAATAAAAAAATAGGCTGAGCAATGCAAAAAAAAAAAAAATGCTGATCACATAATTGAATGTTCACAGTTTCACTAACAGTAATTAGAAAATAACTTAGCAAAGTAATAACATGTCCCTGTTCAACTACGATAAGAATGAAATAAATCCTACGTTGCTATCTTGAATATACTTCCAGGCTTTGGGAAAGTATTTTCACTGAAGCTTCTGAACTGGTCGTTATATTCTGTATGCTGTAACTTCACAGTCTCAGGTTTAAAACAAACACCACGGCAACTGGGTTTGTACAGTCCGATGTGAGAGGGTAACATCATTCACACAATTGCCAGAAACATACAAACAGAAGAATCACCATGATCAAAGACTGCCTCATATGTATAAATTCTACTATTTTACAGATGGAAGGTGGATCATTATAAAGCAAAGCAGCAGAGTAGGCATTTGATCTTAGAAAAAAATTTGGAAGAAGTAAAGACTATCTGGAATTTTCAAGTAGACTGAAAGAAAGCACAATTACCAACAAGAATTATAATCCAAGTAAAAAAAATCTGGAGTTTAGAAAGCATCAAGGAATAGTCAGAATTTGAACACTGCCAAGCCAGAGCCAATAATAAACAATACAGAATAGCACCTGTAAATGTGCTGCAAGGTGCATTTCAGAAGTAAATACTTCCATTACTAACCATACTTTTTTTTTTTTTTTTTTAAGCTCAGTCAAATGTAATAACTATTTCCCCACTTGGATGCTGAAATTAAATGTCTACACTCTAATTTACATCTCTCATATATTTACTGGCTTAACCTTATATGCAGAGTGCACCTATCATTCACAATCACAGTGTACTCCAAGCACAGAGACTTGTTTGTTTGCATCAACAACGTGTTGTGGAATAAAAATGTCTCTTCATTTAAAGTTCAAAGTATGAAGTAGAAAAACTCTACTGTAAGTGTGTATCTAAGCATAAAGGAAGAAATGATACTACCTTTCATAGACAAAGTAACTAAGTTGTTCTTAATTCCATTTCACTGTCTCTTCCACATGGTTCTATTGGACTGACAAGTGTAAGCATTCAGGAGAACAAAGCCATTTCTGTATTTCCTGATTTCACCTCTACTAATGCACAACTATCAGTCGGCTTTCAGTTAAAGCCTTCTGCCTCATTAACATACAGAAGATGAAGGTACACTATAAAATTTCAAATCTGGGAGGTTTCATATGCTACACAATTTCCTCATCACGTGGTAACTCCTTATTTCTCTACCTCCTCATTGAGTCACAGAATGTTGATTGTTCACACGACTCATCATTCCAATGTGATTCATCAAATTACACAGCTTCCGTGAAACCTCACAGTTTTCAACTGATGTCTTGTGAAGCTGCACACCTCCACCTCATTTTATCATCATTCCCTTCTTGTTCCTCCTTCACAGCTATCTCTAGTTTAGCTGCCAAATTTCAGAACAGGAAATCTACCATTCTCAAAAGATCAAATGATTAAGCCTTCCAACTAAGGTCTTAATTCTGTCTCTCTTTATTGATTGTTATTTTCATGAGCATTGTGAATGTAAGATTCTCCCCCAGCTCCATGAGGGTTCATATAATTAAGCCAGAATTACTTCCTTGAAAGCTACATAAACTGTGCTAGCAGAAGCAAGAGAGCAAGAGCAGATGAACCACACAACATATTTGAAAGGCAGCATGACAAAAGAAAACAAAACACACAGGTCCAATACTTTCTAGTTAAAGCACTATTCCTTTTGGTGGTATGCAATTATAACACAATAGTTAGAAAAGAAAATGCAATTTAAGACAGAATATTTTTACAGAGGCATTTTCTTAAGCGAACTGTAAGCTCCATTCATTCGCAACTGCTTTTTGATAAAAGAAAAATAAGTAACAAACTTTTTTATTTCTAGTTTATTTGAGAAGTAGTCTAATTCCTTAAGCTATGCTGAGGGCCTGTTCTAAAGTACTGGCGCTATATCTACTTTGCTATGCTATCATCACAGCCAGCACTGGATGCTGACATCCAGTAGGAAAGAAATTTATCCACAAACTAGATGCCTTCCTATTCAGTGACTGGGATATCTTTAACATTCTTCCCTCCCATCAAAATGACTTCACTTGTACAAGAAAAGTCCAAGGCAGTTTGCAGTAAAGTGATATTCTATTATTTAATGTCCAGCTTTGTAACAAGTTGTAGGCAGGCAGTCCCTCAAAACCAGTGAGGCTTCCTGGGGAAGCCAGCTTCCACCTGCAGAGTACAGGAGTGGGATTAAGTGATACGTGAGTCTTCCTACTTATTTTAGTCTAAGTTATTTTAGTAAACTTGTTGTAATTAAAAATCAACTACCGCAGTCATGCCTAAGTTTAGTGTTTGAACAATTAAAGACCATATTTGAAAACCAATTAACAGAAACTCCTGAGAGATGCCTTCATTGCATGAATGTAACTAGCTAATAAAAATATGACCCTGAAAGCACAAACTCCAAAGCACTTTTCAAGATTTGTGGTTACAACAGGCTGCACAAGTTGAACTCAAATGTTGATAAGTAAGTCTGACCAGACAAATGGCTATAAACACTCATCAGCTTGAAGTAACCAGCTGGAGGACGACCAACATCTCTGCAGATTTCCATGCCTATTTTCAACATATATCAGTTGTCTTAAAACTTGGGATTCCCTGAAGCTTTCATACAACTGAACCTGAATTTCTTTTATGCATATCTGTGGGAGCATATCTGTTTCAAGATCCATATTTTATTTGCATGCCCGCCTGTATTTTAGTTTTCTTTTAAATTCCAAATTTCACTGCCTACCACTTACCAGAGGGAAACCTTTCTCCAGTCCAAACTTCCTTGTTCTGTCTTGTAAGGGATCTAGCACTGACACAAGCAGCCTGTATTACCTACTAATCCTTGTGGTTCACAGTCCTTAGTAACTTAGACAAAAACTTCTTCAGCTGGCAATGCCTGGAGCAAAAGAAGAGCTGTGTGCTTCATCAGGAGGCCTGGGGCTGCAGAACTACAGCCAAGAGAACTCACAGTAAGTTTTCTCTCCTTTCCTGCAGTGAATTATTATCACTGAGTGAAGCACTGTGGAGGATTCCATGAACTTCCTTAGCTACAAACTAGTGGCTCTGCAGTTATAAAATAAATCTCCATTCTTTCACATCTTTAACCCTCATCTCCTTTAAGTCTGCCATTCCTCACAGCAGCAGCAGCATTTGACAGCATTGTGACATCTTTATGAGCGTAACAGTGACATTAGCAATAAACCAACCTGTAACTGACCAGCTCTCTCAGCTTATTGATTCACTTGTACACCACAATTAAAAGTTTATTTTTTAAACTAAAGTGTATTCAGAACAGTTGTTTTCCTAAAATCAGGCTGCTGTTTTTATTAAGGCATATAGACACTTCCATATACACCATCAATATATCACAAATTTGAACAGAAAGCAAGTAATCTCAACAAGCATAATTAAATTTTCCCAGGCAACTAATGCCATAAAGGATGCTTAAGAGTAATCATCATAAACCATTCAGGTTACGTGGTTCAAAAGTAGCCTAACTTAGTAAGTATTCTTCTACACACAGAGAGATTAAAACAGTTTATGTGATTCAAAATACATAACCCACTGCAGCAATCTGCTGTGAATTTACTTGTCAAGAAGCTACAGAATGTATCTCAGATTCCAACACGTTCCTGATGCTGATCTGAATAAATGTGATTGCATACACAGACTGACTAAGGAGATAAACCATGACTTAATCAGTGCTCCCAAGTTATTAAAAACAACTAATCGTGCCAAATCAGGCAAGTTTGAGGACGATGAATATTTATAAGGCTTTGTCATGTAGTTCATTTTGAAGAAATTCTGAAGTCTAACTACAAGAAAGCATTTTCAGAACCTTAGCCTCCAGCTTTCTGCCAGGTCTGGAACCCACAGAAAACTCCCTCTTAATGATAGCGGCCAGGGCAGATGCTGCCTTCCTTGCTCTCCTTCTCAGAAGGGTCCATATCTTCTGCAGCTTCTATGTTACATCCATAAGGCTCAGTCTGCTACAGATTTCATTGCCAGGTGGCTGTAAAACTGGGCATGATTACCAGCAGCATTAATGAGATGACAGCACATTGGGAACTTGGCAAAACCAAGGACCATGGTAGTTTCACCTGTACAATTCAGGCCTGAACAGCAAAACATCATGTTTTCAGCAGCCTTGGCTTGGTGAAACAGGATGGGATCAAGATACCAAAGCTAACTCAGTGCCTTAAAATTATATTCCTTTGCTTGAACATTTTATAGTTTCCAAAGGTTAAAAAAAGAAAAAAAAAAAAAAGAAAAAGGCAGAACGTTATACAGCAGACACAGCAGTAAAGGATAACCATTTTTTTCCTCAACTTCTAAATCACTTTAGCTTACATTCTCTCTCTTTAAAAATTCCCTGCAAAGAATTCATTAAACATCTTCCAGGATAAAAAATATTTTATCCAGGTTCAAATGAAACAATCATTTCCCCAGTATTTGTTGCTTCAATTAGGCAATATCAAATTCTAATGCTTGAACAATACAGTGGGTGGGGGTTTTTTTGTTTGTTTGTTGTTTTTTGGTTTTTTGGTTTTTTTTAACATTTAAGCAAAATTATCTGGGGTTTTGGTCTTCAGACAATTATAACGATACAGATTCTTCAGAATGACTTCCTAAGTCTGGCACAGTATTTTACACTGCATCGTTATATGCATCAGCCTCAAATCACATGCTAAGAACAAGACTGATAACAGTTTCCATGTCATATGCTTATGTACTTGAAAAGTGTATTTTACTTTCTTCAGAAACATTCACATGAATTCATTTCATTGTGCTATGCATCAAATCCCCACAAGCCAGCAGGATTCCCCTTCACCCTTCCTCCCTTCCTGACATTTCCCACCATTCCAGGGCATGATCCACAGCTACAGGGCAGCAGCAGTGCCAGCACAGCCCTGCATGTGCCAGGAGAGACTGCTGTGCTTTATTCGAGAATGGATTGGGATGTGTACTTCATACATTTTGTCAGCAACTAACACATCAGATTGTCCAAGACTGTCTGTAAAGCCAACTCACCTAACACTTTATGCAACCATCTGTCTCAAACCCTCAAACTTAAAAACTTGTGAGGTCTGAAAAAAAAAAATATATATATATATATATATAATATAAAAAAAGACTAAAACTTTCCTTACACTGCACAACAGAAGTGCATTGAAAGATATGAGAACTGGCAAGAAAAACTGATCTAGCAACAAAACCACAAAGAACTTTGGGATTTGGTATCATGAACAGCACTGTAATCCCCTGTTAAAAACAACTGCTTATTTAACACTAGAGCTTTGACAGAACCAACAGAGCTATAACAATGAGCAGTGTCCTGTGGTGTTTCAGCAAAGGAATTCCAGATTGTTTACCTATTTTTGTTCTAATTTTTATGATTTTAGACAATTCAGTTCAAGTTCTACTGCTAACACCCTGAATAAATCTTCAACTTAGAGCAATTTTTTCCATTTCAATCTTTCAGACAAGATACAGTTCTGATTCATTCTAAAAACAACTTGCAGAAGGTCAGGCCTTCTAAATAGAGAGCTACAGTGAATCAACTTTTGAACAAGCCTCAACAAAAATCACCTGACCCAAAATATACAGCCCTACATCATTGTAGGCATAGTACAATTAAATTAATTCCTCTTCAGATATTCTCATTACAAAGAGTCCTTCTGCTATCTTGCTAGAAAGACCAACATTACGAAAGTACCCAATACAATAGAATTAATATATCACAAAAATCAACCCAATATGACTTCCCAAACGCTCTGATAGTATTTTTAGTAAATGACTTCAGTGAGCAACCCTCACCTGCAGTGACCCCTAACCATGTGCTAACACCTTCCAGTTCACTGAAACGCTAGAAGTAAGGAACTTTTTTCCCTCTTCCCTACTTCTCTGGAGGTAGCAGAGCAGGGAACTACTACTGTGTTCACATGCAATATGAGGTGTATCACTGACACTCTGATAAAGTTCCTGAACCTAGGGACTCTGCCACAGTCTTACACACATGTAAATACACTTGTAAGGACATCCCAACACCAGTATAATTTGCTCTTTAGTTGAGGCTAAAGCAGCTAATTTCAACGTTGTATGCAAGATGAGAAGAGATAAGAAGGTCTAACTTGGAAATTATCCCCGTTACTCAATTATTAAAATATATCTGTTTACCAGAGTCTTAATTTTCACAAGTTCTCCATCTTTAAAAAACAACAAAAAACTACGTGAAGTACTAAGCCTCCTCTGCCCCCTCTCATTTCATTATCATTTATCTAGATCCTAATTCACAATCAAATGGATGATTAATTCATGGTTGTAGGCAGTATGAAAACATAACAGGCCTACTCACACACACCAAAATCCAAATACTCTATACATTCAAACACTCCAAGAGAAGTAATCCAGCAGAAGGACCGACAGCAGCAGCTCAGAGCACACCCTGTGGATTACCTTCACAGCAGCCAACAGACAGGGTACATTCATGCCGTGGTGCACACAGCAATCACAAGCAATAACGGTGCACTCAAAGTTTGCCACACGAGCAGTTGACAGCATGAGTCATCATAAGTCATTTGTTTTCCCAAAGAAAAGAAAAACTACTTTGCCGTCTTACTTTTGTGCCGTTAAATATAGCTTTGGCCATCAGGGTAACGGGCACAGCACCTACAGAAGGAAGAGAACAAAGTTCCCCTCTCCCTCCTGTCAACTTCGGATAACTCGGAGCAATGTTATTTCTGCCCCGTATTGGGATTTTACGCTTTAGGAGAGCAGGGCGAGCTAAGCATCAGAACTCCTTTTTAAAAGGAAAATGAAGGCAAAAAAACGCAACAACAATCAACGACCAGTAAGCCCACCAGGCACGCAAAGGAGTTCTTCACGCAAAGGACGCCCGCCCTGCCGGTACCGGCGGCGCAGAGCAGGGCACACGCAGGCCGCCCGCCCCCCGCTCCCCTTACGGTTTCCCCACGGCCCCGCGTTCCGGGCTGCCCTCGTTCCCCACACAGCCGGGGCCGCCCCGGCCGCACAGCGCGCCTCCGCCCCGGCCCTCACACGACGTGGGGGGTGCAAGCGGATCTCCGGCCCCTCACGACAGCGCCGTTTCCCCTCCGCCCGGTTCCCCCGCCTCACGCGCACGCACCGTACCCGAGAAAGCCGCGCTGAGGGGCGAACTGTGAGGCCGGGGCGGCCCAAGGACGCGCGCAGCCCAGCAGAGCCCGCCTCAGTTCAGGGAGCAGCCGCTGCCGCATATCCCAGCCCGCCGCCCGCGCCCGGCTTCTCCCCGCCGCACGGCCCGGCCCGGTCCCGCTCAGCAGGCGCCGCTCCTCAGCTCAGCTCAGCGCCACGGTCGGCGGCGGCGCCATCTTCTCCGCCCGCCTCCCCTCCCAGCCCGGCCAATCCCTCCCCGGCGCCCTCGGGGTCCCGTCCGCCCTCCTCGCCCGGCGGGCCCGCTTTCACCGCGCCGGGCCTAACGGGGCCCGTACCTGGGGGCACCTCGGGCTGCCTCTGCTGCCGGCGGGGCGGGGGCTGCGGCTGGGGAGGGGGCGGGGGGCCTCTGGGAGGAGGCGGAGGCGGCAGAGGGGGTGGGTGGCTGGGCGGGGAGCCGGGGCCACACTCGCTGTGGCGGGTAGGCCCCCGAGCCGCGCCCGGCGAAGGCAGACGGAGCGAAGGGCAGCGGGAGCGCTCCGCCGCCGCCTTGAGGGACCGCGCGGGGCCCGGCCGTTTCCCTGCTGGCGAAAGCCGAGACAAAAGGTAATTGGATGCCTCTTAATTTGAGTTCGGTGCCGCCCTGAGCGGCTGAGATTTCAGTTCTCGTCGTGGAGCCGGTGTCTGAACCCTCCCTGCCCGCGGGGAGAGGAATTAAGCTTTGGGAGCGATCCTGTAGCAGCCGCGTGGCCTCCGCTCACCGCCCGTGAGCTGCGGGCTGCCTCAGAACGTGCGAGTGCTGGGCTGGATCAGCTGCTGCTGTAACTGTGGGCCTCCGGATTTCTGGGGAGATGTTTCGTTCTTCTGTTGGTATACTTGCCTGTGGGAAGGCGGTGGTTGTGGCTGGCTACTTAAATTCATTTTTAGGAAAAAAACCCTAAAAATATCACCACAACACCTGTTTGTGTTTCTAATAACTTGCTTTCTTCAGATGTAGCTTGTTTCGACTGTCCTATTTCACAAAATTTAAAAATACTGAAAATATCTCAATTTGTTACGTTTGGTGCCCACTTTTAGTCCGTGTCCTTACAGGCGGTAGGTCACAGCTGGAAGCGCTTCTCAGGACCCCGCTGTCCTTCAGAGCCCAGTGACTCAGCTCAGACTATTCCTGTATCCATAGATGGGAGTGAAGATGTATCTGATGGAGCTTTAAACCTGTTGTCTTTGGTCAAATTAGCTGTTTAGAATGGGAGCATGGTACTCCAGATGGTCAACAAAATCTGTCAGGAAGTTTTGGTAGACATTCAGCTGCTGGTTCCCATTGAAGCCTGGGCTGCTATAGAGACGTTCCTATCTGTACCTGGCTTCCTAATTTAAAGTAGTCATGTCTGTATCAAGCACACCCACACTCTGGTCTCAGTTTAGATACAGAACTGTCTCACAAGTTAACTAAACCTGGTTAGAGCAAAGCAATACTCTTTGCCTAAATTAACTGGTTGGATTTAGAATTGTGTGGGAGCCTAGTTTTAACACAACATGGTACATCATGGAAAAAGGAAGTGTCACGTTGTCCTCATAAGATTCTAGTTTGAGGTAATCTGCTTTTATTCCATTTCCTAGTGTATGTAAAAGAGAAGATAAGGACAGAGAGAAAAAGGAAAGGATAAGTGATGAGATCTTTAATCTTAATTCTATCCTATCACCGTTGCCTGTGCATCAGAAAGGGTAATACTGCCGTATTGAGAAGGCGGCAAACTGCCAACTGATTGCCTTTTAGTGATAGATCTGCTTTCTTCCTGAAGCAACCAGGGGATTAAAAAGTTGGGATTTGGAGTAGAAGAAATGCTTCTGCCTCTTTTGCTATTAAAAGTTGTAGATGGGTCGTATCAGCTCTCATGTGAAAGACTCAAAAATGAACAAGCAGTTTTTTGCTTTTTCAGGTCGTAAAGAATTTTCTACCTTAATGCACCCTGTTTTTTTTCAGCTGTTAGTTGCTCTGATAAATACTACCTTTCTCTACAGATCTTGCCTAATCTATGACGTATATATCTAATATATACGTCAACAGTTTAAGAACTAGTTCAGCCCGGTTCTGTGATTAATGGGGTGGTGGGACATATGGACCCATGCCCTGGGAAAAGGAAATGGGAAAAAGGGTAGTGAGATAGGCCTAAAAACAAAACAGTGGCAACAATCTGAGGAGGAAAGCTAATTTACTAAAAACGATATCAGAATGCAAAATAACGCAATATAATACAGTATAATTGGAATTGAAGCTAATAAATCAAGTAAAATGAGAGTGTACAAAAACCAAAGGCTTTACTCTAATGCTGAAAGCAAGATGTCTAGCCGGGCAAAAGAGAGAGACATCTTGTGATCTGCAAACAGTTCTATCTTTCCCTCTGAGTGGAAAACGGAAACAAAACAACGCAAAGCACTCTGTGGTATGTAGTATGTTGTTTTGTTCTCTTCTGAAAGCCAAGTACCTGGAACTACCCATGGACCTGGAGTATTAACCCTTTAACTCCCAATGCACTACATGATGTTATGATGTGGAATACCAATAACCAAAAATCATAAAACCATGGAGCTTACTACATCAGCAGAACTGTGGGATTTTGGGAGTAGTTGCAACTAGAGCGAGGGCTTCTCCTTGTGTATCTGTGATGATGAAAGATCACATCTTCACACGTCAAACACAATGAAGTTCACACCTACTATTCTTTACACCTGTCTTACTGACTCTATTCCCTGTTTAGAGGCCATGCTGTTGCACTGATATTTATTTGGAATGCATATTATTATAATTAACTACTCTCTGTTTCAGTTTATATACTAACCAGAAACCACCTTTATCCAAAATTTGGACATATTTTGCATGTTTTTCAAGAATTTTTAATATAACGCTATTAGCAAAAGTGAAGAACTTTCTCTATTAAACAGCCCAGCTGTTTAGGTTTTTTTTCCTTATAGGACTTTAATTGCTTCAAGGCAGTTGGTGCTGATTTTCTTATCTGCTCTAGAGAAAAAAAAAGTGTTGTCAAAAACGATTAGGACTTAAGATTTGGAGTCACTATGGAAATTGTCAAAAATTCCCATGAAGAAGCCTCATAAAGAAGCAGATCTCTCTTCAGGATATGTGACATGGCTGTACGGTGCAAGAAGAGCAATAATCCTAAAGGTAGTCAGGTTCAAAACTGTCTAGATAAACAGGTATTTTCTATTCCTGTTGAAAACTGAGGGAACAAATGTTAAACTCCAATTACAGTCTTGTCATGTTTCTAATAGAAGCTCATTTTTCCACCTACCTAAAATTCTGGAGTCAAGTAAAATTGCAGTTGGATTTCTGTGGGTTGCTCCAAAAGTAATGCCTCCTATTTACTTCCATGAAAACTACAACAGCTATAAAGAGCACAGTAACACGATACGACAGTGCAAATGCTCAGCTGTAAAACTAGTTTTTTCAACATAGTCACCACCGTTAGTTATGCTTTTTTGTCAGCAATGAGCAAGAGCCCGCATGCTATCCTCATAAAAATCTGTACCAGTGGAGGTGACCACTGCTACCAATGCTAAAGTGCACCACCCACCATCTCGTTGTTTGATCTCTGTACATGTTCAGCAGGTGCTGATGAATGTCAATGGGTGCCATTGTTTCCACATGGAGAAATTCAGTGACACACCCATGCTTCATGCACACTTTTGTCTGACGCCACTGTGTCAAGACTGCCCCTCTGCTGCCATCTGTCACATGGCAACAAAACATAAGGAATGTTGGTGGGAAGGCTCAACCTCTACTTCTATACCACCAACATCTGCTTCTGACACTGTGGGCCAACAGAATAAGAGGCATTACTTGTGGAGCAGCTCTTATGCCTCTGAAGAAATCTGGCCTCAGGCTGAAAAAAATCCCAAAGGTTATGGTTATTTCCACGCTAAAATAAATAGAGATAGCTTCATAACAAGGTGTAGGTGTAAACAGCATTATTGATCACTGCTGGAAGATGTTTAGCCACAACACCTGTGCATGTAACTGTAAATTCCCTAACAGAACCTTTATACATCAGAGAAGTCATGTATAAATGTGATACATTGAACTGCAATTATGTTACCATAATCAAGTACATTTTCTTAGAAAATTGAGATTAGACATACTAAATATCTCCCATATCTTTATTAAAAAAAAATTGTTTTTCTCCAATGGTTTGTTAACAGAAGCATTTAATGCCTGTAATTGTACAGGTATTGTTTAACAGGTATAATTTCGTCTGTTGAGAGACCTATTTTCATATGTTTAGACACTGAAGAAAAGGATTGTCAGTAGTAAGGTCAGACATTTTTATGCCAGTACAATTCAATTTTCTCTGTTAAACTTTCTTAATCTCCCAAACTTCACAGCTAAATAGAATAATTATAGTTGCACAAACAACTGTCAGAAGCTTAATGTTCTATATGAGCTTAATGTTCTATATGACCACTCTTCACCAGTTTCAGCGATACAGGTATGTATAAACATCTTTCTTAGTATATGATACAATTATTTGTATATTCAGGACAGCTTTCCTATTTAAAATAATATTCACTGACTCCTTGACACATTTCTGTTTTTCAACTTGTTTTGTTTCCGGAGTTTTCCTAATAAGTTTTGGTGTAAGTGTAATTTCTTTTTCCCTTTTATTTTTTGTGTTTGTATATATGACAATCTATCTGATGCTCCATAACTTCTTGTTTTATTATTTGTTTCAGACACAGAAGGGAAAAAAAAAGATGTTCTTTACTCTGTGCGACGCAAACCTAAATGCAGTCACTGAGATACAACAGTCTCAGGTAATGGAAAGATACCATAATATTCCTGACGAAGGATGCTTCTCTGTTTTCTGCACTAAGTTTAAAAACAATGAAATAAATAAAATGAATTAATATTTTGAAATAATTTTGAAATATGTATGTGCCAGATCACATACACATGAAAAAGAGACCTTTATTCTGTGTACTTTCTCTGATTATTTGTAACCAATTCTCTTTTTACTGATGTTGCAAATGCATTAAGTCCTTAAATGTTTTCAATGAGGTATTTAGTTTATCACATCTTATCTTCCATTTATACCAGTGAAACAGTTTTTTTTTATTACTGTGACTGAAGGAAACTGCTGTCCTCAGCATGAAATACACCAGCACAGTGTGTAAGTTTTTATTGTTCAACTTTCTATATGTGGAAAACAAAGAGTTCAGAATTTTGCTGGCCAGCTGGGCTGGTTGTTCAAGAGGTGGAGATTGCGTTACGTAAATCTGAGTTACAGGTCATCTCCTCTTTAATGTCATACAATTAATCAGTACATTTTTATTCTGTGTTACTGGTAATATTAAACAGGATGTGACCAAAACTATCTCTTTTTACTAAACTTTGTCGGAGTTAAACTTGCTAATTCTTCAGCGGTGATTGCATGTGGAAACCCTTCTGTAGCCTATTGCAGCTTATATGATGTGTACCATATTGGTAGCTAAAAGAGGTTTTGTTGAGCCTTGAAGAAGTCTTGGCCAAGCTTATAATTATATCTCTCCATTATTATCACTTTCCTAATTCTTAGCTAATCATGTTTTAGTGTCAACAATTCTATTTGCCAAGCCTCCATACGTATAATTATCCAGGTCATCTGATTTGATTTATTGAGTTAGTTTTGAAACATTCATATATAAAACATGGGCTTGTTTTCAAGGTTTATTGAAAATTTTTTATCAATAAGTAGGAATTAGTAATCTCTACTGAAATCGTTATGGCAGATGTGTGTATTGCTACGTGGATTATTTTTCTGTAAGGCTTTTTGTCTTTTCCTAAAAAGAAAAAAATAAAACATTTCTCACAGTACAGTGTACATGCATTCCTAAAGGTTGTTCTCCTAACTACTGTTTAGACTATCCTAAATATTCTTCTTTCTTTCTCATGTTTACTTTTATTGCTCGTGAAATGCCAGCTCCCTGTTACTCAGTTTGTGTTTATTGTATTAGGCTCAACCTAATCTCAGGAAATGTATAACCATTGTGCTATCCATCGACTAGGTATGACAGAGCTACAGCTATTAAACTGCAATTGTTAAGCTACCTTGATTACCAGAAGTTTCTGCTTTCCGTTAACCACAGATTTAGCTCCTAGTAATTAGACTGATTCCTGTTATTTAAATGCAAGTTTGTATGATCTCTTGTATGTTAATGACAGATGTGTTCACATTTTAAGCAAAATTCTGACTAATGCAGATCATACTTTCGTACTAGAAAAGAACAGAGAGGCAGAAATGAGATGAAAAGACATCTTGTCTGTCAGTGCTGCCTTCTTGTCTATGATCTGTATGAGGGAGGAGAGAGCAAAAAGTAAAGTTTCAGAGTGTTTACATAACCTGCATTCAACTTGTCCAGTCTAGCAGAAACTCCAGTACAACTGTAAGTATGATTTATTTTTCACTCCTAGAACACAAATAATAATAATAATAAAATAATAATAAAAAAGTAAGAATGATTGTGGTCTCAATTTGCAATTGCTGTTGCTTTTGTATTAATTTTCCTACTTAGTTAAATTTTAACTGAAACAAAATGTATTATTGTGATTTTAGTGTTTCATTAGAGGCCCATAGATTTCTAAGTGTTTCATCAACCCACCAAAGTCATTGTGGTTGCAAAGATAGGCTTTAACACTGGTAGAAATCATAGATTCTGTACTTTTCTGTGCTTATGAATTAAAAGATTTTTTTGTTGTTGTTACAAGCATTTGCTTGGATTCATTGCCTTATTTTCTGGGGTAGAGCCCAAACAATTTAAATGGGTATTGAAAGGCAGCAGTTCATCTGGTGGTTACAAACTTGTAAACGTTTGTTCTTGCAAAGTAATTCTATTTTCATGTAGTATATATATTCTATGTAGTATTTGCTATTTATTATATTTGCTTTATTTCATATGTATTATTGCTACATATATGTTGGTATTGTTTTCAGTGGCATAAAATCAATAAGGTCTTACGTGGAACAAAGAACAGGCGGTGGGTGAGAGAGGCTGCTAATGAACATTGCTGTTAAGCACTGAAGATTTCCTAGCTGTTATCCTGCCTCATCCTCAGCCCATATTTAATGTCAGACACATCTTGTGTTCTCTGAATGAATGCCTGCTTCCAGCACACCAAGAACCAGCACCTCGTGTCCTTCCCTGTTACCTCTGCTATGAGAGTGATGAGCTCTGACATTGCTCTAACTTTGGAGGTAAATGGTGAAGGAGCACCACGTGCTGCTGCTTCGTGGCACTGTCACAAAAAGGACCGCAAGCCTTGCAGGCTGGGATTCATTCTATTGGCTGTAAGAGCTCATGGAGGAGGTATAAGTTTCAAAGCATCCATTTAAAAAAAATAAGGGGTGGGGAAGGAACCTGTGGAATTATAGGTGGTAATCCTAGTTTGCGTAACTGGAAAGGCCCTAAAACAGCAACTAAAAGCACCGTAGTAGATGACGCTATGCACACGTGTAAGGATCCCATATGGACTCTCGAGAGCAAACCGTCCCGGACCGATTATATCTCCGGTGGCAGCCGCTCCTCCCCTGTGCCGCAGGACCTACCCGCAGTCAAGGCCATACTCGGCGAAACGCTCCGCGCTGAGCGGGGCAGAGCGGAGCGCTCTCAGACCCGCTCTCTGGCGCCCCCTCCCGGCTCGGTTTCTGGCGGGGCGGGGCCTCGGGGGGGGATGCGCGAGCCGCCATTTTCCTGTCACGTGGCGACCCGCCGGCACTACAGTTCCCGGCATGCACAGCGCTCACGGCAGGATCGGCCGCTTCCGCCGTGCCTTTCGCGTCGTCACCCGAAATTTGAAAGGAGGTCCCATGGTGCCCCGCGGGCGTCCGCTGATTGGTCGGGCGGCAGTGCCGCGCGGTTCGAAGGTGGCGGCGGCGGCGGCAGGCGCTCGCAGGCGTTGGGCTGGTTCCGAGTCTCGGCTTCAGCTTGAGCCGCGCCCGTGCAGCGCGGCCGGTGCCTCTACCGTCGTCCTCGGCTCCCTCGCGTCCGAGTGCGCCATGGCCTCCCTCAGCTTCCAGAGCGGCGGCGGCTCGAAGAAGGAGAAGGAGGAGAAGGGCAAGAACATCCAGGTGGTGGTGCGCTGCAGGTAGGCGCTGCGAGCCCTGGGCTCGAGGAAGGGGAGCTGCGCGGGGTGTGCTGCTGCCGGGGGGCGCTCCGGGCTGCGGGGCGCGGGCGGGTCGGCGCTGTTCCGGGGCGAGCTGCGCGTCCGTGCGGGATGGGTCGGCGTCTGCTGAGCGGTGACTGTTCGGTGCGAGGCTGTGTAGGACGGTTAAGGGGAGCTGAACGAGAGGTAGCGTAGGTAATGATAACCGTGTTCTAAATTGCCTTCGCGAGGTTTCTTTGTGCCAGTACGGACGCCGGCTTACCAAGTTGTTACTGGTGGGAGGTTGTACTTTAACAAACCCACGCTGAAAATAACCATTAAAAGCAGCGTTCGCTTTTATTCTTTCAATGTTAGTAAGAAGGTGCTGGAATGGGCGTTAGGAGGCTGGGTGTAAGTGTTGGTGAAAGGCGAGAATGTTGCAAAAGACGATTTTGGAGCAGTTGTATTTGAAACGCTGTTGAGCAATTGGCTTCTTTTCTATCTGTTCAGTGCTGCACCGTTGTGCTGCAGCCTGGCTGTGTATTGGTGTCTATTCGATTAAGATTGTGTTCTGCAATACAGCAGCATCAGGATTGTATGTGGAGCAGTGTTTTGCTTTTGTTGTGACTGATACTTTGGAGCAGCAAAAGCTCCTTCCCGTTCCCTTCTGCAGCATTCGAGTTCTCACTTTGTAGATCAATGGATGCAATTGTTTCAGTGGCCCCTAATTTGCTTCTGAAGCCTGATGATTTAAAAACCTCAAGCCACACATTCACCATGTTTCAATAAAATATGAGTTTGGAGCTTCTGAATGTGTACGCCACTGTGTGTTTAAAGGTCCCTTGCAACTTGTTTTCTATTATTCTGTTATATATTAATGTCCTTTTGATAACTTAAGGGAATGAACGTGTCACCAAATGCTATCGCTGCGTGCCAAGTTGCTGCTTGCCTAGTGCACTTGCTCTAGTTTAACTGAATTGCCCCTTTATCATGAGGTGACTATAAGGCCATTTCTTTGATTCTCTGGTCTGCATTCATCTGGTTCTCTGTTTTGTTGCTGCAAAGAAGACTACAGTTACTGTTCAGCTTCTTGCTATTTTAGAAGTAGCAAAGCCAAAGCTGTAACTTGCTGCTGTGAACAAGATGGTTGTAATCATTGGCTGTCACCACAGCAACCTGACTCCATTCACTGTCTTGTGCTGAAGCATTGAGTGGCCTATCTAGAATCTAACACTTCAGTCTCAGTGCTACCATGAGGAGGAAATGTCAGCCACAACAGTGATGAGTTCCTGAATGGGTAACAGATATCCAGCTCAGTAACACTGCAGGTTGAAATATAAGAACACATTTTGTGATTTAGCATGTGATTTTTTTTTTAATTTTTTTTTTTAATTTATGAGGGATTATTGTTGCTGCCCCTATAAGGAAAATTTTATGTGCCACATTTGGATTAACCTAGTGATAAAAGAAAATATTGAATTTTTTTTTCTTGTATCTCTGTTAAACTTTACTTAAAAGTGTAATAAAAAGGTGCATGGGCTTCTTGTTCTCCAAACCCAAAGGCATTATTTTCTGTCTTATAAAATTCTATTCAGAATTCACAGATTCTATTCAAGTGTGTCAGCATTATAAAGATTCCAGCATTGCTGTCTACTGTTCTGCTAGCTGTGGGCTGTATTAGCATATCTGGTGCTTAGGGAGTTGTCATTCACAAGAGATGTGTGGGCTGCACTGTTTGTCTAAGTGGAAAAATAGGGAACTTTTGAAGTGCATTGATTTGGTTCACTATTATCTTAACTATTGTACATACAGTTTTCCTTTTCTCGAGGTGCTTATTCATACAACTCTTTGCAGCATTTAATTGCTCCCCTCGCTCATTGGTTAGATAACTCTAGCAAGAAAGACGTTTTTAAATGCAAGTTAAATATGCATGCAGCTAAGCAGTCATAAATGTATTTATGGACACTATTATTTAAAAACAGCAACAAACAGCTAACCACGTAAATGCATGAAAAGCTATAGATGCTTGGTTTGTCCTGGCAAATGGAAGGAGAACAATGTCTGGAAAGCAAGTTGTGTCAGTTTTCCTTAAACAAATATAAAGCTTTTAACTGAAATCAGTTAATGTTCCTTTTGCTCAGTTATCATTTTGTGGATTCTTAAATCATAGAGTGACCAGGGCTGAAAAGGACCACAGTGATCATCCAGTTCCACCCCTCTGCTATATGCAGGGTTGCCAACGCCGGACCAGGCTGCCCAGAGCCACGTCCAGCCTGGCCTTGAATGCATCCAGGGGTGGGGCATCCACAACCTCTCTGGGACAACCTGTTCAAATGCATTGCCACTCTCTACGTGAAACACTTCCTCCTAGTATCTAACCTAAACCTCCCCTGTCTCAGTTTAGAACCGTTCCCCCTTGTCCTATCACTATCCACCCTTGTGAACAGTCACACCCCCTCCTGTTTATATGCTCCCTTCAAATATTGGAAGGCCACAATGAGGCCTCCCCAGAGCCTTCTCTTTTCCAAGCTAAACAATCCCAGTTCCTTCAACCTTTTTTCATGGAAGAGGTGCTCCAGCCCTCTGATCGTCTTAGTGGCCTTCCTCTGGACCATTTCATGTTGCTGTTAGTAATTGTATTAATTTGATACTCTTCTGCTTTTAGGCCTTTTAATGCCTCGGAACGTAAAGCAAACTCCTATGCTGTTGTAGACTGTGATCAAGCACGGAAAGAAGTCAGCATCCGCACTGGAGGAGTCACAGACAAGATGTTAAAAAAGACTTACACATTTGATATGGTAACTGCTTGTCAAGCTGGACGCTTGTAGCTGTAACCCAGCAAATTTCTCTTAATAGAGTCTGATGTCTGCACTGTGCAATATGCACAGTGCAATATGTTACTGTACTGGTAAATAGGACAAGTTGTCTTTGCTCTGACAGGTTTTTGGAGCTCAGGCAAAGCAGATTGACGTATACCGGAGTGTTGTGTGTCCTATTTTGGATGAAGTTATTATGGGCTATAACTGTACAGTGTTTGCGTAAGTATCCCAGTATTATTATTAGAAAATCTCACTTTAATTTTTGTTTCTTGTTTACATCTTAATTTTTCATTCTTAACAGCTATGGCCAAACTGGTACTGGTAAGACTTTCACAATGGAGGGGGAACGGTCCCCCAACGAGGAGTACACTTGGGAAGAGGTACGTTTTTACTCATGAGGTTTCTCTTGTAGCTGTGCTGTGTAATACAAAAGTAGATATTGCAGAAAGCTAAAGGCAGCCTAAAGTTGATTTCTTTCAAACACTGAAGCCGATTTTTGGTAAACATTAGTAAATTAACGAGTGTTCTCATTACTTGTGAAAACCAGAACTTTACATCATTAATGCGTACATACAAATCTTAGCAATAATTGCACAGGAAATAATCTTTGTTCACTGTATTTTTTGTCTGTATCCATTAGACCAACAGACTGTAGCTGAAATTTGCTACTACTTCACTCCTTCCCCAACTCTCTTTTTGTACATCTATGTATGTACTTGTTTTTTCATTTTAATTTGTAGGATCCATTAGCAGGTATAATACCTCGTACATTGCATCAAATATTTGAAAAACTCACAGAGAATGGCACTGAATTTTCAGTGAAAGTCTCGCTTTTGGAAATATATAATGAGGAGCTTTTTGATCTTCTGAATCCCGCTCCTGATGTTGGAGAAAGACTGCAGATGTTTGATGACCCCCGAAATAAGGTGAGTGCAGTCTTCCAAAATCTGTTATATGAAGACTTCTGGAACAATTTGAAGAGGTTGAATGAGCATGGGTTTTTTTGTTTGTTTGTTTTGTTGTTTTTTGACAGAGAGGTGTAATTATTAAAGGCTTAGAGGAGGTAACTGTACACAACAAAAATGAAGTCTATCAGATCCTGGAAAGGGGTGCAGCAAAGAGAACAACTGCAGCTACTTACATGAATGCATATTCCAGGTACAAATCTTGTGTGTTTCAGAGACTTATTTTGTTAATGTTCTATTAAACAGGATTTTACCGAAGAAGGAAAAATTGTTGAAGCCAGAGTAAGCCCTGCCTGATCTTGAGATTAGATATTATAGTTTGTTGCCACATATAGATTAGGAAACCATAGCAAGAAACTTTTTCTTGCATTCTGTGGGTTGATGTATTCTAGTACATGTATGAAATGCATTGTAAATTATGGAAGTCTCTCTTAAAAAGCTGTTGCTGTCAGAAGACGTGATTACAAAAACTGTTGTTTCAAGATTGCATACCGTTTTAAATACACAATTAAAATGGTAGTCCTGAATTTCCACCTATCCAGGTGCAACGTGAGAGGTAGAATATTCTTAGTCTGGCATGCAGAATACTGGAATTTATTAATAACTCTAAATCAAGCAATTAGCTTTCTCAAAACTTTATATTTCTATGGAAACGCAAATCTGATGGATATCATTGAAGCATGCTGTATGTTTAAGTGTGGAATAAATAATCTTTACAGTAAATATTGATGATGTTTAGCAGATACATCCGTGTGAGAGAGATGGATTGTCTTTGTTTTAGCTATTATGGGGTGTTATTGGTTCGTTGTTGTCTTTTTTTTCTGGTTCTGTTCACTGGAAAAAATCTAGGCATAAGTGTCCCTTCCTCTCCTCACCAGCAATAGGAAATGATATAATTAAGATTCTGAAACTGAACTTACGAAACAGTGTTCAGATCTGTTTTTTATAGAATAATGCTAGCTTATGAAAATATACAAGATGTATTGTGGAAGTCAGAAATAAGAATAAGGGATTTTTGTATCGCAATGCAGGCTATGTCGTATGATTGCAGCTCATAGTCAGAATCTAGTAGACGTGTTAGTCAAAAATCTCAGTATTTCTTACTGACTTCTCATTCTTGAACTGCAGATTTCATATCTGTCATTGTGAGCAAGTAGGTTTCAAACTGCCATAACTTCTATGGTTTACTGTATGTCCCAGCTTCCTATTGTGAAAGCTTGTTAAATAATCTCAAGCTAATGTATTTTTTTTTTTTTTAAACTTATTTAACGTTTTGAATGAAAACTAAATTGAATTTCTACATCTTTAATATTGGAGTCAGATTCTTGCTGATTTTCTTTAGTCTGTATGAAGTACTAAATTTCCTAATCTCATGTTCTGTAAAATTGTTCCTATTGTATTGGCTACAAAACTGCAAGCCAGTTCTCTTGAAGTGTCTATGAGTAGAGATCATAGAAGTATCAACATCAGATATTTCTGTTGGCTTCACTTGATAGATGCATCAATGAAGCAACTGATTGAAGTTTGATTGGTATTCTAGCCTGCTAGATTATGATTTCCTTACATGTACACAGACAAAAATAGACAATTTTTATTGTATTGGAAATGTGTAAAGTTGCAATTAGTGGGGGTGCATTTATTTTCTATAAAGAGCACTGATAACTAACCTGGAGTAATGTCTCATAGAAAGCAGATAATTGGGCTTAAAGAATGTTTGTCTGAAATTGAGTTCTTTTATAGCCGTTCCCACTCTGTATTTTCAATTACCATCCATATGAAAGAAACCACAGTAGATGGAGAAGAACTTGTTAAAATTGGGAAGCTAAACTTGGTAAGTATTTGAATTAAATTTCATTGATGGCAATACTAAAGTAAGGAACTAAACAATGTAACCTCATTCTCTTGAGAATTAAACACTTATAAGGGTAAAGAAATTGTCTTTTTTTCTGAGCAATGTGAACTGTTTGTCATTCTTAGAAATGTCTGTCTCGTTCATCACTCCTACAATCTCCTGAACAAATACATGTGTTAGCTCATGCATGCTGTGACAGAGCAAGCATTCCTTGTGCTGATTTGAGATAGAAGCACGTGCCTTTCCTCTTTCAGGTTGATCTTGCAGGAAGTGAGAACATTGGTCGATCTGGGGCAGTTGACAAAAGAGCTCGTGAAGCTGGAAATATCAATCAGTCTCTCCTGACTCTGGGAAGAGTTATTTCTGCTCTAGTAGAAAGAGCCCCACATGTTCCATACAGGGAATCTAAACTCACAAGAATCCTTCAAGATTCTCTTGGAGGACGAACAAAAACATCAATAATTGCCACAGTTTCTCCTGCATCTATAAATCTTGAGGTAAATTTTAATCTGAATACCTATTCCAAAATGTTTGTGGTTTGGTTTTGTTTTGTTTTTTTTTTCCAAAAATATTTTCTCCTCAGCTTAACCTAATGTTGTATCTGTTTGTCACAGGAAACACTGAGTACACTAGAATATGCCCACAGGGCAAAAAACATATTGAACAAGCCTGAAGTTAACCAGAAGCTGACCAAAAAAGCTCTTATTAAGGTAAGCTAGGTATATTTATTTGATTACTGTAAAGACAGAATACATTTGACTATTCTAATTCCTGCACAGGAGAAATGTTATGAAACTATGGGGAAATTGGCTACCAGAAGCACATTTCTGAGGTGATTTTAATCACTGAGGGGATGCTTTACTAAGCTGCTCTGCTGATACACTATTAAACACTGCAAATACTGAAGCTATTGCTAAAACTAAAGCTGGAGACAGTGTGATTGCTATTATCTATGACTGTGTACCTGTTCACCAGGTAGTGAAGACCTACTAAGTAACAGTAGATTACTTTTTTGCTGGATTTCTCCATTAGCAGCTTAATTCCCTCAAAAATGCTTAAATTTAAGCAACGAACTATAAACTATGAATGAAAAGGCCCTATAACATGAATGCTCTTAAAGAAACTGCAATTCCCAATATAAACTTATGTGGAATAAACAGTAATTTGAATAGGAAGCTTCAATGCTCTACATATGTGCAATGTTATGAATTTAATCTGTGCTACACTGAACTTATTTGGACGCAGAAGTGAAACACTAGATTCTGGAACATCCTTCTGTGCTTGTGGAAAATTTCCGTATAATTCCAGATGTCTCACATCTGTTGAGGAGAACTTTGAAAATGAAGTATAACTATTCATGTTGAAATGTGGCTATTCTTGATGCAGGAATATACTGAAGAGATTGAGCGTCTGAAACGAGACCTTGCTGCTACACGTGAGAAAAATGGCGTCTATATTTCCCTTGAAAATTTTGAGTACGTCTTCAGGATTGCTATAAGATGTCTAACAGCATATACTGGTTCCTATCCTTAAACAGAAGTGTTTCCAGATCTATTTTCATAAGGCTAAGTTAGGAAGATTTAACTGACCAGTTACTTCCTTCTTTAGAAATTAGTTATTACACAAATAGAAGCCTATGAAATATGCTTGTACTGAGAACTTCATTTGTGGAATTTGCCACAAGCAAAATGAGCATTCATCTTTTTTTAATATCTTATTTGCTCTATCAGCTTTTATATAAACTTCTATTTTAAATTTTCTGTATGAACAAGTCTTCTCTCAAAGCAAAATAAGCTGTCTTTAATCCTATCTGTGTTAACTGAAAATTCAAATGCTGAAGTCAATACTTCTTGAAATGACTAAACATGCAGCATGAGACCAATAGCTGATATAGAAATCAACTTTATTACTGTTGTTGTTCTTATTAATCTTTGCTTTAGAGCTCTTAATGGAAAGCTGACGGTTCAGGAAGAACAAATTGCAGAGTATATTGACAAAATCACTGTCATGGAGGAAGAGATGAAAAGAGTAAGTGCCATTTCTCGTGCAGCTCAAATGCACAAATAAAGAGAAGATGTCTTGAGGGAAGAGAGTTGTTTGAACAGTGACAAAAATTTGGGTATTAAATGTCCTTAGTAATTAGTTGATGGAATTTTCTAATTCTAGAAGTTGAGAATTTCAGATACTATATACGAAATTGCAGAATGCAATATTGATTATTATTATTATTTTTTAAAAAAAAACTCTTTCAATGTTTAAAACTTAACCTTGAATTTTCTTTGACTTTCCAGCAAAAATCTTGTAAAACAGCATAATCTCAGTTGGAGTTGTGTGCTTAGAAGCAAAGAATGAAGGGGGGGGAGTGGTGATGACTCCCACTAACAAGAATATGCAGGAAAAAAAAATTGGAAAATTTCTCTTAAACAAATGGAGTATGTAACTAGTGTGCATAAACAGGCTTACCTTTAATCAGTTCTACTGATTATTCCTCATTCTATCAGCTTATATTTGTTTAGTGGGGATTCCTTCATTGTGATATAACGAATGCTTGATCTTGTGACTTGAATAGGGAAGTGAAGGATTTTCACAATAAAAACTGTATTGGTTTGTGATGTTTTCAGTAAATAAAGGCTCTTCTAGCCTCTAGTCAGGTTTAAGATTTCTGAGCCTTACAGCTGAAACTGCTGAAACTTTCTTGCTTATTTAGATGACAAACTGTTTTCTAGTATTGTGACATAACTAGGTATATATGGTGAGTTGCAGTTGAGCTTGCAAAGAGCAATGTTACTGTACTGATGCTTGTCTTACACTGCAGGTGACTGAACTGTTCACAGTTAATAAAAACGAACTTGAGCAGTGTAAAACAGATCTAGAAATCAAGGAGAAGGAACTGGAAGAAACACAGAAAGATCTGCAAGAAACCAAAGTTCATCTGGCTGAAGAAGAATATGTGGTTTCCGTTTTGGAAGATGCTGAACAAAAACTTCATGGCACAGCTAGCAAGGTTATCACTCTCCTGACATCTAATTGTAACAATAACTTCCTCTCTTTAAGGGTTCAGCAATCTGTTCAAAGATGTCTTTGTCACTAGAGGATGATGCGAGTGACAAAAATGAATTTAAGGTTTAAAAACTATGATTGACTCTCTGAAAACAGTTATAGTGAGGAGTCACTTAGAGATTGCAAGGCTTCCTCTGTGAAAGTATTAAACAGTGTATCTAACAGCAAACTGTCAGTCTGGAAGCTGGCTTTTCATAAGGTTTTCATAAGGCTTACAATGCTTTGCAGTTTCTATTGTTATGAGTTGTTTTGCAGAATAACTAGTTTAGTTTACCTAACTAGACACTTAAGCCTGACCCTAAAACAGAGTAAGTTATGCATAACCAGAGTAGAGAAATTGCAAGAACCAAGGGACGTGCAATAATACTCACTGAGTAACTGAAACTATTGCCATGTCTCTATATTTTAGAGGGTATTTAGGTGCTTTTTTTGATGTGTTTATGACTGGTCTTAATTTTCAAAACAGACTTCATAGAGACAGAGTCCTGCTATTTAAAGTGCAAAGTGATTAATTCCTTGTCTTTAGTCAATATGAAAAGTTCTTTCTATTCGGGTTCTTGTAAGGTTGGGAGCGGGTGCTCAGTTTTGCATGTTGATGTGAAATGTTTGTGTGAGATAAATGGGTAGAGAAATCATTTACACTAACTACAAAACCAAATTCCTGTATACTTTCAAATTCTAAATTATCACAGAGGTAATACTGGAAATCACTTGCTTTCAGTACAATTAAAAATATATTTACTGTCAAATCTTTCAGAAAACTGTGAAGCTACTGGGAATTTCTTGGCTACTGTTCTGTGTTCATTGTATTTTAATTCCTTGAATACTGAGGATGTTCTATTTTAATACTTGAGAGCTGAGGGCAAATGTTCTCTAGTAGGTAAATTTTTCTTGTACTGAGACTGTAGATGGCATAGCACAAGATTAAGAATGGTTGTAATTTGATGTTAAAGGAAATATCTACTTCACGTTCAACTTAGAACTAGAGTTCTTCTGAACATAAATTTATGCTTGGCTTCTGATTTAAATATCTACCGAAATAACCTTAAAAAAAATTTTAGTTGCTTAATACAGTTGAAGAAACCACAAAAGATGTATCTGGTCTCCACGCAAAACTGGACCGTAAGAAGGCTGTTGATCAGCACAATGCTGTTGTCCAAAATACGTTTGCACAACAAATGACTGATTTGTTCAACAAAATACGAGATTCAGTTAATGAGAACAGTGTGAAGCAGCAACAGATGTTGATGTCTTACACGCATTTTATTGGTAAGTGTAATACCTCTACATGAAGGTCATCCTTATATTTTGCAGTAGTACAATGAAAGATCAACATTGTAAATTGGACCTCTGTTAGTAGAAAGATTAAGTTTTATTTTAAACAATGTAGTAATTACATAATAATATCTCAGATGGTCAGCTAAGAGTAGTAAGTTTTGTAACACTTTGCAATTTCTTTTCTAGGCGACATCTTGTCTACCAGTTCTTCGGCAGCTAATATTCTTACATCAGTTGTATCAGCATCCTTTGCCTCTCTTAAGGAATTGGTGTCTACAGAAGTTTCTTGCATGTCTGAAAAAGTATTACAACATGAGAATCTGTCACTTGATCATAAAGCTGAGCTACTGAGATTAATTGTTAGTAAATTTACATACTCTTTTTTTTTATTATTTATTTGAAGTATATGAAATTGTCCTCAATCAGAAGAGGTGCTATAAACAGTCTTTTTTTTTTTCCTGACGCTCTGTTTCACCACTTGGCCATGATTACATACCTCTTCCCTCCTCATCCCATCATGAGCTGTAATGTGCTGTACTGCAAAAGCTAACTGCAGAGCACGTAGACCTTACTTATCCATATGAATAACTTCTTAGAAAAGTACCAGAGAGACTTCCATATTTTGTTTTACCTTTTTTTTCCTATTGCTCTTTCTAGGAGGAGCATGCGTCAGGATTAGGAAGTGCATTAAATAGCTTGACACCAATGGTAGAATTTGTCCTGGGCCTAAACTGTCAATTTCAGACTAACATGAAAAAATATTCAGCTGTGGCTGATAAGGTAATAAACAGATTTTTCTCTTGTGCTTTTCTTGCCTATACCCCCTTTTCTGCAGTGCTAGTGTTTTCATGCCTGGTTTGGCTTTATCTCCTTTATTCTGTCACTTACGTTGTTTTACCTTATAGCTTTTCCTTTTGGACTTCCATTTTTGTGTGTGTTGTGTCCCCTTGCTACCTATATTGGCACAGCTGCTCACCTAAATGCTAAAGACAAATAATAAAATGTAGATGCTTAAAGCTATGTATAACAGGTATTTGATAATATTTTTTGTATAGTCTCTACTGTATTATAGAAGTCTGAGACATCTGACTTAAATGAGTTCTATCACTTCAAATTTCTCCGGCTATTGTACCGAACTTTATTTCCTAGTTATTTTCATTATGGAGAATGTGGAAGTGTACAATAACAATATACGTAGACAGTGCTACACTTAGAGAAGTTCTTTGCTTTTTTTTTTGGCTATGTTATCACAGAATCATAGAATTAACAAGGTTGGAAAAGACTTCCAAGATGATCCAGTCCAACCATCCACCCATCGCCAATATTTCTCACTAAACCATGTCCCTCAGTTTAACATCTTAATGTTTCTTGAACACCTTCAGGGATGGTGATTTCACAGCCTCCTTGGGCAATTATGTTTTAAGTCTTTGAATTGCAGCTCCACTCTTTCATTCTCTCCATTTTGTTGGGGAAAAAAAAAAACTTCAGTTCCAGGTGGAGGACTAAATTTCCCTCTTCTGTCAATTGCATCTCATCTCAAATAAACTCACTTCATTTAAAAGCTGTCTGCTAGTTTTCAAGCTTTAACAGCAATAAGTACATGTCTTACAAGCTGTTGCTTCTTATTCTGGTCTTAGCCAAGTATGTTGAGTCCTATTTTGTGTATTTTGCATGCTGAATTTTATTTAGGAAAGCCCATACTAAGTGCCATTCTGTTACTTCTGAATGTTCTACATGTTATTTGCTACCATTCACCCGCTATGTTTGCCTTCGGCAGTTTTTGTGAAGTAAAGGTTTCTTCTCCCCTCTCTTGCCCATTATGCTACAGATAAGTATCCAGTTCTTATCTAATAACAAACATTTAACTGAGAATAAACTTCTGTTGTTTTTTTTTTTTTAAAGCTGGAAAGTCATAAAAAAGAAATGGATACCTTCTTTGAAGATCTTTCTCTCACTCTGAAAAAATTACAGGAAGAAACAGCTAATGTTCTTGCTCAGCTTCAGAATGATTGTGAAAATTTAAGACAAGAAGTGGAAATGACGAGACTAGCACATACAAAGGTACCCTTGGAGTGAAGAGAAATCATAGTGTCACACGTTATTCTTTGAATTCTCTGGCAGTAAACCGTGGTATCTGTTTCAGAAACAATGGTGGGACAGTGACTTGGTGATCCTAATTCTTTTCAACTTCTGTTGTGTGACTTTAGGTATCTTATGTAGGAAAGTAACAAGAATTACCCTTGCTATGAACACATCTAATTTATATGCCTTCACGTAAATCTCCAAAGGCAAAGTGTCTGTCATCTATAGAAAAAATGTGTCTTAAGCTTCAGAATAATAAAGCTGTACTATGTTATATCTTTCTTGAAAGATACAACTTTTCTTAACAGAGTGCAGCTGAGTTAATGTCCTCACTACAAAGACAGCTTGACCTGTTTGCTCAAGAGACTCAGAAGAACTTAGCTGATGTACTGGCAAAAAATGGAGGCTTGAAGACCACCATCACTGCTGTGCAAGAAAATGTTCACCTGTAAGGAACTGATTACTTTTGGTATAAACTGATGCAACATGTGTTAAAATCCACCTTTCAAAAATGTCTGAATTGTTACGTGTCTGTTGTTGCAGGAAAACTACCAACCTAGTCAGCAGCACAGCTTCTAATCACAGCAGATTTCTTGCATCTATGGATAATTTTTCTAAGGAGCTCAGGATTATAAATGGTGAAAATAAGAGGATGCTGGAAGATTCCACAGACCACTGTCAGCAGCTTCTCATCAATCTCAGAAATGTATCTCAAGATGCTGATAAATGTGCTGAACTTACAATTGCTCAGATAGCCAGCTTTACCGATCAGCAGCTATTGTCCCTCAGGGATGAGAAACAACAGCTTATGTGTTTTCAAAAGGTACTATTGTAGCTATTGTAGTCTAATGCAATATTTGGAGACAAACTTCTACAGGAGAATTCATAGGGGAAAATTCTTAACTATAATCAGTACAAAATGGAGTCTTGATCACAGCAGACTCATGCTAATAAATGCATTTTGATGAGGTAAAAAAGCTTAACTTGAGTAAGAGTTCAAACTAACAATGCAAGTAACTTCCAAAAAAAAAAAAGTGTCTTGATTAATCCCATTGGCTAACTTCCACCTGTACTTTAAGCTTTTTACCACTTGTAGCATGTAGCTCTAATTCTAAAGCTTAATTACAGGTAGTGTCCCAGGGAGTTTTAGACAGAGATGAAGTATAGTCTGTAATAGAACAGACAAGTCCAATTTATTTTGCTAACTGGAAGAAAGTTAAACTGCTTAAGACATTTGTAGTCTTGAGAAAGGCGTTCTTTTAACTATTATACCTACTGAAAACTTCAGGCACTTCTTTCCAATAGGAAGGACAAAGTATGTTGTTCTTCCTCTTTGTCCTCTAGAAATACATAATGCTTCTAGTCCGGGTAGGATTTTATCACTTCCCTTAAAAATCCTAATTTAATGCAATGTTATGAGTAGACACATAACAATTCTGTTCTGAACCAGGTGGCATCATTTGTATTTTGAAGAGTAGCTTTCTGAAATGATCGTACTTTCTAAGAAACTGACTCTTCTTCTGAAGATAGTTCTCAAAATGAGAATGTAAAATTGGCACTGAAACTTCTCAATTTGAGGTCTCACAATTGTTTCGTTTTAGATCATGTCACTAACCATGCACCCACATCTTAGAAAAGAGGCCATAACCTTAACTTTCCTGTTAACTTGATGTTTTTGTGCTTTGTTGGTTTTTTTTTTTCCTGTTGTTGTTTGTTGTAGAAAAACGGAGAAAACTGTGATAAAGCAATAGCTGAAATTGCCGACCAAATTGGTACTCAAAAATGTGCTGAGGAGAAGATACTAAATGGCCTTCTTGATCGAATGAAAGTTGATCAGGGGGTACTTCTGGAACAGAAGCTGGCACTTAATGAAGAAGCACAGCATGGACTGGCTCAGGTTAATGGTTTCCTGAAAGAAGATCTTAAAGTGGATATTCCAACAGGTATTTCAAGTAGGGCAGGAGTCAGTCTTGTGGAAAGCAATCTGAGTTGTGGAGTTTGTATTCAGAGGTTGATAGGAACATAATACAGCTGGCCATCTTGCACTTTTTTTTTTTTTCTTTTAAGGTGAATGCAAGGATTGACTGAAGAAAGTGTGACTTCTGTGTTGAGTTAATGTAAAACTGATGATCTGTAATTAAAGCAGTTGCTTTATGTATTTAATAGTGCCTTTCATTTGTATACCATCTGCATTAAAGGGACAACTCCACAGAGAAGAGACTACTCTTATCCAGTCACACTGGTGAAAACAGAACCCAGGGAACTTCTACTGGAACAATTGAGGCAAAAGCAATTAATGCTTGATGCTATGCTGAACAGTGTGATACAGGAAGTGGAGGGAAATGCAGATGAGGTATGTATATGAGTTACAAATGTGTCAACAAAGATTTCATATCTCTAAAGAGTTTTGTGTTCTTTTAATCTCTGTGGAAAGTTGACCAGAAACCCAGCACTGTTGCAGCCTTCCTGTGTGGTACTTGGAGTTGCATGCTGAGCTTTTGAGAAAAACATTGCCTTGAAAAACAAGGGAAGACCTTAATAGTTGTTTAGAGGCTCTCATTTCTGTTTTACAAAAATATATAAATTGTGATCAGATCTATAAGAAATACAGCACTTCCATTGATGTAGGAAATTCAAACATTCAGTGAACTTCTCTGAATGCTTCTGTTTTAGGACCTGCTGGAAGAGGAGGAAGGGATGCAAGAATCCACTGAAAGCCTTGGTGATGACAAGTACTTAGTGGATATAAACATAAGCTGTCACGCAAATGGAGGCATTCCCTTTTTCCAGGTAACTTTCATAGGTATTCTGAACAGTGAAAGAAAGTTATCGTTCTATAACAGGCTTGTAGTATAAAATCATTTGCTGATAGCCTTGAGTGTAGTCTCATAACTTCTTTTAATGCTGTATAATATGCTTTGTTAAACTTCAGTTAAAATAAACATTCTAACAACCTAGAAAAATGTCATGATTTGCTAGATGCATGCATGTGGTTTAATAGATGAAATTTGAAATAGATGAAAAGATGAAATTTAATACAGTACATTTTCTTAGAGATCTGATAAAAGTTAGCTTTCTTGATTATTTTTTTAATTTTTTTTTTTTTTTAACTTTAATTTTCTTCCTTGCTTTTGACCATTCTCTTCCACCAATGTATCGTGGGCCTGCATTATCTTAACATGCAAAACTTATCACACATTTTCTTTAAATTCCAGCACAAAAGGAGTCACAAAAAAGATAAAGAGAACAAAGCTGCAGCAATGTTGGAGAAAAACAAAACTGAAGATATGACAGAACAGCTACTTCCTAAATCTAAGCTACCCTTAAGATCACTGAACTAAAATATACATATATACTGCAGGTTCTTATAAAATACTTTTGGTTATCTACTGAGCCATAAGTTCTCCTGGTTATTCTGTCTCTGTATATAGTGATATATTGATGCGATATTGGATCAAAACTTGACACAATATGTCCTGCCTTTGTTCTGTTTTTATATACGATGGCTTGCAAATATTAACAGTTTTATTTAAAAAAAAAAAGCAAAAACAAAAACAAAAAAAAAAAAAAAAAAAAAACAATCTGAAGGTTATGGTGCTGTATGTTAAGTGACATTTTTTATCTTGTCAAGTAATTAGATTGCTTTCTGCTTCTTAGTAGATTTGTAGTAGCAGGAAGGGATATGGAATAATGCTGTTTTCTTAATTGTAAATATGTGATCTGTTTCTGTACCTGCCTTACTCTGATTCCTGTTACTATGAAGTAGATAGTTGTCTTCGGGATACTTTCAAATAAATCAGTTGATGCACAGAGTATAGATGTGTATGCATATGTGGTTTCAGTCTTAAAACTTGACAACATAGCTAAAGTATTATCTCTGCAAAATAGATTCTCTGAACACCATTCAGATAAATGCTGATAGATAAAGATCAATAATTTTGATTATACCCTTGCACTGTGATTCTCTTAGCTATAGCACCAGATGGACTGATTTTCTGTATTTCTGTACCACTTCTTACCTGTTAGTTTCTCTTCATGGGCAAAGCTAATTGCTTTTCTTTAGCAGCAGATAGCAGGAGACAAAAGCATTCCCTTCCAAATGAGCAAGGCAGCTATATGTCCACAACTTCATTACTTTTTATTCTTATTGTCTTAGTACTTAGCTTATATACCAGATCTTTCCATTATATGAGGTTTGAAACCCTAAAAGGGGTTTTGAAATCCTGTTTTGTCTGTGGAAATGTCTCCATTGAAGTGATTGGTATATTGTGAAATTCTGACAACAGAAACATCATGGGCGTAAGAATTTTCCAAGACTTGGCATCTAGGTTCTTGTACCACATTCTTTAATACTGACAAGATTTTTGCTAGTGTAATCTATCCACTTCCTAACTAAAAGGCACTTCTGCAAGTCTTTCACCCTTAATTTTCTATACAGAGTTCACAAGATCGGTGTGAACAAACAAACTGGAGCAGCCAGTGCCAAGGAAGGATCACATCCATTAAAATGATGCCAGAATCTACACTTATTTAACCTTTTTGAAACTACCCTTGTCCATAGCTGTTTGATTTTCCCTGCTGCGGACACAGATCGCTTTTCTCATATTGAGAACCTTTAACAGATGTATGAATCTCTGGGACTGCTTGCTTTCTCTTTTCAGAGGGATGTTTTCTTACATTTGCAATAATGTTATGGCAGATCACTGTTTCTTTCATTGGGCCTGGTGCCTAGTGGTCACACCAGAAAGATGAATGGGATGAAAAATTGGGATACAGAGCCTGTCTCTGCTTCCTTGCCATTGTCTCTTCTCCCACTAGGTGGCTCTAACGCTGAAGTGTTAGTCTAAACCTCCAGCACCGATTGCTAACCAGGATTTAGGAGCAGGCAATTTGCCGAAGCTTTATTCGGACATCTGTTACAAGAATGGGTTTGAAAAACTTATGATTTTATGCTTCTGCTAGAACAATCCTATATTCAAACCGGGGTGAGGGCTTGTTTATTGAAGGAGCTGCGCTTAAGAGAGATATTCAGACCTGTGGCTTGAGCTTTGGTGCAGGATCAATAGATGCTTGTAGTAATTAAATGCTCTCTGAGATCTCTGTTGCATGGGCATTCCCTAAAGTAGAAAGCAAAACCTACTTGTTTAGCTGTAAGAAACACCTCTTCCTTAACTTTGCTTACGCAGGGCTAACTGGATGCACAGGTTTAACCCAAAGAGAGGAAATTGGTGTGATGTAGGGTAGTTTACAGAACGGTATCAATTTTGCTTGTTAGAAAGTATCGTTCATAAGAAGTGTGGAAGCTGTTTCCACAGAACAAGTAGCAAGGTCATACCCTGACTGAGTTGTGCTGAGGTGGAGGTGGAGTTGTGGTGTGACTGGGATTGTACAGCCATGTTCTAATTAACCAGGAGATTTTTCTGTCTGATTCCAGATTAGCAGCCAGGTGGGGCAACTCTCAAATTAACATCGAAAAGAAAAGAAAAGAAAAAAACAACTAGCAAATATGTACGATGAATGGTAAAATGAACAGGGGAAAAAGAAGAGCTTAAGCACATGTAATATGGTAGAATGTGGAGAGACTGGTAAGACAACAGGAAACAATAATCAGAGCCACCAGCTTTCTTTTCAGTTAAAAGGGAGTAATGAAGAGACAGTGGAAGAAAGGAAGTTTTCTCCTTCCGAGTTGACAGCTGTTGTATCAGAAGCCGTTGTGTGGGACTAGAGAGGAGTGAGAAGCTACCTTTCTTTGTTCTGTTAGACATCAGTTGCCCTATAACCATATGTTAAATGAGTGCAGGAAACGAGAGCCTAGAACTCTTCAGGTGATAAAAGAAAATTTAAATGTAGAAGGAGATGGAAAAATATAAAAAGGCTAAAATTCCTTTTCCATCATAAAGCATCTGAAGGGGAAAAAATGAGCTCTAATCTTTTAGAACATTAAAAATGGGGGAAAAATATATAGTTGCTAAATATATACTTCTTAAATGACTGTTTATATCCTTTTGACTCCTATTTTTTCTTTCCTTGTTAGAAACTACTTTTTATGGTAGAGGACTATGCTCTATAAGCTACCCGCCCACACACATAGTAGCTTTATGAACTTAAATAACAATAAATCATTCCAGGTTTTGTGTTAGTAGGGTTTATATGGTGCAGTATTACAGGTGGGGTGTAGACCACCTAGCAAAGTAGGCTGCTCTTGAAGGTTGAACCCAAACTCAATTCACAGCAGTACTTCTACGCTGGTTCTTGAAAATGATAAAAACCCACAACTCAGCAGGAACAAAGGGCAGCTAAGCAAATGTTTAGATCTCTATGTTCACAATACATGTGAAATCATCTTTGGTTCCTATAAGGCCTGCCTACAAGAATGAGGGTGCTTCATTACAATGCATGTGCCCTTCAGACATGCTAAAAAGGAGCAAATGCTCGATTCCCTGTTCTCTCTTCAGGGAAAAAGATTGGAATGAACTGCCATTTTTATAAGGGGTCTGAACAATATTTATCATGCTTTTTCTGTTTCAAACACTGTCCTGTCAGATGTAGAGTGGTGTGCAAAACTATATGAAAATACTCTGCTTTTAGGTGGTGTAAAATTAGATTTTGTAACGGGGATTAACTGGAGTGTGCTGTTGTTGTTTTTTCTCTCTCCAGAATATTAAACTTACATAAATGTTTCCTTGGCTTTATTAGTTACACTTGAAATACTCTGGGGGACTCTTGGCCTGTTATAACCCAAACACTGTAAGTCAGTGAATGAGACACAGTGACTGAAATGTTGAACTTGACAAGTATGCTTTATTTTTTTAATTACCAAAATGTAAGAATGAAATAAACAGATGATATAAAATACATTTGAGGGTTTTTTTCCCGAGTCTTTCTAAATATGGTTGTCTACAATTGCTGATAACATAATTTTGACTATAATTTCATTCTGATTATGTTCAGAGCACTAATGCTACTGCCAGAAGATTTTTTTAATGTGAAAAAGAATTGTATTTTCACTGGCATAAGTTAATTGAAGGAAAAAAATCTTTTCTTAGCCTAATTAAGCTGGCCATTTTCAAATGAAAAATAACAAAATTAGCAGCAAAGAAAATATTCTTTTAGCAGTTATGACAAGTATTAAGCAAAACAGATGAAGTATGTGGTAAGATATTTATTTTTTCCTTCTCCACAGCCACTTATTATAATGATGGTTGCTGCTTAGAGGTTTGCTCTCTGATTTTATAAGGAGATAATTCTACAGCAGTCTCTTGGCTTACATAAAAATGGTAAGGTGAGGGATCAGATTCCTTATCTCTGAAGTACATTGCTAACTTGGTAATGATAATTTAAAAACAGAAATCCAAGGCCCTCTTTACTCTGGCAACTAAAAGTTTCATGGTGTTCAGAAGGATTCCTCCAGGTAATTGTGGCAGCTGCTTTAATTCTTAATTCTTTGTTTTTTCATAGGTACATCAGGGGATTTTGCTTCCCCTACTTTGTAAAATAACTTAGAGATCTTTCAGGATGGGTATGATTGTATCATTCTGCTATTCAGTGTCTTGATCAAAGGTCAGTTGAAGCTCCTACTGACAGTAGTGGTCCTAAGATCACGCCAAGATCTGTGGGAATTGTGTTTATCACAAAAAGAGGAATCTATCTACAAAATGTGGCACCATGATTCACACAGCAGATGTCCCCTGTTTTCAGGAACTGACCTTCATGGCTAATGTAGGGACTGCTACTTCCACTTTGGAATTAAGTTGTCAGTGTCTTGTTAAGATGTTTCTGATGGAGTAAATGCCAGCTTTCTGGCATGATTGATGCTGAAGAACTTAAGCAACCACTGTCGTATGAAAACTGTTTGGGGGAACTGTTATTTCACCTTTCAATTAACATTCACTAACCATCAGAACTAAATGTAAGTGGCATCAGTGTTCTGTTTAGAGGCTGGAGGAAACAGTGAGTGAAACGCTTATCCTTCGTTAGAGCCAGCAGCTTTTGTGACTTAATTAAAATATGGCATTAATTTCAAAACCATTCATTAAATCATTATGATGAAATGATGATAGGCGCCAAAATTTTGCTTGTTCGTTCTAACAGTTTATTTTGGGAAACTCAGTCTAACAGGATAAACCTTGAATATACAGATTAATGTAGGGGAGGAAATTTTACGATGTCTGTTAGTTAATACAGAAGCCAATCTTATTAATCATGGATTTACAGAGGGCTGTTTTATTAGATGTTAACCATAGCTTATGTTGACAATTGATTTTCATTGTAGGACAACTGAATTTATTATTTGTAATAAGATAAAGATAATTAAATTGACTTTGTAAAGGTTACTATCATAAATGTTGGTAGTACCTGTGAATAGCAAACATAGAACTGCTTTAGCAGCGAAAATTCAGTTAAGTGATAGGGGCTTTTTTTCCATTGCATTTAATTGTCTCTGAATATTTTTAGCGTGCAGTTCATTTTCCAGCCTTTCATTTTGTTTTTTAATGCTGTGAGAAAACTGGCTGTGTTGAAACCTCACTTCTAGTTCATTTTCTTTGAAATAAATCGGGGACAAAATATTTTAAAAGTTACAGAAGTAAAGCAAAATACAGAATATAAATGTTATGCCGCAAAGTCTTGTTCTGTATCTTCTCCACTTAGCCAGTAAGTTATTCACAATGTGTTGAAACAGGTCTGAGATCTACAATTAAATCTGACTTTCAGATGTTTTTCCTTTCTTTTTTTTAATATTAAAAAGCGTAATTATTAAGGAAGAGAATTTAGGCCTTGCAAAAAAATAAGGCTGTTCAGAAGTTATGTAATCTTT